GCCCGCCGAAGTTTTCGTACCGAAACTGCTACACTGAGGGAAAAAACCGTCCGGATGTTTGGCACGAAGTTGGGTTTTTAGGCTTTAAGACTACTGTATGGTAAACCTGCAAGATGCATGGTGGTACGCGTTGGGAGAGGCACAAAGTGGATGCGTTCACAGCACTAAGAACTAGAATAGTACATTGGATCCAACTCATATTCCAAAAGATATACAACGAGTACATCCGGACAGTTTTTTCCCAGGACAAAGAGCAAACTTCCGAACAACGTTTCTAGTACCTAGTCCACCTACTCTTGGCGTTGATCACCATCCGCACCCTCCTAGGCATGTTATCTATGGGGTTAGTGCAGACCTTTGCATGAAGCTTCTCGCACTCTTCCTGGACCCACCATTTTGCATAAGGGGGTGAGCACAAGGAAAATTGCAAAGTATTTGAGCGTATGCATAAGTATTGTACACAAATTCTGAATGAATGTTATCTCAGAGACTAGCCAAGCCGAGGGGTGGCCAAAGATGCCATTAGTTAAATGGTCCCGGCTTATCATGGGTCGTCTTCGTCGTATCGTTCTAGGGTAAAATCACGAATAGAGTGGCAAAATCTAGCATTCCCGCCACGAATCTTAGGGTAACAGAGCACGGTCGACTGAACATCCTTTCACTGTGTGAACCATGTTAAAATCCGCGGGTCTAGTGACGGGGCAGCAGTCGAAGAAACCTCGACTGTTTGGGAAGAATATCTGGATTGAGGTCTGGTGAGAAAAAGGGTCACTCCAGCGCAACATACTTATGCTCTCCAAGGCATTCCATGTCATTTTCCCTGCCTAGGCTTGGAATGGCTCGGAGAGCATGGATATGTAGCTCTGGAGTGCCCCTCTTCCTCACCAGACCTCAACCCTGATATTCTTCCCAAACAGTCGAGACTTCTTCAACTGATGCACTGTCACTAGACTCGCGGATTTTAACATGATTCTAACAATGAAAGGATGCTCAATCGACCGTGCTCGGTTACCCTAAGTTTCGTGGCGGGTATGCTAGATTTTGCCACTCTATACGTGATTTCACCCTACTCTGATTCGACGAAAACAACCCATGATAAGCCGGGACCATTCAAGTAATGGCATCTTTGGACACCCCTCGGCTTGGCTAGTCTCAGAGATTACATTCAATCTGAATTCGTGCACAATACTTATGCATACGCTCAAATACTTCGCAATTTTCCTTGTGCTCACCCCCTTATGCAAAATGGTGGGTCAAGGAAGAGTGCAAGAAGCTTCATGCAAAGGTCTGCACTAACCACATAGATAACATGCCTAGGAGGGTGTGGATGGTGATCAACGCCAAGAGTAGGTGGACTAGGTACTAGAAACGTTGTTCGGAAGTTTGCTCTTTGTCCTGGGAAAAAACTGTCCGGATGTACTCGTTGTATATCTTTTGGAATATGAGTTGGATCCAATGTACTATTCTAGTTCTTAGTGCTGTGAACGCATCCACTTTGTGCCTCTCCCAACATGTACCACCGTGCATCTTGCAGGTTTACCATACAGTAGTCTCAAAGCCTAAAAACCCAACTTATTGCCAAACATCCGGACGGTTTTTTCCCTCAGTGTATAAGACCCACCATCAGGCTCCGTGACTCTAGCGGAGGTATATAGCCAAAGATAAAATGAAACACTCCCGCGAGGGGATTGGGCCACGGATAGCAAGGAGATTGGGGGGACACGTAGCGAGGAGACGGGGAACGCGTGACGAGAAAAGGGGGAACGGTTGGCGAAGAGAGGGGGAACGGAAATCGCTGAGAGGGAACGGATGACGAGGAGAGGGGAAACGAAAAGCATAGAGAAAAGGGGGGACGAATGGCGAAGTGAGGGGGGACGGAAAGCGAGAAGAGTGGGGACGGATGGCAAGGAAGGGGGGGATAGATAGCAAGGAGAGGAGAAAGGGATGGTGAGGAGAGGGGGAATGGATGGCAAGGAGAGGGGGGACGGATGGAGAGGAGAGGGGGAAAGGGATGGCAAGGAGAGGGAGAACGGAAAGCGAGGGGAGGGGAGGGCGAATGGTGAGGAGAGGGGGAAAGGAAGGCGGGGAGAGGGGTAAAGGATGACGGGGAGAGGGGGAATGGATGGCGAGGAGAGGGGGAACGGATTGTGATGAGAGGTTGAAGGGATGGCGAGGAGAGGGGGAACGGATGGCGAGGAGAGGGGGAACGGATGGCGAGGAGAGGGGGAACGGATGGGGGAACGGATGGCGAGGAGGGGGGGAAAGGATGCCGAGGAGAGGGGGAATAGATAGCGAGGAGAGGGGTAACGGATGGCGAGGAGAGGGGGAACGGATGGCGAGGAGAGGGGGAACGAATGGCGAGGAGAGGGGGAACGGATGGCGAGGAGAGGGGGAACGGATGGCGAGGAGAGGGGGAACGGATGGCGAGGAGAGGGGGAACGGATGGTGAGGAGAGGGGGAAAGGGATGGCAAGAAGAGGGAGAACGGAAAGCAAGGGGAGAGGAGGGCGAATGGCAGAGAGAGGGGGAAAGGATGGCATGAAGAGGGGGAAAGGATGACGGAGAGAGGGGGAGAGGATGGCGAGGAGAGGGGGAACAAATAGCGATGAGAGGGGCAACGGATGGCGAGGCGAGGGGGAACGGATGGCGAGGAGAGGGGGAACGGATGGCGAGGAGGGGGGGAACGGATGGCGAGGAGAGGGGGAACGGATGGTGAGGAGAGGGGGAACGGATGGCGAGGAGAGGGGGAACGGATGGCGAGGAGAGGGGGAGGAGAGGGGGAAAAGGATGGCAAGGAGAGGGAGAACAGAAAGCGAGGGGAGGGGAGGGCGAATGGTCGGGAAAGGGGGAAAGGATGGCGGGGAGAGGGGGAAAGGATGACAGAGAGAAGGGGAAAGGATGGCGAGGAGAGGGGGAACGGATGGCGAGGAGAGGGGGAACGGATAGCGAGGAGAGGGGTAATGGATGGGGAGTGGGGGAACGGTGGTTGGGAGGGCCGCAAGAGGGGGAACGGTGGTTGGGAGATCCTAGGCTTGACGTTGAGACCATGGAAAGGTGGGCGAGGGGAGGGGGGAAAAGGCAAGTGAAAGGGGTAACCGAGGGAGAGGAAACGGGTGGGAGAGGGTGAGGGAAGGCGGAGCAAAGGGCAAGGAAAGGGGGAACACCGTGCTCCTGCTGCCCCCCTGCTCTCTGCTATCCCCCTGCTGCCCCCCTGCTCTCTGCTGTCCCCCTGCTGTCCCCCTGCTCTCTGCTGCCCCCCCCCTCTCTGCTGTCCCCCCATTCTCTCCTGTGCCATGTCCCCTTGTCGTCGATGCAAAGACATTTGCTCTACCTCTCTCTCCTCTCCCATCATTTCCTCTATCCTCCCTCCCCTCTCTCTCTACCCTTTGCCATGCCATGTCACCTTCGCTCCACATGCCCTCGCCAGTTTTGTCATCCGTATTCTCCGTCCCTCAACCACTTTCCCCTTCAACCCATTGGGCTCATAAAGTGAAAGTGTGCTTATATCCATTATTTCATTATAAGCGCACCTTTTTTTTAATGAGTCCTATAAGTGCATCTCATTTCCGTAAAATAACACTGAAACGCGAATTTTATATCGGAAACCCCCGCCAGCCCTCCCACGCCCCTTTCGCAGCCCTCCCAAACACCTTGCTAGTGAAGAGCCTTTTTTCCGCTCACTAGATCAGCTCTGATTGGTTGATTAGACAGTGGATATGCTGGCGGAATATTCGCGAGCCGTCGCCACCCAATCTATCCACATGACCCCCTCTTGAGAATGATCCGTTCGATCACAAATGCAATGAGCTACATTTTGGTGCCCATTTCCATATATTTTCCATAAATGTACATTTATTCGATAAAAGCGCATTCACATTTTCAAGGGGTTCCCCCTATAAGCACATATGCGCCTATATGCGGGGGGTTATGGTACTCGCATATGTAATTAGTATTGGAAATATAATTTCAGAGGTTTAGGGCGTGGTACATTGGGAGTGGAAACGCCGTTCGTTCAAACGGACTTTTCGAAATGGTTCAACATGCTAGTGCTGGTTTTAATGAGATATAATTGGTTGCAGTGTGGTGGACTTTCGGATTCAGCCATTCGAACAGCCGATGTACCACGCCCTTAGACCTGCTGTTCAAGGACTCGCTTTATAACAGAAACCACCGGCTGCTTAGAAAGGATTATGACTCCTAAATTGTCGCCGCGATTCCAGTGAATCACGAACAGCACACATACGCGTTTATGGAGGACCTTCAGCTATCTGCAGTGGTCTGTCGTGTTTTCCCCTTTCGTACACGATAAGGGTTGTACTTCCCCCACCCCACACTGAATGGTAGGCGCGAATCATTTCCCGCCCGGGGTTGCCTGGCAGAACCTCTGGATGAGCGGCAGCCGCAAGGTCACTCCTCCACGCCAGCCACCAACCGCGTTTGACCGGCTGTGTGCTGGCCAACTTCGGTGCCAGCGTCAGCACACTATGGCTGGCCCCTTTGCTCAGACTTCCAGCCTCTCACGAGTCACCAGCACCACAGCCCGTGATGCCAGCGGGGAGGCGAAACCAAATCCCAGCTTCGAATCCCACGTCACGCTTCCATCTGTCGTTTTGCGGGATCGAAACTCTCGGCGATAATCTTGCCGCAATTTCCGCGAGAAATGGGAGCCCGAATTATCGGATGAATCCAAGGCGCAATGTTGCCTGATACCAGCACACCAATGTGGGCGTGACTGCAGCATCCCCCTCGGAACACCCCTTGGATTGTGCTGGCTCGAACCGCAGTTGTGGATCCCTTGAGAAGAGTCCCTCCACCTGGTTAGACTTATCTCCTGGCCCCCCTGGAGCCACTGCTCCCCCCCACCCCACCCCACCCCACCCCACCCCTATCTCCCTGAATCCTGACCGAGGCCCAGCTCCCTCCAGCTTCCTCCATCTTCCTGCAGCATGCTCCCCTGGAAAACCTGAATCTTCCTGATCATCTGCACGAGTTGTTGCACGGCACGGCGCCGTCGGGTCAGCTGACTTTCCGCGATTCAATCCCCAGCTTCCCCGACTTTATCTCGCTTTCCAGATTGCGTTAGGGTTCCGACGTAGTATAACTACTGGTCTCAGTTCTCAGAACCTTTTTTATCCTACTCAAGTTATCAGCTCTGTCTTCCATAGACTCAGACATCCTGCTCCAGCGCTTGTTCCTTACCCGTCCACATTGCATCTCAGCCGGAAGTAGCCTTCCAGTAGCTTCGTCCCTTGAGTTAGCGACATCGTATCTTTCGTCCATCATGGTGCACTCGCAGGGGCTGCTAACGATTCAGCAACGAGACGTTTCCCCTTGCATCTTCAGAACGTCACCCCTTCCCCGCTCAGACAACTCTCCAGGTCCTAGACTATCCCATGGACACTTACGGTCGCCAGTCACAGCGCGACTAGCAGCCACTCCTGAGCGAAGGACTGGTTCAGATTGTTTCAGCGTTCTAGGAATCCCGTCCAGTGCTGGTGCTGACGACATCCGCAGAGCGTACCGGCAACTCGCACGGACCTACCATCCTGACGCCAATCCTGCTGAGGACACCACCTCCAAGTTCCTTGAAGTCCACTCAGCATACGAGGTCAGTTGCTTGAGACATGACATATTCCTTACCGGGCGTGTCCTTCCAAGTTCCTTACCGGGCGTATTCTCTTTTTGTGAAAGACCCTGAACTGACTTTTGTGCGTTATTTTCCTGCAGTTGGCTCTCAAGCGTTTTGAGAAGAGGAGAGCGTCTGTTACATTGGTCTCGAGCTCACCGGCGTCAAAATCTCCTGCGGAATCCTCCCGCGGTACACCCACCCGGAGAAAAACTCAGCGCAAGGACGATTGGGATGATATCTGGAACGACCTGATGCCGTCCAGCCCTCGTCGCCGCCCTTCCCGCCGGAAATCCGACCTGAACTCGCCAGGCTTCATGTAAATCTCGAAGCAGCTCAACGAGGGCCATGGTCCAAGAAACCATGATATTCGGCGCTGTGAGCGGGCGTGGCCTGAGCTTGTACAGATACTAACGGTCTCTGGAGCTTGGCTTTCAGACCACACCCTAAAGGCGTGTTGGATACGACCGTGTCATGCTAGCATCGCAGTAGCTTGCAAGCGCTGTGAGGTTGGCAGAAGTAGTTGCTGTTTTCTTTAGGTTACCGTATTCGTTCTTCGTTCAGAAGTAATTTTAAAAATTTGGATGTATTCATTCATTGCACAGATAAATTACGACATCGACCTTACAGATAACCACATCACATTCCACGAAGATTGGCTAAGAGCAACTTCGCCTGGAAAAGGAAAATAACAAATTTGAACCACAGGTTAGAGAAAAACTATCACTAGAAATCGCATGCAGGGAAGGAAAGAGGAATCTGAGAAAAAACTGCATGACTGAAAAACACATGCTCCTCACCTTCTCTCTAGCCCTGGGAGTGCCTGTCTGTAAGAGACCATTGAGCGAGGGCAGCAGGGCCTCTCCAAGAATCATCCTCCGGTGCTCCTGACTATTGCTTGCAATCAGCCACAGTGCAGCAACTGAAAACTCCCTACCCCTCGGCGTCCCTGTCTCTAGCACCTCCACCAAAGCTCCCAACCCATCAGCTTCATCCGAATCCTCTCCATCCCCCATAATAGCAGCCCTGCCATCCGCTTCAGATGCGAGATTTGATAGAGCAGCCATAGCCTTTTCGGCAAGGGACGATGTAGGTTCTGATAGCAGCCCCAGAAGGGAAGACACAGCACCTGCTTGAATCAACTCCTGCCGCTTTGAGCTTAACATAGAGAGGTTGAAAAGCGCTTTGCAGGAGTCCCGTCTGCCCTGCTCGCTACAAGCTGACTCGTTTAACAGCTCCAACAGCGGCCGTACAGCACCCTCGTCTATTATGATCAACTTATTCTCATCCTCAGCAGATAGGCTGAACAGCGTTGCAGCTGCGGTTTCCCGCGCGCTCATACTCTCTGCATTCCCAGCCACGCGGACTAGATGCGAAACCACCCCTAATGAAGGCATGAGCGTGCGAGATTTCGGATGGATGGACAAATTCAGTAACGCGGTTACCGCTTCCTCCATTACTGCAGTTCTAGAAACTTCTCCTGAACAACCCGACCCCGCTGGCCCTAAACCCGCTTCCGCTGCTGCTGATCCATCCCTCCGCTCCACCCCTCTAACACTCCCTCCACCGCTACCTTCCACCTCCTGCTGCTGACGTGGCGACGTTTCACTGGATACCAGAAGCGGAAGCAGCGCGGAGACAGCTCCCGCCTCCACCATGGCCGGGCGGCTCGCCTCGTGGTCGCGTGCCATTTCACGAAGAGCACGTGCCGCGGCAAGCTGACGTGGCGGGTCCGCGTGCGCCCGGCAATCCTGCAATGCCGTGTGGAAAATGGCGGGCGGAGGGGGAGGGGCAGCGGCGCCTCTACCGGCCGGTCGGCCCACAGGGGAGGAGGCCGCTCCCAGAGAATGCCCCGCCGGGCGTGATTTGAACCCCGAGCCCCCGCTTAGCGGCGACGACGGCGGCGCGACGGTTAGATGACCCGACGCCGTCCGATTGTGCATGATCTGGCCGGAAAGCTCGGTTCCCGCGGCCTCAATCGTCATGCCGGAAACCCCCCCTGGTACTACCTTCAACTCGCGACTGTAGACGGAAACCCCGGGAGGGTTCCCCCCTCCCCCCTGTCCGGAGTGCGGGGATGGGTGCTGGAAGCTCTGCCTCCCGGGCCTGTGGCCAGGGGAAGGGTTCTCGTAGGAGCCGGCGTCGTTGCCGTCGCCGTTAGTTTTGGCGTTCATTGTTAACGGCTGACCGGTGTCGACCAGACGCGACTGCTGCTGCTGCTGCTGCTGCGGCTGCTGGTCTCGGCGGAGTTGAGCCGCGATCAGGGCTGGCGGTAGGGGAAGGTTACTCATTAGTGAAGGAAGGTTGAGGAAGCGGGTATCTGCTGGGCATAAGTGAAGGCAAATGTGAATCGAAATGTCGCGAAGTCTTACTCCCGCAGGACTACGCTCGCTCAGGTGTTTGCTTTGTGGGGACGAACCTAGTCAAGATCGAGGATTAGGTGGGAGAGGAGGTATCTAAACTAAGACAGTTCCGACCGAGATGCACCACCCAGGACAAGCTGCTAGTTTTGGCCATACTCGATAATGACAATTTCACTATCCTCATGTGCTCTCCTCGCACTCCAGCATTTGGAAATGAACACTACGAAAGGGATGAAAATGAAAAGAATATGGTTCCTCGGAAGCAGCTGTGAGTAAGGGCGTGGCTCAGCTGGGCTCAGAAGAACGCAAAGCTCGAACCCACACGACTCTGTACCACGCAAGCATGAAGCTGCAACACACCACACCAAATACAGCCTCGCTCCGAGTCCAGCTGAATGCCCTCATTGTGAATATGAAAGCATTTTTGTACACCCTGCGCTGGGTGGGAACGTGTGATCCTGCACTTCACAATGTAGCACAGACAAATTAAGGTACTGCATCTAACTACCCCTAGTTTCCCATCGCTCACTAGTTTTGCTTCATTTCACTCTACATTTGTGACAAGCTAAACTCTGCCGAATGAAGACGCTGAACTCCCTGAACTCTAAGGACCCTGATTTGTGAAAACGATTCGCGCCCTTCAAAGTACCCTCCTAGTTTTCGTGTAGTGCGATAACAGCGAAACACCCTGCTGGGGGGGGGGGAGATTGCGAGGGTCACCCAGATTTGTTCTGTGCGGATTTCAGTCGCCTCTCCCTGGCTGGCTGGCAGCACAAGAGGGGACCAAATCAGCACGATCACGTAGAAATTTCTGGCTCACAATTTTTCATATGCAGCATCTATAGCGATTGAAATAGAGGTGTAGTCATCCCATATTACAACGAGGAGGCAGCCACGGGAGCTAGGGTTTCATCAAGGCTGCTCAAAAACAGAAACTTTGAGTGCTGCCCGGATATCGCCCTGATTGTGCTGGTAGCCTCCACCAATGGTCCGTGCAGTGGATTGAATGCCACGCTGGACCATGAGTGGCCAACCAGCCTGCTGTGCACCGCTGCCCGCAAGAAATTCCACGTCGATATTCATCCGGGCAGAAGACAAACTTGTTTCACAGAAAAGCCACACTCAAATCCTCACCACGCATGCCTGTGGGAGCAGCAGAGCGGTAGTGTTCTGGTTCAAACTCTCGAATGGAGAGCCTCGATGCTTTTCTACAATCCCCTGCTTGGCACTGTACAAACCCCAACCAACCAGACCTTCCTCACTGCAGACCTGTATTTCACGAAACCCTGTGGGCTAGAGCCCCAGGAACCCGCCATTTGAGTTTTGAAGTTTCGAGTTTTCGAGTTTTGAGTTTTCGAGAGGCACTTGCTCACGTCCATGGCTGTTGGTCCCTGGCGGCTTTCCTCAGCCAAGCTTTCCTGGTGTTCCTTTCGTTGCCTTTGCAGTGCTTGGCTGGTAGTGTTCTTTGGAACAGAAGCCTTTTTTGTTCCCCGTGTTCTGTATTGACACACGTACGGATTGTGTTTGTTTTCGTAGACAGTAGGAAGATCCACTAGCTTTCGGTCAGCCAACGCAAAGCTTTATTTCTAGTTCTTCTGCACCACTATTCTACAAACCATATTACTATATTTCTCTTCTCTTCCCCTCGCGCAAAACGTGGCATCATGACGTCAGGCTCACTGCAAACGCTCCTACAACTGCAGACAGCAGCTACAGATCCACCAACGAACACCTCTTCTGAACTCCCCTCCATAGAAAATGCAGTCAACAACCCTACTTCTGCTCTAGATAATGCCGATGTCTCGGAACCCGTTACGAGCAACGGCGTGAACAACGCTACTCCTGCGAACGACCCTACTCTTGCGAACGACCCTACCTCCGCTTCCCACTCCGCCCATGTCGCAAAGCAGTCGGTTGACGGCAACGGCGCGAGCGAACCTAATGGCCGCGAAGAGCCGAAGAGTGGGTCGGGACAAGCAGGAACGTCGGAGGTGGATGGCCAGAAGGGCAGGGAACCACCGCTCTCGCAGACGCTCGCTCCAGGCGGAGGCGGAGCGGAAGGTGGAGGGGGAGGCGGAGGCGGAGGCGGAGGCCCAAGTGTTGCGGAAGCTGCGCCATCTGATGGCGGAGAGAAGTTATCCGCGGAGGCTCCGCAGTCTGCACCATTTTCCGCGGAACCTCAGCGGAAGGATATGATGCAAATGTTTCAGGAACAGACTGCTTCCGTCCTCCTGGATCCTATGGAAGCTGCTTTTGACGAGGATGGCCTTGCCGAGGATGACGCGGACCTTGACGGAGACCTTGAAGGTGGCTGTGACGGGGAAGGCAACGGTGACGGTGACGGCGAAGGCAACGGTGACGGTGACGGCGAAGGCAACGGTGATGGTGACGGGGCCGGAGACGGAGACGGAGACGGAGACGGAGACGGAGACGGAGTCGGAGACGGAGGCGAAGACGGTGACGATGACGGCGACGCCGGCGACCGCGACGACGACGTTATCGGTGCCGGTGCTGGTGATGGCGACGGCAAGGAGCTTCCGCCAACGTTAGCTCCCTCTGCGGCGGACCTTCCGCTCAGGAGAAAGCGCGGGCGGCCGAAGAAGATTCGCGGAGCGGAGGCACCCGGCGCGGGTGCGTTCCCTCTGCTGATGGGGGACGCGCTTGGCGCGCGGCCGCTCAAACGGCGCGCTTTCGCGGAGGCGGACGCCGTGCGCGTGGGGATGGCGTTTCTGGAGCGGCAGAAGAAACCGCGCGCGGAGCGAGACGCGGGGGGGTTACCGCACGGATCGGCGCAAGGCTTGGCGCACGGAATAGCGCAGGATCGCCCGCATCCTCATAAAACCCACCCACGGTTCGGTCTCCCGCCGCAGCAGCAGCAACAGCAGCAGCAGCAGCAACAGCAGCAGCAGCAGCAGCATCAGCCGCATCCGCAGCAGCAGCTGTCGCTGCCGTTAGATCCGCTGTTCGGCCGCTTTGGGCGGCGCCCCCAAGGGGAGAGCAAGTTCATGCCGGATTGGGCGGCGAACTTTGCAGCGGAGATGGGCATTAGCGCGCGCCCCAAGCCCCTGCGATTCGGGGAGGAGCAGTTTGATGAGATGAAGGAGGAGGAAGAGGAGGAGGACGAGGAGGAAGACGGGGGGGTTAGGGGTGGATGGGGGGGAGAGGGCTTGCGGAACTTGCGGGGAAGGCGGCCGGCGGGGGCGGGCTTCCGTGGTGTTGCGGGATTGGGTGGTTTTGGCGGTGCCGACGTGGAGGGGAAGCGGAAGCGGAAGGGACGACGGCGGTTCCAGCTTTCGCGGGATGAGGATGATGACGTGGTGGAGGTGAAAAATGACGTGTTAATTTTTCCCGGTGTCAACGGCGGGGGATTAAACGGCGATCGTAGGCGGCGGCGTGAGATGCGGCGGGGGTTGCAGCGTGGAATGCGGGGGCATAAGGAGAGCCTTCGAGGTTCGTTGAAAAAGGTCAGGAGGAAGGGCCTTGAGAAGGTGATTAAGAACAAGATTGGGATTGAGGGGGGAGGTTCGGAGACAGGGGGTGAAGGGGAGGGGGAGGACGGGGATAAGATCCGCCTAACCGACAGCATGCCCGCGCCTTTATTTCCGGGCAGCTTCGGCAGCGGCGGGAAGAAAGGGCAGCTGCCGTCCGGCATTCTCGGGGGGGATCTATGGGCGGAAGAAGAGGAGGAAGATGAGGGGGAGGGGGAGGAGGAGAGGGAGGAGGGGGGCGGGGACTGGGCGCACCAGTTGCGCCTGGAGCAGGAGTTTCTGCGCGGGAAGGCGCAGGATAGGGAGCGGGAGCGGGAGAGGCGGCGGGGAATGCAGAAGGACAAGGCGGGGGAGAAGGAGCGCGCGCGGAAGCTGCAGGGGGAGGGGGAGGGGATCGACACGCAGGGGGGGGAGGGGACCGGCGGGCTCGTGCTCGGGGCGAAAGGGGAGGGGGAAGGGGAAGGCGAAGGCGGCACTGCCTCTGGCGCAGACGACCAGGAGCGGGCGCAAGCGCTGGAAAAGGAGCGGGCGGAAGGGGAGCGCGCGGAGGGCGCGCGCGCGGAGAGGGAACGCGCGGAGAGAGAACGGATGGCGCGGGAGAGGGCGGAAAGGGAGAGGGCGGAGCGGGAGCGGGTGGACAGGGAACGGCTGAGGAGTCAGCAGAAGCTTCTAGAAGAGGCTATAGTGGAGATGAAGCGGATGAGGGGCGAGCAGATCGAGATGGGCAGGGAGCTGAGGCGCGCGCGGAATACCAAGGAGGCGGCGAAGCAGGCGTTTGGGGATTTGAAGAAGCAGGTATGGTGCTGAGAGCAGTGGGATTGTGTCCCGATGACTGTCGACTTGTGAGTCGACTCCGGGTTTGAGTCCCGCTATGGTGCTGAGAGTAGTGGGATTGTGTCCCGCTAACTGTTGTGTAGAAGCGGTTTGAGCGAGGAATACCAACGAGGCGGCGAAGCAGGCGTTAGGGGGCAGTGCTGTTTCGTTCGTCACGTAGCGACACTGGTCATGTGGCTAGATCGCATCGAACACACAGCCACGGCCTGTTTCCCCTGTCGTGACACGTGTCCTGCGCCAACCCTTCCTCCCCCCCAACCCCCCCTCTCCCCACCTCCCCCCCCCCCGCTGCAGGTGGTGGCGCAGGAGCACGTGCTGGCCCAGGCGCGCCTGCAGCTCTCTCTCCTGGAGGGTGTGAACAAGGCGCAGACGGAGGAGATCTCGCGCCTCTCGATCCCCCCTTCCCACCTCGCCCCTTTCCCCGAAACTTCTTTCCCATCCCCTATCCTCAGGTTGTAGCGCAGGAGCACATGCTGGCCCAGGCGCGCTTACAACTCTCTCTCCTGGAGGGTGTGAACAAGGCGCAGACGGAGGAGATCTCGCGCCTCTGGATGGCCGCCACTCAGAACCAGCCGGGACTCGCCCCAATCAACGGCCTTGCCGCCCCCCCTGGCATGGTCATGGGGTCGGACACGCGCTTCCTTGCCGCTGCTAGTGTTGCTGCTGGTGGTGGTGGGGGGGGGGGGAGGGGGATGGTGTGGGAGGGGCAAGGGGAGAGGGTAATGCTGCTGTTCGTGCTGCTGGCGGCGCTGGCCGTGGGGGGGAAGGTGGCGGGGTTGGGACTGGCGAGGATGCAGATGGGGGTTCTTCCTTACTTGGCCAGCAGCAGCAGCAGCAGTTAATGCCACTGCACGAGCAGCAGCGGCTGCAGCAGCAGCTGCAGCAGCAGAAGCAGCAGTTGCAGCAGCAGGGCGAAACCCTAACGGCGCAAGCAATCGCAGCAGATATGGAGCTAAGTGCCACAAAGCTACAGACAGCCATGAAAGAGCGACCCGTGCGCACTCTCCTGCAGATCGCATGGAGCCCGGCCAACAACATCGGCGCTTTAGCTAAGGTGAAATTTAAGGAGGCGAACGGAGCGATGGTGGTGGGTCACCCGGGAGACATGAAGTGGGAAGACGTGCTGAGAGCGTTAGAAGAGTATATCCGGTTGGGATCGCTGGAATTTGCTAAGTACCAGCTGATGTTTGGCTTTAAGGAGAAGGCAGTGTACCGAGCCCGAAGCAGGCTGCAGGACGGGCGTACCCAAGCCACGCTCCTAGCTGCGGCACACGAGGAGGCTCGGCAGCAGCTGATGGAGGGGACCCTGGAGTTTGAGGCGCACGCGCTGGCGTCGTCCGTCGCTGCGAGCGTGGGGAAGCTTCTGGGAACCGTGGAGGACGAGAAGCATGAGGACGAGGACGAGGAGGCGGCGGTGCACTCGCTGATCGCATCGGCGGCGGCCAATGCGGAGAACGCGGCGAGGGAGGCAGAGAGAGAGGTGATCCAGGCGCAAGCGAATGCTGCTGGGGGTCTCCCCCCTATCTCCGACCCTGCCGCTGGTGCTGCTGGTGGGTTGGTGCTGGTGCCGGTGCTGCCGGTGCTGCTGGTGCTGCTGGTGGTGCTGGCAGTGTTGGTATGGGTGCTGGTGCGGGTATTGATCCTCTAGACGCTGGCGACCTGGGAGCAGGAGGGGAGGGAGACGGCTTGATACGGAGAAAGCCAGGGAGGCCGAGGGGAGGAGGAGCAGCGCTGGCGATTGGAAACGGGGATCTTCCTGCGCTCTCTCGAGTGCGGGTGCCCAAGGTTCCCACCCTCCCTGCTTCCGCGCAGCAGGCGGCTGGGGACGGGAAGAAGAAGAAGAAGAGGAATCGGGGGAAGGGGCAGGGGGGAAGGGGAGCTGCGGGGGGGGAAGGGGCGGACGGCGGAGCGGATGGGATGGGGAATGCGGGTCAACTGGGTGATGGGGGTGAGGGGGGAGGGGGGGAGGAGGGGCTAGCGGGCGGGGAGGTTGTGGAGGGGCGGGGAAGGGGGAGGGATGGGGTGGCGGAGGTGGAAGCAGCAGCGGCGGCAGCAGCAGCAGCAGTAGCGGCAGGCTTGGAGGGGCAGATCGACGTAGAGGCTGTAGCGGCTGCTCTGGCACAGGCGCAGGGGAGTGGCATGCGGGGAGTGGGGCAGCAGGTAGGGGTGGGCGGGAGGAGCGCGCTGGAGAGGCAGCAGCAGCAGCAGCGGGAGCAGCAACAGCAGAGGGAGCAGCAGCAGCGGGAAGAGGAACAGCAGCAGGCGCAGGTACAGCAGGGGCAGCAGCAGCAGCAGGGGCTGGGGGAATTGGAGCAGATGGCAGCATCTTGGGCGGCGATTGTCCAGCAGTCGGGTGAGACGGATTCGTCGTCGCTAGTCGAGCTGAGAAACTCGTACATTCAGCAGCAGCAGCTGCTGCTGCAGCAGCGGCAGCAGAGCCAGCCGCAAGCGCAGACGCAGCAGCAGCCACAGCAGCAGTTAGTGGCGGAGCAAGCTGAATGGCAGCAGAACCAGCCGCACAGCAACCAGCAACAGCAGCAGCAGCAGCAGCAGCAGCAGTCGCAGGCAGTGCGACAGTCTCGGGCTCAGCAGGTGCAGTACCAGCAGCAGCAGCAGCAGCAACAACAGCAGCAGATTCAGCAGCAGCAGCAGCAGCAGCAGCAGCAGCCGTACCGGCAGCAGCAGGTGCAGCAGTTTCAGCAGCAGGCGCAGCACCAGCAGCCGCAGCAGGAAGTGGCAGTACCAGAAGCCGAAGCTGGGCTCATAGGCATGGCAGGTGCAGATGACGCCACCTTAGCCAGCCTGAGGCAAGCTGTGGGGGACGCATGGCAGGGGTCAGGGTTTGGGAGCCTGGAGGCGATCTGGCAGCAGGCGGGGCGGAGCGCAGTGCTGGGGCAGGGAGGGACGACAGGAGGCACGGCAGGGGGGAGGGGCAGTGCTGCTGGTGGCTCTGGAGCCGGGGCAGTAGCAGCAGGGGGGGAGTTGGGGCGGAGGCTGCTGCTGCTTTTGCCCAAGTTCAGAACGTTCCAGCAGCAGCAGCCAGCCAGCAGCATGGTAGTGCGCATGCTGCGGCGGCGGCTGCTGCTGCTGCAGCAGTGATTGCAGCAGCAGCAGGCAGTGCCGGTGTTGCTGCAGGGGGCGCAGCACAGCAGGACCTGCAGGGAGGGACTCCGGTGATGAATCTCAATTTTCCAGTGGCCGAGGATACCGCTGGGGCTGGTGCTGGGGGTGGCAGCAGGCGGGAGTCACGCCGGCAACAGCAGCTGCAGCAGCAGCAGCAGCAGCAAGGGCAGTATCTGGGTCCCCAGAGGCAGCAATCCTTGCAACCCCAGCAGCAGCAGCAGCAGTATCTACGTCAGCAGCAGCAGCCGCAGGTGCAGACTCAGCAGCTGTATCAGCAGCTGCAGGAACAGCAGCAGCAGACACATCATCACCAGCAGCAGCAGCAGCAGCAGCAGCACCATCAGCAGCAGCAGCTTTTCGGTTCTACAGCAGCAGAAGCTGCTGGGTACGGGAACGTGCGACAAGAAGAGGTGCAGCACCACCAGCTGTACCAGCAGCAGCAGCACCAGGCGCAGCAGCACCACCAGCAGCAGCAGCTGCAGCAGGAGCACGAGACGGAGCAGCAGAGCACCCAGTGGCCCCAGTCCCTCCCCTTTGCCAACCTAGGCGGCTTGGATAATGACACCGAGCCTCTGCAGTTTGCTTCCCCGGCTGGTGCTGCCGCTGCCACTGCTGGTGCACACTCAGCAGCTAGAGCACTACAGCAGGGGGGGTTGCCTGCGACTGCTTGGGGTGAAGTAGCCTCGGCATTGGGATCGGTTTCAGGTGCTGGGGTAAATAACCCTGTGCATTTCAATCTCGGGCAGCAGCTGGCGGGGAATCGGGCAGGAGGGGAGGCTGAGTTTGACCGGGTGCGCCTGTGGGGGAATGAATGGGATGGGGTGAACGCTGGGGCGAATGCTGCTGCTGCAGTGGCTGCGGCGGCAGCGGCAGCAGGGGGAGGGCAAGGGGAGGAGAGTGCTAGTGCTGGCTTGCAGCAGCTGCACAATCTGGCTGCAGCTCAGAATCAGCTGCTTCAGTTCTCTCGGGCTTTTGGGGCGGTGGGCCCGTTTTCTCGCTAGTAATTGAATATCCCCCGCTTTTTAGCAAGGGGGCTGTGACGTAGTGACGTTTAGTAGTTAGGTGTGTGCAATGGGTTAACATTTGGTTGACTGCTTGTTTTGGCTGGGATGTTGCTTTCTAGGACTTTAGTGTGTATTCTTAGAATATCGTTGTGTTATTCTTCGTTTTAGCTGCTTGATGTTTGAAGTGCACTTACACGTCCGTGTTCCACATTCAGCGTCTTCTAATGAACACATTTCTATTGGTCAAGGTGCTTTCCAGCCGCACGTTTCCATCTCACATTTGCTTTGCTGGCACGCAGAAGCTCTACGCATCACATGCTTGATCTTCGCTGGAAAGTGCACAATCTCTCCAGATCGAACCGCATTTCTTGACGTGGACGACGATCATTCGTTTCCGCATGCTGTCCACGTGGTTCTCCCCTCCTTTTCCTCTCACCTAGGGCCAGCCCCAATCTGCGCACCAATGAAGAGGGGAGAATGACACATGACTAGGTGCCGTGACGCTAGCAGTGCCAGAAACCAAAATTGCAGACCGCGTGCGACCATCCAGCGGTCCAACCAGTACAGCAGAGCAATGGCTATTCCTGCACGTTTAGACCAATCAGAACAGAAAGGCATCTTTCGGGGCCTGCCTGGCGATGACCACAAGAATTGGCAGAGCTCGCCTGATCAGCCACTATTGCCCAGGGCTCTCTGTTCAAGGGTAAACATCCGGAATGTCTGGTACATTCCGGGTCTTCCCCGCTGAAATCATGATTTTTAGGGTTTCGGACTCACAAATCTCCTGACTGACTCCGGGCGTTTCCAAGGAACTCCCTGAGCAATCCGGATTGCGCGAAGAAATATCCTGGCCATCCGACTGGCATGGAAACTCTCCTGTGCTGGAATTGCAACCAGCCCCTTCCCCCCCCCCCCCCCCCCCCCTCCCACCGACCTTTCCTTCGCAACCCTGACCAATTTTCCACGCAATCTGAAGGTGCGACCCGTCGAACTTCCACAACTACAGAAGTACATGGCTGTCAGACCTATCACAACACCTAAATACCACCTTAGCCAGGTTGCGCATTGTCCCTCTAAGTTGTACGCATTTCTGTCGCAATTGACAAGGAAAGTTTCGAACTCGGTGTGGTGGTGAGGGACAGCAGCAGCAGCTTGTGTGTGTGCTGTATTCTCCATCGTTTCTTCCATCGATGTCGTTCCTGCTCGTACTCGAAGTGCCCACAGGTTCCGCTTATATGTAGGGGTTCCCGAAAAACACTCTGAATTTCAGATTGACAGGTCAAAGTATTCCTGACATAAAGAGAGATTCTCCAGGGAATGCTGAATTTTCAGGGGTCTTTAGTGACGCGAATCCTGAGACCGCTGGGTCTTGAAAAACGGAAAATTAGCCCTGCTACTGCCTGACCTTGCCGGGAAGTGATCAGTTTGCGTCAGGTATATCGGCATAGGCGATCAGAATGCGTCAGGTTCCAACCTCGTTTCGTAATCATACCCCAATTCCTTGTTTACACAGTCAGATCGATCTGAATCACACAGCTTGTAAACGAGAGGGCATTCTCGCAATCCCCTCAAGAGTATCGCATGGTTCAGTTCCATTGTCTGCATCCCTCGACATACGCACTCACGAAGGTATCGTAAACGCAGTGCGTTTATGTCAAGGGATGCAGACAATGAAAATGAACCATGCGATACTTTTGCGGAAATGGCAAGAATGTTATATCATTTACAAGTTGTGCGATTCAGACCGATCCGACTGAGTAAACACGAGCTTGGGGTGTACATACGAAACGAGGTGGGCACCTGACACATTCTGATCTTTGCTGCCAATTTACCTTACTCAGCCTGATCTCTTCCCGACCTTGCCTGCTTTCCTCATCCCACCATCCAAGCCAGGCCTCTTGCTAATAGGGTAATTGCCCTTAATGTCAAGAAATTAAGAGTAACTTTTCAAGTGATACCGTTTTTTTACAGTGCGATGTTTTTCCGAATCCCTCCAGCCTACGGAAACAATTTCGCGCGATTCCTTAGCCTAACTTGTAGCTGTACGGGCTATACTTGTAGCAGGGAAATCTGTAGGAGGTAGCGACCCCCTACCCCCCTACCCCCGCCCCCCCCTCCTCTCCCACCCCCCCCCCCCCCCCCCCCCTCCCAACCCCGCATTTGATCACTTGATGGCCGAATTGTAGCGTCCGATTCCTTTCGGTAACGGGTTGTTTTCGGGGAATTCCTTCTGTTAACGGGTGATCCTGAGGCAATTCCGTCCCCTTCCGAAATACCCTGGGGTTTAGCGAGAGGCCTAATCCAAACCCCATCCACCCAAACCAAGCACACACACAACACAGCAAAGGGAAAGCGAGCCGCGATGAGCTCGACGGAGTCGGTTCGGGGGGAGCCACCAACCTGAGCCTCGCGCCAGGTCGATTTGCCTGACGGAGTCCGTTTCGAGCCACCCCGTTCCGTCCGTCCACCAGCTTGCATTATCTTTCCCGTCAGTGGGGCCATATGTCCATGGTGATTTCGTCCATCCATGACTTCGGTGACCTCGGTACCTTTGGGAAGCTAGTGCAAGCCTCACACACCCCTCCCACCATTTCTGCAATCGTTTCAACCACCAGTAGTCGGTGGTTCGTCAGATTAGCGGCTAATCTGTTCATTCAGGCTAGCTCATTCTTAATCGGCCCTTACAAACTCGAATTGGACAGTTGAATTGTGGAGCTCTTGGGTGTCATAAGTCGTCAAGTGTTAGCGTCTTTGCATAAGCACCGCCGTCACCACTGCTAAAACGGCGTGCTGTTTTGACTGGTTAGCTCTGGACAGCGGGATTCCCTTTCTCGTTGGCCGTTCGTTGGCGCATCGTAAATAGTCTTGGCTTAACGCGGTATCCGTTGGTTGAGCGAGAATGGTTCAGTACGGACGGTATATACTTTCGCATCGACTACCAGGATGGGAACCGTGAGTTCTGCTCAATATGCCTACTCAATCTGACTATCAATAAGCCTATTGAATAAGCCTACTCATTAAGCCTGCCTAATAAGCCCACTCAGTAAGCCTTTTGTGATCCTACTATTGACGGTAGCCTTTTGTCTTGGGATGGTATCTGCTTCCTACTGACAGTAGCCTTGGGATCATCCAATGATGGCATGATGGCATGATGGCATGATGGCAAACCAAGCCGTTCGTAGCTGGTCCCGCTTTTCGTTTTCTGTTGTTGTCGTTTCTGGCTATCAGCACCACCATTGACAGGATACGTAATCAGCATACCTCACTGTTGCTATCTAGCAGCCATTACTCTTCTGACTTGAACCCAAAAAGGGACTTGACACCTTCCCTACTGTTGATATGTCTATTTTTGAGGCGCCTCAAAAATAGACTCCTTACTGTGGATATGTAAACACCCGCGTGACTGTTTGTTCGCATCAGATATTACCTCAACTATAAGTCTCTCAAGAAGGAGATCAGAGCCTATGAAGCCGCCGTGGCTGCGGGAGTCACGGAGGAGCTTCAGCAGGACATGGCGTGCCGCTTCTCAGAGCATCTCGACTCGCAGGTAGACCCTTGAAGATTACAGGTAGACCCTTGAAGATTACAGGTAGACCCTTGAAGATTACAGGTAGACCCTTGAAGATTACATGTAGACCCTTGAAGATTCCAGGTAGACCCTTGAAGATTCCAGGTAGATTCGGGGTCACGGCAGCCGGTAGATGTCAGGAAATTTCTCCGTACTTTCTTCGCCCAGCTGGGGGATTTAGAAGATTCTGGAGTTATTTTCCGAGGCTTGTTGTCCTGGTAGTAAGGCGGGAAAACTGTTGATTCGTTGGTGGTTGGGATGGGACATGGAAAGAAGGCGAAGCAGGCGGAGAAAACTGATGCATTGATTTCCAGGCGCGGAAACCGCTGTTTTTGGCAGAGTCGGTGGTGCGCTCTTTCTTGCAGCAGCAGGGCGTGCTGGAGAGTAAGCAGCCTCAGCCTCAGCAGAAGCCTCAATTCACACTGATTCCTGTTATCTCTTTATTGCTTATTTTGGCAGATGAAGAAGGTGGTGCTCTTCTTCCTGCAGCAGCAGGGCGTGCTGGTGGGTAAGCAGCCTCAGCAGCAGCCACAATTCACATTAACTCCTGTTATTTCTCTATTGTTTATAACCGCAGATGGAGAAGGTGGTGCTGTTCTTCCTGCAGCAGCAGGGCGTGCTGGCGGGTAAGCTCCAGCGGCTGCGGGAGCTGAGGGAGGGCTCCAACACGCGGGGGGACGAGTCCAGCCTCGCGATCCTCATGCCGACCGACTTCGCTGACATGATGGAGCAGTACAGGTCGGTTGGTGGCATTATGGAGCGGTACAGGTCGGTTGATGGCATGATGGAGCAGTGCAGGTCTGTTGGTGGCATGATGGAGCAGTACAGGTCGGTTGGTGGCATTATGGAGCAGTACAGGTCGGTTGATGGCATTATGGAGCGATACAGGTCGGTGTCATGCTGGGCGACATGGAAGGTGACATTATCAGTCACATGATGGGGCAGTAGTACAGGTCGGTGACATGATCGGTGACATGATCGGTGACATCATCGGTGACATGATGGAGCAGTATGGGTATTTTTTGTGCACTTTCTCGTAGCCTTGGTATCCCTTACGTTCCATATGTCTGTACGCGATTCTGGCCACACCAAGTCGACTGAAGTGCATCATCGTCTCACGCTTCGCACCCTGCATCATCACCAATGCAGGGACGTGGGGCAATTTTTTAAACTCCTCAAAAAACCATTCTCTCACGCTTTGCAGGGACGTGGGGTGGGAGGGAGTTACTCCAGCTGCTGTAGTTTGTGGAGCTGTACGCCACGGGGCTGCACAAGATCCCGATTGCTGTGCTGTGACCCTATCCCTTACCAACAGAAGTGCTGCACTTGTCTACCAATCGTCTATTGCTTGCATGGGCGTGGGGCGGGAGCTGCTGCAGCTGCTGCAGTTTGTGGAGATGAACGCCACGCGGCTGCGCAAGATTCCTGTCTCGGTGCTGTCTGTCTCCCTTACTAACAGCTCCAGTATCGCCTCTTACCATCCCCTGTGTGCAGAGACGTCGGCCGAGAATTGTTGCAGCTGCTGCAGTTTGTGGAGCTGAACGCCACCAGGCTGCGCAAGATCCTGAAGAAGTCTCAAGGCACATTGTGCTCCTTGCTTGCCTCTCGTGCGCAGGGACGTGGGGCGGGAGCTGCTGCAGCTGCTGCAATTCGTGGAGCTGAACGCCACAGGGCTGCGCAAGATCCTGAAGAAGTTTGACCGGCGCGTGGGCGTGCGGCTGGGGCAGCGCTACATTGCCTCGCGCACCCTGCACCCGTACTCGCACCTGCAGCAGATCTTTCGACAAGTGGTGAGTTGCCTCGATGTAGTGAGATGGCACTTGTGAGGCGGTTCTTTAGCGGACCTCAAAGCATGTGAGGCTGGGGCAGCGCTACATTGCCTCACGCACCCTGCACCCATACTCGCACCTGCAGCAGATCTTCCGACAAGTGGTGAGTTGCGAGTTTCGTCATCTGGGAATATCTTGAGGCACCACCAAATTACTCTTGTCCCTCCTTCCCCTCCCTCCCCCCCCCCCCCCCAAACCCCCCTTCCTCCCCTCTCCCCCCCCCTCTCCCCCCTCTCTCTTCCTCTCCCCTCCTTCCCCCCATACCGCGCATTCGTCATCTGAGCATTCGTTATTTTACACGCCACTCCCCCCCATGACCATCCGTCAGGGCCTGGGCGCCATGGTGGGGACGATCATCCGCAATTTGGACAAGCTTTGGAGCGTGTAAAGGCATTCCTCAACCCCCCCGTCCCGCCCCCTTCCCCGTTCCCCCACTCCTGCCACTCTTCCCCGTTTCCCCGCCACTCCCGCCCCCACCCCCCGTTATACCCCATCCTTCAGGGCCTGGGCGCCATGGTGGGGACGATCATCCGCAACCTGGACGAGCTGCACCGCCGAGAGCGCTGCTATGCCTCGCCGTCCAATCTCATCTCGCCCCGTGGCAGTCTCGTCTCGCCACGTGGCTCTTTTCGGCGGACGTCCTTCTCCCTCTTCAGACAAGGGGACGAGTCCCCCGTGTACGTGGCTCAGGAGGAGCCAATCATTCAGGAGATAGAGGCGGCGCGCGCCAAGCTGACGGACGCAGTGAGCTACGACACCTTTGTGGCCAAGGGGCTGCTGCTGCCGCCTGCGCCGGAGAGGGGCCCCGAGGCAGCGGAGCCGGAGTTCCACTGGTGGTCGCTGCAGCTCAACCAGTTCAACACGTTCCTCTACATGGTGGGTTCTTGATGGTGGGATATTATATCAGCCGTTCCTCGCGGTCGTTTTGGGATGTGGCCCAGGTTTGGGGCCTTGAAGGGCTTTTGAGGGGAGCAGCAGGCAGTGGAGCCAGAGTTCCACTGGTGGTCGCTGCAGCTCAACCAGTTCAACACGTTTATCTACATGGTGCGCACTGAAAGATCTTCCAGAGTTTCTCAAGGTCTTGGTTGGGGTTCAGATGAGTCTCTGGGGACTCTTAAAGGCCTGTGGGCGCCTTGTTGGAGAGCCCACGAGGGCCCGAGGCAAGCACATTCGGTATGAGCTGCAAGGACATTCGGTATGAGACAGCTAGAGACAGCTAGGGACAGCTAGGGGCAGTTAGGGACAGCTAGGTACAGCTAGAGACATCTAGGGACAGCTAGGGACAGCTAGGGACAGCTAGGAACATCTAGGGACAGCTAGGGACAGCTAGGGACAGCTTGGGACAGCTAGGGACATCTAGGGACATCTAGGGACATCTAGGGACATCTAGGGACATCTAGGGACATCTAGGGACATCTAGGGACATCTAGGGACAGCTTGGGACAGCTAGGGACAGCTAGGGACAGCTACCGAATGAGCTGCAAGCACATACCAGAGTTCCTCCGGTGGTCGCTGCAGCTCAACCAGTTCCTCTACATGTCAGGTTTTCCACATGAAGGCTATTGGGGCATTCGGGTTTTGGGGGTTCTCGTGGTCTCGGTGGGGCTTCTGTTGGGCGTGGGTTGGGAGGTGGCTGGTTAGAGTTCTGGGAGGCAGTGGATTCGGAGTTCCACTGCTGGTGGTGGTCGCTCGCTGCAGCAGCCTACTGCTCAAACCAGTTCGGGACTTTTGAGTCGACTCAAAAGTCAAGTTGGAGTCTTGGGACGCAGTGGAGTCGGAGCTCCACTGGTGGTCGCTGCAGCAACCTACTGCTCAACCAGTTCAAGACCTTCCCCTTTCCCCAGTGTCCTGGCCCTTTTTTTCACCCTCCACCCTCTTCCTCCCTTTCCAGTTCCAGGTCAACGGCTACATCATGGCTTCAAGCTTCAACATCGGACTTAAAAGCTGCTACATCATAGGTGGCTTTTGAGTCGACTCAGAAATCATAGCTTCAAGCTTCAACATCGGACGAGTACGCCTTCCTTTTGTCTGCCCCGCCTGCCCTCCGTGGCATCATCATCGGCACCACGCCCCTCTGCGCGCTCGTCACCCCCCCTCCATTTCCCCTTCCCGTTTCCCTCCCCGGTGCCCCAGGTCAACTACTACATTATCGTGCCCTCATCAGACGTGTACGCGATCCTTCTCTCCCCTTTGCCTGCTCTCTGGCATCATCATCGGCGCCACGCCCCTCTGTCCGCTCCTCACCCGCCCTCCCTTCCCACATCCCTCATTCTCCCCCCTCCAGGTCAACTGCTACATCATAGTACCAACATCAGACGAGTACGCCATCCTCCTGTCCGCTCTGCCTGCTCTCTGCGGCATCGTCATCATCATCAGCGCCACACCAGCCCCTCTGCGCGCTCGTCACCAGCACACGGTGCACGTGACGAGGCTGAGTCTGATGCTGATGCTGTGCACCATAGGGCCTCTCTGTTCACTCACATCCTCGCAAAAACTTTCCCCCTTCCTTCCCCCACCCCTTGCCCCTTCCCTCACCCAAGGTCAACTACTACATCATCGTGCCCACATCAGACGAGTACGCCATTCTGCTCTCCGCGCCGCCTGCTCTCTGCGGCATCATCATCGGCGCCACGCCGCTCTGTGCGCTCGTCTCTGCGTTCGTCTTCAGCAAGTGGTCCAACACCTCCTACTCGCAGCCGCTGGTGATTTCCACGCTAGTGCTGCTCCTGGGGAACTTCACATACGCTACTGCTCTGGACTTCCGGTCGGTGGCGCTGCTGCTGATCGGCCGATCTCTCACGGGGTAAGCAGAGTGGCCAGGAGAGGGGAGGAGGGAGGAGGGTGGGTGAGGGGTTGGTTGTGTGTGGGTCTCTGCGTTCGTCTTCAGCAAGTGGTCCAACACCTCCTACTCGCAGCCGCTGGTCATCTCAACGCTCGTGCTGCTGCTGGGGAACTTTGCATATGCTGCGGCGCTGGACTTCCGGTCTGTGGCGCTGCTGCTGATCGGTCGATCACTCACCGGGTGAGGAACGGGCAGCGGGAAGGGCGAGGAAGGGAGGGGTGCGTGTGGCTAATTGGGCTGGGTGCAGCCACACCCCTCTGTGCGCTCGTCTCTGCGTTCGTCTTCAGCAAGTGGTTCAACACCTCCTGCACCCAGCCGCTGGTCATCTCAACGCTGGTGCTGCTGCTGGGGAACGTTGCGCATTCAGCTGTGCTGGATTTCCGATCCGTGGCTCTGCTGCTGACCAGCCGATCTCTCTCCGGATGAGGGCTAGCAGACCAACTGTGTGGGGGGTAGCAGACCAAGAGCTCTCCTCCGAGCACACCTCAGTCTTGGCTGGCTTCGCCAGAGTCGGCACCCTGCCCTGGGCAGAGCAGTGCCCCGCCTCACTCTCTATGGCGGGGCCCTAGAGGGTGAGGCGGGGCCCTGCTCTGCCCCGGGTTGCCAGCTCTCCTGCCTTCCCCTCCCCCCCCTCCCCCTCCCCCCCGACTACCATCCTCTCTTATCCTGGGAGGAGTGAGGGCCATCAACCGTCGCTACATGGCAGACCACGTCCCGTCCTCTCAGCACACCTCAGCCTCGGCTGGCTTTGACAATGCAGGCGCTCTACGCATGGCAGCAGGCGTCAAGCTGGGAGGATTGAGGGTTATCAACGGGCGCTACATCTCAGACCACGTCCCCTCCTCCCAACGGACCTCAGCCTCGCCTGGCTTCGTCAGTGCAGGTGCTCTACGCATGGCTGGCAGCAGGCCCGTCTTCTGTACCGTAATCCTCCCCCCCCTCTCCCCCACATCCCAACCACCCCCTTCCGCCACCACCAACCCGTCAGGCTGGGAGGAGTGAGGAGGGCCATCAACAGGCGCTACATCGCAGACCATGTCCCCTCCTCCCAACGGACCTCAGCCTCGCCTGGGCTTGTCAGTGCCAGCACGCTGGGCATGGCAGCAGTACTGTCTATAAAGCTGTGATCCCTGCTCTTTCCCTCGCCCTCCCCCCCGCCCCCACCACCCCCACCACCACCCCCCTTTCCCCACCACCAACCCTACAGCCTGGGAGGAGTGAGGGCCATCAACCGGCGCTACATCTCAGACCACGTGCCCTCCTCCCAACGAACCTCCGCCTCAGCCGGGTTTGTCAGCGCTGGCGCGCTGGGCATGGCAGCAGGGCCCTTCGCTGCATCCCTCATCGACTTCCTCAACTTCAAATTCCTCGGCTTCACAGTCAACTCCGTCACCTCCCCCGGCTGGCTCATGGTGCTCATGTGGCTGATCTACCTCGCGTGCGTGGTTCTGTTCTTCAAGGAACCGGATCGGTCGCATCTGCAGCAGCCGCCGCCGCCGCTGGGGAAGAGGGAGAAGTCGGCTGGGGAGCTCAAGAGGGGGAAGTCGGCAGGGGAGCTTAAGAGGGAGAAATCGGCAGGGGGGTTTAAGAGGGGGAAGTCGGCAGCTGATCTTCAAAGCGACGCTTCTAGAGAGGCGCTGCTGGGAGGTTGTAGGGGAGCGTCGTGTGGAGGCAGGGATGCGGGTGGGGATGGGAACAGGAGAGGGGACGGGGATAGGGATGGAGTTGTGGTTATGGACGGAGTTGGGGGAAGTGTGGTGACTGCTGCATCGCCTGCTGATAGGTCTTCTGGGATCGAGAATGGAGAGATAGGAGCAGTGGGAGGGGGCGTGGCAGGGAGCACGAAGTGGGGAGGGGCATGGGGAGCAGCGGCAGGGGTTGGGGCAGGTGCCGGAGAGAGAAGAGGGGTTGTGAGCAGTTTGATTGAGCCTTTGCTGGGTAGGACGGCAGCAGCAGGCGCAGCAGGAATAGCAGCAGCAGCAGCAAGAATCACAGGAACAGTAGCAGCAGCAGAGGCAGGAGCAGCAGCAGCCGCAGGAATCACAGGAGCAGTGGCAGCAGCAGAGGCAGGAGCAGCAGCAGCAGCAGGAATCACAGGAGCAGTGGCAGCAGCAGAGGCAGGAGCAGCAGCAAAACCACCACCAGTGCTGCTAACAGCATTGTCTAACGAGAGTGACGCCCAAACGTGGCTGCATTTAGCATCTCTGGTAAGCCATGCCCCTCCCTTCCCTCCTCCTCTGCCCAATCCTCTTCCCCTCTCCTCTTCCCCACACACGCCGCTTGTGAATCTCTACATTTGAGTCGTACTTAAAGCACCTTCCCCACGCCGCTTCTGAATCTCTACATTTGAGTCGTACTTAAAGCACCTTCCCCACGCTGCTTCTGAATCAGTTCTTCACATCTGGTTTCTTCCTTTCTCTGGTCTCTTCGGTACCTGTTTCCTGTGTCTCAGGCCAGACCGCGTTTTGTTTTGAGGCGCCTGAAAACTAGATTCCTGTCTCTGGTCTCTTCGGTACCTGTTTCCTGTGTCTCAGGCCAGACCGCGTTTTGTTTTGAGGCGCCTGAAAACTAGATTCCTGTCTCTGGTCTCTTCGGTACCTGTTTCCTGTGTCTCAGGCCAGACCGCGTTTTGTTTTGAGGCGCCTGAAAACTATATTCCTGTCTCTGGTCTCTTCGGTACCTGTTTCCTGTGTCTCAGGCCAGACCGCGTTTTGTTTTGAGGTGCCTCAAAACTAGATTCCTGTCTCTGGTCTCTTCGGTACCTGTTTCCTGTGTCTCAGGCCAGACCGCGTTTTGTTCCGCTGGTCCCGTCCGCATCCCTCCTCCATCCGGGGATTGACAGTGTGTAATACCTTCCCCTCCCCCCCCCCCGTGGTCCCTTGTCCCTCCCAGCCGTACTTTGACGGAGGGCGAGGAAGAGGAGGATGATGACGATGGTGCATCATAATAATTTTCTGTCTATCCCCCCACACACACCCACTCCCCCCCCCCCCCCCCCTCTTCCCCCTCTTCCCCCCCCCCTCCCACCTGGTCAGCAATGAGGGAGGGGACGAGGACAAGGATGATGATGGTTCATCGTCATATTCTTCTGTCCCTCCCCCCCTTCCCCTCCCCCCCTTCCCCTCCCCCCCTTCCCCTCCCCCCCTTCCCCTCCCCCGGAACCACCCCCCCCACCCCCCGTCCCCCTTCTGGTGGTCCCTCTGTCCCCCGCCAGCCAGACATTGACGATGGGGAGGAGGAGGAGGAGGAGGATGATGATGGTGCATCGTCCACTGGGGCCGTGGAGACGCTTCCAGAGCTGATGAAGGAGCTGTCCCGTCCCATCTCGGTAGGGGAGTGGGCTTTGCATGTAGATACCAGGTTGTTTCCCAGGTCCTCATTCACGTGTGCACGTTGCACCTCCCACTGGGGCCGTGGAGACGCTTCCAGAGCTCATGAAGGAGCGGTCGCGGCCCATCTCGGTACGGTTGGGCTGGTGAAGCATGCAGGTCGATCGTGGTAAGGGGCTGGTTTGTGGTTCCCAGGTTTTGTGTTTGCCGGGTTTTGTGTTTGCCGGCTTTTGTGGGTGTACGATGCATCAGGGTTATACAAGGAGCTGTCATGGGACTTTTTTTTAGGCGGCTCAAAAGTGCGTGAACTGATACCTCTTTTTTTTTTTTTTAAGGTGCCTCAAAAATGGTTTTGTGGGTGTGCGATGCATCAGGGTTCTGAGGAGCTGCCCTGGCCAATCTTGGTTCGGTGGTGCCAGTGTCCCAGCCCGTCCCAGCCTGTCCCAGCCTGTCCCAGCCTGTCCCAGCCCAACTGTGCGGTAGGAAGGAATTCGTTAATCCAGTCTGTGCCTGCAGCACGCTGCGCTGTCCACTGGGGCCGTGGAGACGCTTCCAGAGCTCACAAAGGAGCTGTCCCGACCCATCTCGATACGGGGATGCTGGGGTCATATGTACATCAACCGTGATATGAACTGGTTAATCAGGCCTATGTGTGCACATTGCGCTGTCCACTGGAGCCGTGGAGACGCTTCCAGAGAGCTCACAACACAAATGAGCTATCCTGGCCCATCTCGGCAGGGGGGGTTGGAATCATCAGGTTAGGTCAATGTCATTATGTGATTGGTTTCGTGGTTGGTTCATTGGGGTGCGAATGGCATCTCACTCAGCTAGCTCAAAGGCTGCATGCTTCCATTGCGTGAGCTTGTCTTTGCATCGTTCCCTTCTCATTCTCGTTATCCTCGTTATTGCAGGTCCTCCTCTTCATGTACTTCATGATCAAATTCGCCACCGAGGTGCTTATATCGGAGTCCAGCCTTGTCTCCAAGTTCTATTTCCAATGGACCATCAACGATGTAGGTTTCCATGCTCCCATGCTTCCTCGACCTTGGTGTTGTTGTGCCCTTTATACTCTTTTTTGTATGATGCTTATCTAGTTAACACCGCATGTCAATTGTGTGACATTTGACATTCTCCCTCACCCGTCTCGTCCAATGTCCTTACCCTCACCCTCACCTGCCAGATTGGCTGGTTTCTTGGTCTGCTGGGCCTCACCGTTCTCCCCATAAGCTCAGTGGTCGGAAACTACATCACCAACATATATGAGGACAGGTCAGTAGAGGCCAGTTATGCAGGTCAGTAGACCCCAGTTATGCAGGTCCGTACGTGCATTGTGGGTGCAACTGGTGGGTGATAGTGGTGATGTGCGTTTGCGGTCTGCCTATTGATGAGAGTTGCTCTTTCCGTGCACTCTCTGTGTTCTTCCACAGGCTGGTGATCATGTGGACGCAGCTGCTGATCGCCGTGGGGGTGGTGGCGGTGATGTGTTTCGCCCCCATCATCAAGTACACCACACAGCAATACATCGTTGCTGCCGTCATCATCTTCGTCTCCTGCAACGTGCTCGAAGGTGGGTTGCTGTGCCTTGCTTAGCTGCTGATTACCAACAGGATGGGAGGGGGGATGGTATTCTCAGTGATGTGTTTCGCCCCCATCTTCAAGTAATACATCGTTGCCGCCATCACCATCTTCGTTTCTTGCAACGTGCTCGAAGGTGGGTGGCTGTCCCACACTCCACTCCACCACCCTCCACCCCTTCCCACCTCCCCATGCTGCCCTCCTTCCTCCCTGACCCGTGTAGTCAAACAGATGATTGTGAATGTTTCCAGTAACTTCCTGTTTCCCTTTGCACCACACCTGGCATCTCTACAGGGGTTTCGCTTGCACTAATGTCGCGCATCATGTCTCCACGCTTGGCAAGAGGAACGTTCAATTGTGGGCTTCTGTCGACCGAGGCTGGCACTTTTGCCCGTGTGGTGGGCGACGGCCTCATCACCCTTGTCGGGTACTATGGCACACATCTAGTCCTCAATCTCACAATGATCCCTGTCCTAATCTCTGTCCTCGTGTCTTTAGTTGCCACGAGGTGGGTGTACTATGCATTGTACTAGCATTTTTTGCTGCTAGTCACTAATGTTCAATTCAATGGTAAAGTAATATGTGACGTGAAATTAGCATCCACGCGCAATATGTTGGAGGCCGACATAAGAATTCAACCAGGGCCTCAGATTTCAGGATGTTTTATCCTGAATTCCTGATTTTCAGGATGGAAGTTAGGTGCCAGTCCTGAGTTTTCAGTTTGATCCCATTTCTCACCCTGTAATTTTAGTTGAGTTTGTGTACCAGCCCTGAACTGTCTGTATGCCTTAGGGGATAACCCTGATTTATATGCACCACAGAACGGGGGTACCCCTTGTTTTCCCATTGTTTGCTGCCTTAGCCCTCACGTCTTGGTCAGTTTGCCGAGTGCACTGCATCAAGCCATCACCACATGAAGCACTGACACTTTGCTGCCATGGCGCGCTGCTGCCCAAGTGGTTGGCAGCACAACATGCATGAAAACTGGTGTTCTGAATTCAACCCATAAAATAGCATGTTTGGATTTAGGAGTTTTTTTATATAGGCTTTCGCCTCCGTTCTGGTCGTCAAACGGATCTGTCAATACGTAAGGAATTAATTCAATTTCTGGCACACACGGCAGTGCGGCCCGTCAAACGGTCACAGAAGCTCGAATCACGTTTTCGGGAAGCACAGGGTGCGGACCCGCTAAACACCATCCGCTTCTGTTCATTTCCAACCACGCGTTCCCTCCCTCGCGTCCCATGAACTCGTCCCGCCCCACGAGCGCGAAAATTTCTGCCACTCACAGAAGGAGAACAAATCACTCATCTGGGCAGCGCGTGACTTTTGCGGAACATCAATCTCCTCCAATACAGCAGGAGGAGCTCCTTCACCTTCACTTTCCCGTGACACACACCCACTCATTCCAGGCCAGACCAGGCCCCCCAGCACGGCAACCTGGTTCTGTAACAGGAACCAAATCGTTCTGTAACGCAACGTACCCCACCACACCCGCTTGCCTCTATTCCCTTGACTGATTCTTTCTGTATCTATATTGCTGATGAAACAGCAAGCTCTCAAGCAGAACTCATTCATTCTCTTCCTGTGCTTTCTATCAGTTCATCACTCCAGGGATCTGGGAGCTAAGCTTCAAGCTCAGCTTAGAGTTCCTGGGGTCAGCGTCGTATGTTAGAAGCAGCTTACCAGCTGATATAGACGAACAAACACATCGACGAGACCACGTGCAGCACTCTCCATTCCATTGGCACAAGCAGCTTACCAGCTGATATAGACGAACAAACACATCGACGAGACCACGTGCAGCACTCTCCATTCCATTGGCACGTGCTTAGCTTGAACGCCGTCAGAGCAGTTCATTGTCTTCCTTAGCGAATTCACCATAGCGATTTCACCATGGTGAACAATCCGGCGTCAATTTCAGCCGTGGGAGCATGGACCATGAACGTGGTCAGCTCCGTCGGCATCATCATGATCAACAAGCAAGTCATGTCAGGATACGGCTTCAGGTTTGGTACGTGTTTTCATTTCCTTATCAGGGGCCGGCGAAACCGCTTATAGACCAGCGTAGACCCTCGTGAGACGTAGTGGAAGCCTGAAGTTTAGCGACGCTTCAGAATACGATGCGGAACAACCATGGATATAAACGTGTCCACTGAGCTTAAAATCATCCGGTTTTTTTTCGCAGAAATTGTCAGGAATCTGGATCATCAGTAACGCAAACGATTAAAAACTTTGCTGATGTATGTGCAGCCTCGACACTGACGGGTCTCCATTTCGGCGTGACGGCTCTGGTCGGCATGGCTTCCGCTGCGCTGGGCTACCTGAACAGCAAGAACACGGTGCCGCTGTGGGAGCTGATCTGGTTCTCCATCGTCGCGAATCTCTCTATTGTCTCCATGAACCTCAGCCTCATGCTCAACACCGTCGGATTCTACCAGGTGAGATTGGTGCATGCTCAACACCGTCGGATTCTCCATCGTTGCGAACCTCTCCATTGTCTCCATGAACCTCAGCCTCATGCTCAACACTGTTGGATTCTACCGGGTGAGAATATTTTTGAGGCGCCTCAAAAATAATGCAACCAGATCAGCTTAAGGAGTCTATTCTTGAGGCGCCTCAAAAATAATGCAACCAGATCAGCTTAAGGAGTCTATTTTTGAGGCGCCTCAAAAATAATGCAACCAGATCAGCTTATACACCATGCCGTTCCTGGTGCTAGCGTGGTTCTCCATCGTTGCGAATCTCTCCTTTGTCTTCATGAACCTGAGTCTCATGCTCAACGCCTCCGGATTCTACCAGGTACGTCAGGATAAGTAAGTCAGAAAAGGTCAGAATACCCGCTGACTTTTGTGTTGACTCGAAAGCGGCGACTTTTGTCGACTCAAATGTCATCCATGCACGGAGCAAATCTCAGCTGCTACCTAGTCCAGCTTTGCAAGCACAGACGATTTGTTTTCGAAAATTGTTGGAGGAGCTCGAGAAATCTCCGTGCGTGGCGCGAACGCGATGGGTAGGAAATTCACAGACACGCATTTCGAAAAAAAAAAAATCCCGTTGCAGTGGTGCACGACTGTCCAGGAAGTTCTCTCATCTCTCACAAGTGCTGCAGGATTGTCGAGAATTCTCGAAATTCGCTCGCTGGTGCTGCCCGATCGTCCTGCTGAACTTTCGCATTGTCGACCACAGTATTAAAAACCGTAGCTCATCCGTTGCTTCCCGTGTCTCGTCTCTTCCTTGTCCCAACATTCCAATTTGCGAAGTCGCAGCCACTTGCTTCTTCATAACGCTGCTTCCTTATAAGTCGCGTTAACCTTGCACCTTTCCCTCGTCCCTTCACTTCCTCCCAACCTCACAGATCGCCAAGCTGAGCATCATTCCAGTCGTGTGCTTCTTCGAGGCGCTCCTTCACTCCAAATCCTACTCCCGCGAGGTCAAATTCTCCGTGGCCGTGGTCATGGTGGGCGTGGGCGTCTGCACGGTCACTGACATCAACATGAACGCCTTTGGCTTCATCGCGGCAGCAGTCGCCGTCGTCAGCACGTCGCTTCAGCAGATTGTGAGTATCTCTCTCTTTTACCCATCTGTGTGCCATTCACCCACGTCTGTCCGCCTCCTTGCTGCTGCCGATACTGTCGTCAGCTCATCTCTTCTGCGGATCGTAAGTGTCTTCATCTCTTCATCTCTTAAGTGTCTTCCCACCTGACCGTGGTCATGGTGGGCGTGGGCGTCTGCACCGTCACTGACATCAACATGAACGCCTTCGGCTTCAACGCCGCTGCCGTCGCCGTCGTCAGAACGTTGCTCCAGCGGATCGTAAGCACTCCTCCTCTCATCTGATCGTTGTTTGCCATATGGTCGGCGTGGGCGTCTGCACGGTCACTGACATCAACATGAACGCCTTCGGCTTCATCGCTGCCGCAGTCGTCGTCGTCAGCACATCGCTCCAGCAGGTCGTAAGTACCCTCTTTCACATCTGTGCGCCATTCACCCACTCCTGTCGGCTACCTCGCCGCTGCCGCCGCCGTCGTCAGCACGTCGCTCCAGCAGATAGCAAGAGTCTTCTTCCCCGTGTGTGTACCACCATTTACCCACTTCCTTCCGTTTCCTCGCCGCTGCCGTCGCCGTCGCCAGCACGTCGCTCCAGCATATAGTAAGTGTCGACTTCCTCGTGTGTGCACCTTCACCCACTTCCCTTCGTTTCCTCGCCGCTGCCGTCATGATAGGAGGGACGGCCATCCCCGTCAAAGGTCGAAGTCCGCCTTTTAATCGCTTTTTTAACAGCCTTTTTATCCTCGAATTCGCATTGCTCCTGCTCTCTAAAGGTCCAATGTCCATCTCCTTCCCCCTGTTCTGCAGTTCATCGGTTCCCTGCAGACCAAGTTTTTTTTGTTAAAGACTAACGATTTTTTCGTGCCTTCCATCGCTCTCCCCCCCGTTTTGCAGTTCATTGGATCCCTGCAGACCAAGAACAGCATCAGAAGCGCCTTATGATTACACTTCTCACTCCCGACTCTCATTGGTTGCTGTTCATTGGTTCCCTGCAGACCAAGTACAGCATCAGGTCCCTCGACCTGCTCAGCCAGATGCCCCCAATCAGGCCGCTCCGTTATTGGCTTCATTCTTGGCAACTCCATCCTGAAATACCAACTCCGGGCCAAACTCTCTTTCCCTCTTCCCTCCCTGGTCGCAGTTCATCGGTTCCCTGCAGGCCAAGCACCGCATCGGATCCTTCGACCTGCTCAGCCAGGCAGCCCCCATTCAGGCCGCTCCGTTATTGACGTTTTCCTTACCAACTCCATTCTGAAATACCACCACTGGGCCAAACTGTCTTTCCCTCCTCCCTCCCTGGTCGCAGTTCATCGGTTCCCTGCAGGCCAAGTACCGCATCAAAATCGTTCTCTAAGGCGCCTTAATATCACAAACCCTCTTCCGTTTCTCTTTGGTTGCAGTTCATCGGCTCCCTGCAGACCAAGTACAGCATCGGGTCCTTCGACCTGCTCAGCCAGACGGCTCCCATTCAGGCGGCGCTGCTCCTGCTGTTGGGCCCGGTTATTGACTTCTTCCTTACCTCGCACTCCATCCTGAAATACCAGCTCACATGGGGCTCTGGGGTAAGATCTGTAATGCTTTTTTTCTTGCTTATGTTGTAGTTGTTCCTATCTCTCTAGTTGCAGTCTCAGACTGCCTTGTAAAATACCCTTGGCAGAGTGGCCCGTTGGTTAGAGGGAACACACTTCTGCTTCGGTTGACGTTTCTGCTGCTTCGCACTCTGTTGTTCCTTGCAGATCTTCATTGGGCTCTCATGCTTCTTTGCCGTCTTCTGCAACCTCAGTCAGTACCTCTGCATTGGAAAGTTCTCAGCAACGTCCTTCCAGGTCTTGGGCCACATGAAAACCGTTCTGGTTCTCGCCATGGGCTTCCTCGTGTTCAGCTCCCCAATCACCATGAAGAATGTGATGGGTATGCTCATGGCCGTGGTGGGCATGGTGATATACAGCTGGGCTGTGGAGAAGGGCAAGAAGGAGAAGGAGGCAAAGGACAAGCTCCTGAGATCTCCCATGGTTGCTGCTGCTGTTCCGACCAAAATGCCTGATGAGGGGATGCAGGATGGAGAGGAGTCAGCACTTCTCTCCAGCAAGGATGATCTTGAAGCTGGAAGGCAAAGCTGAACATAGAAAAGCTTAGCAATATGCTTTGGCTTCTCGGGTAGCTTGTCGCTTATAGGGGTGTGTGCCATCCATATTAATCTATGCCTAATTAGGTAGTAGTTAAATTTGCGAGCTAGGACTGTTCAATCAAACATTGTAAAGCCTAGATTTATCGAGCCAGTACAGTATCGGATCTCCAACGTCCGTTTCTTCCCTGGGCCATTTGTCCCTGCTGGAGCCACGGTAGACGTTCTCCGTCAGGTCGCCATGGGACTCCACGAGCCGTTGACCCCAGTGGATGCAGTTTCGCTCCCTTTTTTTGCCACTCCAACCGCCAAAAACATCGACCTTGGGAACTGACAGGCCGCAGCGGGCAACCCAACTGCCTGACTGACTTTGTCGCTCACTAGAGAGTATTTGACTTCCTGGATGAATGATTTTCAGAATTTGAGCTTCATTTTGCTGCTGTGTTTCAGGGAAGCTCGAGGGTGACCTGGTGGTCTCAGCACTCAGATATAAGCTCTTGGTCATATATTAGGCCTTGATTCAAGCATCCCTTCACAGCGATAGGGACGCCCAGTTGACGGCACTGGGCTTGTCGACAAGTTAGCATAATCCGACCAAGTCCTTTCGTTTAGGTCTAGGCGCTAACCGTGTGGAGCAGAAAGTAGACTCGTCTGGTTGGTGTGCTGCATCTAGTGGATGCTGACTGCCGTTTGGTTTACTTCTGAAGTCAGCTTACTTCAGGTCGTGATTACGCAATAAGGCACCACGTCCTGTGCGTCGTACCGGAATTCAAGATCTTGAGGTCGTTACTAACTTGTAAAGATGGTAAACAATCCAGCAGCCGTTTCGGCCGTAGGAGCATGGACCATGAATGTGGTCAGCTCAGTCGGCATCATCATGGTCAACAAGCAAGTCATGTCGGGTTACGGCTTCAGATTTGGTAAGTAAAGCTCTGCGGTTACTCCATCCATATGTCAGTCTTAATCGTCGTCTTCCAGATGGATATCATTGTCATGAACAGATGTTATAACCTTCGTCTGTTATAAGCCGAAGAGATTCAAGCTTCTGTGCCTTCCAAAGCACGGGCATCTCTCGCTGTTCTCGATTCCGTCAGCGACTGGATTCACCTTGACTGAATTCACTCACGCAAACGCATTCCTCTGGCGAACATTACAGCATGCGCGTTGACGAAATTCAATTCGCTAACGTAGCCTTAATGCCGTCTCCTGTCGACTATCATTGCAGCGTGCACATTGACGGGATTCCATTTCGCGGTCACAGCGTTGGTCGGCATGGCGTCAGCTGCAGTGGGGTATATTTCAAACAAAGCCACCGTGCCGTTCCTGGAGCTCGCCTGGTTCTCCATCGTTGCGAATCTCTCCATTGTCGCCATGAATCTCAGCCTTATGCTCAACACTGTTGGCTTCTACCAGGTGAGGTTGGTGCACGGGAGAAAACTCGTGAAATTATTTAACCTATCAACTTGGTCAGATGCACTCTGTCGTTGTTTCTCCGCGTCCGGCTATTTTTTTATGCTTTCAATGTCATCCGGTGAACCATCAACTATGAATCGCCAACTCCTCCTTCTCCCCTAACCCACGTGCCCATGTCATGTATTACCTTTACAGATTGCAAAGCTCAGTATCATACCGACCGTGTGTCTCTTTGAAGCGTTGCTTCACTCCAAGGCCTACTCTCGGGAAGTGAAATTCTCAGTGGCCGTTGTGATGGTGGGGGTGGGAGTCTGTACGGTCACTGACGTCAGCATGAACCTCATGGGTTTCATCTCGGCTCTCGTCGCTGTCATCAGCACCTCCCTGCAACAAATTGTGAGTTTGTACTCCAGTAAGTTCACAAAATCCTTTTTTTCGAATTCGTGCCAGGTTTTGTTTTCCTTTGCAGGGTGATAGGCTGGGGATTCTTCCGAATGCAGCCACATCCATTGCCTCCCATCTCCTTTCCCTTGGCTGATCCGTTGCAGTTCATCGGGTCCCTCCAGACAAAGTACAACATTGGCTCCTTTGACCTGCTCAGCCAAACTGCACCCATCCAGGCAGCATCCCTGGTGGTGCTCGGCCCCTTCGTGGACTACTTCATCACAAGTCAGAACATCATAGACTTCACCCTTACTGCAGGATGCACGGTGAGTACACCCCCAATGTTATTCTTCCCTGCCAGTTTGGGCTTTGTCTTTGCCTGCTCAATTCCAATCAGTCATCTCTTGTTGTAAGATCACACCTCAAAAACGCCTGTTGATTATTTCGTCTTTCTTCGTCCACTTCTCACACCATTTCCCCCTCTTCCATTGACATGCCTCACACACACACGCCTTCTGTCCTGATCCCAAATCCTCTGCAGGCTTTCATCATTCTCTCCTGCACCCTTGCTGTCTTCTGCAACCTGAGTCAGTACCTCTGCATCGGAAAGTTCTCAGCAACCTCGTTCCAGGTCCTGGGCCACATGAAGACAGTCCTTGTCCTCGTTTTAGGCTTCGTCCTGTTCAGCTCCCCAATCACCATAAAGAATGTGATGGGTATGCTCGTGGCCGTGGTGGGGATGGTGTTGTACAGCTGGGCTGTGGAGAAGGGCAAGAAGGAGAAGGACGGGAAGGAGACAGGGTTGACCATGGTACAACCATCTCCTAGAGCATCGGATGGCAATGTGAGTGTTGGTGAAGGGGAGAGAGCGGGTCTGCTTGCGACGGGTGGGGCTGGAGAGGAGGACTTGGAATCTGGGAAGCAAGGTTGAAGTTGGGATGGCAGTAGCTGCTGCGTTATAGATTGATACAGTAATAGCCAGAGATATTGGTTTACTATTTGCCGTCTATTCATTTGCATTGTAGCCAACTTGAATGTTGATGTCAAAGGATCCAAGTTGTGCAAGCTGCACTGTAATGATTTGATTTTGGGCCGCGGTCGGTCAGTGCCATCCATCATGCCTAATGGTTTCTTTGAAGACCTGATGGGACATTTTTGTGATTTGTAGTTAACTTGGGGTGTTTGATTGTAACAAATATTTATCGATGCGGAACTCTGCATCTTATTGTAATCGAGGATTCCAGAATCGCACACTTCCGTATGACACTGGCAAGCTTCTGCGAAAAGCCCCCGCTCATGATGAAGGGTCGTGCTACGGTGATGTAGTTGTCAACGGGCAGCTACCCGAAAAGACCAATGACAAATAATTTTAGGAATTGAGGCCTTATAGTTCATGCTTATGTGAATATGTGGAACCATTTTTGCCGTTCCCGCCAAATCCTCGAGATTCCCAGCGGACAATCCCAAGGAGCTCCCTGCTGGATGAAGAGCTAAGAGCTGAGGGCTGCGAGCTGACATTGTATTCACCGTCCTTCTTGAATCCTGATTCCATTGATCCCTCTTTTTTAAACAGTCCAATGCTGCTGCTGAGAGGTGACCACCACCTGAACGAGCTTGTGCGAACTGCGTGTTCTTGGACGCTCGTGGTGTGACAAATCAGGCGACGAATCTCTTCTCGAGTCACGACGAGAGAACAACATTGGCTGGCGTCGCCCATGGTTCAAATCAAAGCTTCTGCTCAAAGCCTGTGCTTCTAGTTTCTGTTTCAAGCTTCGTTTTCAAGCTTCCCTTGTTCCGTCCTGCCTTCACGAATCACGTCCCGTGCAGTGCTGCTCCTCCTGGTCCCTCCCTCACATCACATCACCTAGCGCCGCTAGCGCTGATGTGCTGGCGAATCTCGGGATGCGACACATGCCTTCCAGCAATTACGGGGTGCCATCGTCGCTCGGAAACCCCACCCACTTCAACGCCACTGAAGCAGTTCACCCTTGGCCCTTCAACCCGCCACACCGCTTATTCCCCAAGCTTGCCGCAAGCTAACCGTTTCTGTCGGCATGGCTTTCCCTCCAAGCTTCTTGCTATCCAATTAGCATTCCCAATGCATGCCTGAGACGGAAATCCTGCTAGGTTTGGGGCGTAAGTTTGGGACCAAGTGAGTCAGATCAGGAAAAGTAGAAACATCGGCGGCAGCTCTTTCCGCCATGGCTGCTCCTATGAAATTTGACTATTCGGAGATACCGGTACCCGATATGGAGGACATCGATATGAGATTTATAGACACGCTTCCCGAGCTGCGCGGTGTCGCAGCACCGGCGGATGAGATCCATCGCGCGATCGCGTTTCTTAACGCGGATGAAGCGACTCTAAGAGGGGCGATGATGGGGTCAGGAATCCCCGGAATGACGGGGTGTCTGATGGGCGACGCGGATCTCTCATCGGACGGTCTGGATTTCATCCCGGACGGATCTATTACCACCCCTGACGGAAGCAGCGTCGGTGGCGGAGGGGGGGGATGTAGCGCGGACGGCGGGCTGCAGCTCGGCGGAGGGGGGAAGTTGGTGGCGGGGGACGTCGTCGGCGGGAACTGGCAGAGTGGCGGAAATCTGCTGATTTGCGGGGAGCAGCAAGTTTCCCGCCAAAATCTTTTGCAGCAGCATCAGCATCAGCTCCAGCTGCTACAGCAGCAGCTTCAGAAACAGCAGCAGCATCCGCATCAGCAGCAGCCCGTGCTGAGTCAGCAGCAGCAGCAGCAACACGGAAACATCCACCAAGACGTATCAGGAGCGACCACGTGGCAGGGAGGCTCGCCGCCAACCACGGGGTCGATTGTAGCCCACCACGTGTCCGGCACGTTCACCGGCAGCAACTTCAACGGCAGTAACGGGAACTTCAATAACGGGAACATGAACGGCGGCGGCGGGGGATTGAACGGCGGGGGCTTGAGCGCCGGGGGTTTGAACGGCGCGGGTTTGAGCGGTGGGGCATTCAATGGCGGGCAGAACTGCGCGACCCTGGTGCCCGGCGGAAGCCGCCTTAGCGTGGAACAAGCGCTTCTTCTCAACATGTCGCGCACTGAAGCGGAGATGCGCAAAGTGGTGATGGAGCGAGACGTGCTCAGGTAATGCGACGGGCACGCTTGAGCTGTTACATACATCCTTTGGCCATTGTTCGCAACTCTTCGCTTGCTCTACTCACGACGTCATTTCCCACTTCTCCTCACCACTTCGCTCCCGCCGTCTCTCCCCCGCCGCCGCCCGCCCTTTTTCTTCCCCCCCAGAGAGGAGGTTGCGCGCAACCAGGCCGCCTTGCGCCAGCTCTCCGCGGACAAGTCCGCGCTCGAGGAGCGCGTGCGCGCGCTGGAGGGCAGCGTGCGCACGCTCGAAACCCGCGCGCGCCAGCTCGCGGGGGACAAGGGGCAGCTCTCCGCGGAGCGCGCGCAGCTCTCCGCGGAACGCGCGGGGATCGAGTCGCTGGTCCGCGCAGCCAAACAGGAGGCATTCGCGCAGGCGGTCAGCCAGATCCACACCGCGCTCAGCTGCGCGCCGATCCCCCGCGGAATCCGCTTCGCCCCAGTAGACGCGGAAGTATTCCAGTACCTTTCCAGGAAAGTTCGCGGGGAGGTAGAGGACGTGGGTCTAGACCGCCTCCTAGTGCAGAGATTAAGACGCGTCGCGGACTGCGACGGGCTTATACCGGAGATAGAGCTGCTGAAGTTCCCCAGGCCGTGGCACCTGCCCGGGTTAGACGTCTCCCCGGACGGCAAGGGTCTAACGGGATTTTTCTTCGTGAAGCCCGAATGGCGGCCGAACGAGCGGCGCCGGCGGCGAGAGGCGGACATGGCGCCGTGCGACCCGAAGCCCCCCTGCTGGAAGGAGTCTTGCCAACCCACTCCGTTCGCGGACCTTGCGCCGTGCCTTGGGCTCTCTGTGGGGGCCGGGGGGGTGTGCGTGGGGGGAGGAGTGGGCGGAGGCGGGATGGGGGCAGGGGCTTTTCTTTTCCGGCCCGAGCGGAGGATGTTTCGTTTCAAGCTGCCCGGGACGCGCGAGGGCCCCGCGGGGGAGAAGGAGAAGTGGAAGATGTACGAGTACACCCTGAAGACGGACCTGGAGATGTACGAAGACAAGCGAAACGGGTTACCCGTGTGGGTGGTGTGTAAGGTTGTGAGGGAGGGGCCGATGACGCGGGAAGAGGAGGTGGAGGCTAAGGCGCGAGCAGCCGCCGCTGCTGCTGCGGGCGGAGGGGGGTCCAGTGGGAGTGGCGGAGGGAACGGGGGAGGGGGAGGGAGAAGCGGAGGGGGAGGGGCGCATTCGGGGGGAAGCTCTGGGTCGGGGGGGGCGTCGGGGGGAGCGTTTGGGGGAGGGGGTGGGGGGAGCGGTGGGGAGAGTGGGTACCGGGGGAACGGCGGAGGCGGGTATGGGGGAGGAGGGGGGGGATACTCAGGCGGTGGCGGGGGAGGGGGAGGAGGGGGAGGCGGAGGAGGCGCGGTGTGGTCGTTGTTGCCGCCCCTCCCGGAGCAGACAGCTCCGCCTGCGCTGGCGCTTGCGCCAGCAGCAGCGGGTGGCGGGTCTCCCACAAGGTCACCTGCGAAATCACCTGAGAGGTCGCCTGGAAGAATCCCCCCTGTGATGCTGTCTCGCATGCAGCTCCTGGACCAATGGCTTGCCGCCATGCCCCTCCCGCCTTCGCAGTCCGTTTCTGCTGCTTCGTCAGCAGCATCCCCCCGAGGAGCATCAGCCCAAGCAGGCGTATCAACCGCGTCAGCACCATCACTTCCTTCCATCCTGGCCGCCACGTCAGCATCTTCCACGTCAGCCATCCAGGTGACGTCAGCAGCCGGGCAGGTTTCATCTGCGGTCCAAGTCACCTCTTCCGTGTCTGTAACTGCAGCAGGTTCGGCAGCTGCCGGACCTGTTGCCGAGCCTCTGGCGGCTCTGGCCATGGCTGCTGCCAAGCGTCTGCTGGAGGATCGGTTGGTTCGGCACGTGGGGAACATCAGCGGGAGGAAGAGGCTGTTTTTGCCAGAGGTGGAAGGGAGAGAGGCGATCACCGGTGAGACGTCTGGTACGATTACAACAACTGCTGCTTCTGCTGCCGTCGCCGTTACTGCTGCTACTACCGCTGCTGCATTTGGTGCTGCTGCTGCGTCTGCTGCTTATACAGCAACTGTTGGCGCAGTGGCAGGAAGAGGGGATGGGCGGGCGGGGAGGGAGGAAAGCAGGGAGCAGCAGCGGCCATACTGGTTGCGTCCCCCTTCCTGGGCGCGAGCCCTGCCGGACTCCTACTGGGATAGCCCAGAGGCGAAGGCGGAGGAGGAGGAGGTGGTGGGGGAGGAGGTGGAGGAAGCGGAGGAGGAAGACGAGGAGTGGGAGGACGGGGAGGAGGAGGGGGAGGAGGCTGGAGGGGAGGAGGAGGGTAATCTGAAGCCGGGCGGCGAGAGTGAGGTGGGACAGCTGGCGGCAGAAGTTTCCAGGAAGCTGTCAGAGCTGGTAACCGCGTCGAAGAAACTGACGGAGAAAGCGGGATTCCTTGCTCTGGGCGGCGAATCTCCCTTCTCTCCTGTCGAAGCTTCCATCTCGCGAGTGCTCAATCTGGTGACACGTGTTGCTGACGTGGCGCTAGCAGACGAGCCCGCTGCCCAGCTCTGGCTGCACGCAGTGGGCGGCGCAGTCAGCGATGAACTGGCGCCGGGAGTCTTCCTCGCAGCTTCCCTCTCCGCATCCCCGCTGATGCTCTTAGTTAAGTTCCAGGACTTAAGCGCGATCATTGAGGGGGGGATGAAGGCAGTATGGAAGCAGGCGGTGGGAAGGCTGCCGAAGGCGCTTAGAGAGAGGATGAGTGAGGAGGGGAGGAGGGAGGTGAGAGCAATGGAAGAGGCAATGGAGGGAGGGGAGGTGACTGTGGTAGTGAGCGAGGGAGTGAGAAAGGCGCAGGAGGGGCTGCTGGCGCTGGTGCTGGCTCTGGGAGGTGGGGAAGGGGGAAGTGGAGGAGGGGGGAAAGGGGAAGGGAAGAAAGGGGAAGATGGATTGATGAAATCGAAAGCGCCACCTGAAACATCACCTGAAGTTTTACCTGAGGCTATGGAGTTGCATGTGGGTGACTCCATGGCGCCTGCAGCTGCAGAGGCCGGGCAGAAGAAAGTTTTGTTCCAGATTGATGGCAGCGAGGTGGATGAGAATTCCAAAGCGGCCAATCGGCTCAAGAGCGAGCTGATGAGCCTGTGCGAGAAGGGCAGCCGGAAACCTTTTGAGCTGCCTGGAAGCATGTCAAGCACGGTCGTCGAGGTGTTCCGGGCAGTCGGGTTCGAATACAACACGCCCAACGTCCACGGGCAGGTTAAGAAAGAAACGCTCCTGAAGGAGGGGTTGTCAGTGCTGGAGAGAGAAGGGATGAAAGCAACGGAGCTGGATTTGACAGGGGAGATCGCTCAGCTCCATGCGCTAAAGAAGGGGCTGACTCTAGATCTGCAGCAGTTAGACATGAAGCCCAGCATGCTGAGCAAGTTCGTGGAAGGTTCCTCGGTGTCGACTGTGGCGGATGGCATGATTGCTGTGCTGCAGGCGTGCAGCAGCGCGCTCGAGGCAGGGGCTGCTGCTGCTGGTACTGGTGGTGATGGTGATGATGGTGGTGCTGCTGCTGCTGGTCCTTCTGGTGGTGTTGGTGATGCTGATGGCGAAGCTGCTGCTGCTGCTGGAGCGGATGCAGCGGGTGCCGCTGCACCTTCATCGAGTGTCCGTGTCACAGAGCCGTCTGGCAGTGGTGGGGATACCACGCCTGCCACATCTGCCACACCTGCCTCACATGGCACCTGTGTGGTCTTTTCTCGCGAGGACATCCTCTCAGCCCTTCCTGGAAGCTTGGAGGGGCTCTCTGGTCGTGTCAATGCCTGCATGCGGTTACCACCCAACACACGCAGCACCAGCAGCAGCAGGATGGAAACTTCCCCATCTTCGGCTGATGCTGCTGCCGGTGGTGGTGATTCCAAAGGTGTTCCACTACAGGATGTGACTATAGAGGTGCTGGAGCACAACAAGACCAACACCCCAGTGCTGCATCTCATCAAGGAAGCTGAAACCCTCTCCTCCCTCTCCCACCGCCACATCATCCCCCTCCTCGGATACTCCCTCGAATCCCCCTGCCTAGTCTACCCCCGCATCCCCCACCTCTCTCTAGCCGACCATCTGCCGTACGGTAACAGCTTCCCCCGGTTACCGCCTCTCCCGTGGTTCGTGCGGGTGCGAATCGCCTACGAGGTGTCGTCTGCCCTGCTGTTCCTGCACCAGCAGAAGCCTCACCCGGTGCTGCATCGGGACCTCCGGCCGGCGAACATCGTCCTGTACTGGGAGGAGAAGGGCGGGCGGGAGACGGCTGGAAGAAGGCAGAATGGGGGGGAGGAGGAAGGGCAGGGCGCCCCCTCCCTGGTGGTTCAGAAGGATGGGGATGGCGGCTTGGAGGGAGAGGGGTCTCACAGGGCGCCTTCCTGGTGGCCCAGGTTTCAGAGGAAGGAGAAGGCATTGGTAGCAGCCACTACTGCACCTGCAGCACATGCAGCACCTGCTACTGCTGGAGGCAGCAGCTCAAACGAGATCAGGCAGGAGGGTGAGGTCTCCGGTTCAATTCCTGCTGGGAGACAGTTGGTGAGCAAGCTGGCTCGAGTTGGGTTCTCGGCTCTAAGTCAGAATCCGAGGACGGGGAGGGCAAGAGTGGAGGATGTAGTATTTTTGGACCCGGAATATCCAAGAACAGAGGAGCTGGTTCCGTCGTCTGACGTTTATGCGCTGGGAGTGGTGCTGATGCAGCTGCTGACTGGACGCAATGCCACATCAGCACTGAGCGTGGTAACTGCTGTGGTGGAAGGAACGAAGGGTTTGGGGGATGTTTTGGATGAGGGAGCCGGTGGGTGGCCTGCTGATGTGGCAATGGTGGTTGCTGAGCTGGCAGGGAAGTGCACTGATATGAGGAGGTGTAGGAGGCCAAGTTTGGGTGGTGAAGTGGTGCCTGTTCTCAGTAAGGTGCACATGACCGCATTTGAGGCGGAAACCAGATGAAACCTTGCAGAGTCTTTTTTGGTTATTGCTTTTCTTACTGGCCTCATGCTTGAATTGTGTAATTATTAATTATACTGCTGTAATAATAATAATCCCTCCTTTCAGTTTTTTCAGATATCTAGCCAGGTTTTTCCTGATCCACTAGTCATGTGAATAATTGCATTTTTAGGGCAATGCACTTGGTCATCTAAATTGACGCGTAAACTCCCTGTTCTGTCAGAACGTTCCGAATTCCCGCCAAAAATATCACCTCTCTCCTTCCATCCCTCCCTGTCGCTCCCTCTCCCTCGAGTTTCTTATTTCAATTTCTTCTGCCTGTACGGTAAATTCACAACCCCGCCTGCATTTCTCGATTATTGCTCACAGAATCTGCTAGCTTACGTAGTATCGGCTGTTTGCCACAGCATAGGAGACGGCGATTACCTTGGTACTTTTTTCGCTTCCTCGAGATCAACTTCTCCATGCAAATTCAGGAGCGGAGTTAGCCTCAAAATGGATGGCACTGTGACTCCTGGTTGTCGTTTTATTTTATAAAATCGTGACTGCGTCGAGTTGTAGATAGACTGCATTATACGAAAAACAGACTAGCACGATAGGCCCGTTGTTAGGAAGGGGGAAAGCCCTATGGCCTGGTTTAGACGAAAAAAGAACGTCGGCTCAAGGCCTAAAGGTCTCAGCCTGTTGAAAGCTCACGAGTGTACGGACGAAGGAAGCTCGCGAGTGGGGTCCAGCAAAGGCGACTGCGATCTGACGTACAAGCAATGTCCTGATGCTGAGCATGGTTATGATCATGGCAATGTTTATAAGCATGATTATGGCGGACTCCTTGCTCCTAAATCTCGTCGACGCTCTAAACGAAACGACTGCTCTGGCGACCTTAGGAAGGTAGATAGTGCATACGACCAGTCGGGCGACCGTATTCGTGAGCACGATCACAGCCATCGCGTGTCAAGCTCTCGAACCATCGTGTTCGCTGGAGGCGTTTTCGATAGCCAGTTCTGGTCGCGTAGTACTAAGAGTCCAACCCAGACGCTGTCGCGTAGGGGATCAGCAGCCGCTGCTGGTAAAGCACGCGCCGATTTGCCCGAATTTTCTTGTCGCGCGACCGATGAAAGTACAAGATCACCCACAGCAGCATCAGCAGAGTCGTCCAAGATTCGCTCTTCAGAAGTGTCCGAGTTTCACTCTCCAGGCTGCATGAGGGGCGACTCAGACGCCTGTGTTGTGCTTTTCGAAGCGAGATGGTCCAAGTCGGAGGACAGTCATGAGCCGAGAAGGTGCAGAGAAGCCGACGACGGGAATCAAGACGGAAAAGAGAACAGCATCAAAGGCAGTGCTTTCAACCATTCTGTCTCAGGGGGTCACGGTCCGACCTATGACCAGGAGAGCAAAGTGCTTGGAGAAAGTGTCGGTCCGAGGGTGAACTCTCAAGCAGCCCTTCCTAAACAGGGTATCCTTTGTACAGTGCTTGAGTCTAGCATCGCGAGCGGGATAAGCAATAACCCGGTACCAGAAGCTCCTATTGGCAAAGCAACTGCTGACATTGTTCCGGAAACGCCTAGGCGAAGGATCACCCACTGCGTGTCCGAGGGCCCTACCAGAAGAAGCACGTTCAGAGCATCCACGGCGTTTAGAGAGAACCTGGCTACCTGGTCGAGCCACGTGTCGCAAGCTGATTGGATGTCAGCGTCTGGGGGCTACTGGGAGACTTCTAGCGCTCTTGTGGGTGGTGGTGTTGGCGGCGAGAGTGATGATGATGAGGAGGAGGAGGAGGAGGTGGATAGCAGGAGCGCGTGGACAAGGGGGAGGAGGGCGACTGGCAAGCCAAGGCAGGTGAGTTCAATTTTGCGCCACTTGAAAGGAAAGAGAGGAACAGCAGCAACAGATCTAGCAAGTGACCGTTTTTTAGGTGCCTCAAAAATACGTGAGGAGTCTATTTTTTAGGCGCCTCAAAAAGAGAGGAACAGCAGCAACAGGTCTAGCAAGTGACCGTAGCTGACATATGGAAGATCTGTTGGAACTCTTGCTTCTGAACGAGTATGTCAATTGCTACCACTTACTTAAAACCACTTGCGTTCAACCTGTCATCCCTCCTCATCATACCGCTCCTCATACCTTGTTACAGGGGAAGCCACGGAAATCGAGCAAGTCCCTCATTGTGAATGCTGTCGTGCAAGGTAAAATTGATGAAAGGTGCGGTAAGATTGTTGCTGTGCAAGGTAAGGATGCAGTAGGGCACGGCACACACGCACGTTAAGGGGAAGTGAAAGCGGGATGGAAGCACTGTAGATGCTCCGCTGCTACAGCATGGGCGGCTGAGTGCATTATCTCCACTGCACCTACCAGAACTCAGTGGAAGCACTGTAGATGCTCCGCTGCTACATGCATGGGCAGCTGAGTGCATTGTGTGCACCTACCAGCACTCAGTGGGAGCACTGTAGATTCTTCAGTGCTGCATGCATAGGTAACTGAGTGAGTTCATTTTTTGCACCAACCAGAGCTCTCAGTGGAAGCACTGCCAATGCCCCTTTTTTTTAAGCGACAAAAAAATAGACTCCTTGTTGTTTGCACCCACCAGAGCTCTCTGTGGAAGCACTGCCTGCAAATGCTCCTTTTTTTTAGGCGACTCAAAAATATACTCCTTGTTGTTTGCACCCACCAGAGCTCTCAGTGGAAGCACAGCCAATGCCCTGCTGCTACCTGCCACGATCTGTCAGGCTCAAAAGGATTCGCCTTAACCATCCTCCTTCACACTGCCATTCCATCTTGCTCCCTTCTCTCATTCCTCTCCCATTCCCTCCCTTTCTGTCGCCTTTGTTTGTCTCTCTTTGATACGTGTGTAATGCGTCTATTTGAGTCGACTCAAAAATAGACTCATTACACATGTTTGTCTCTCTTTGGTACGTGTGTAATGCGTCTATTTGAGTCGACTCAAAAATAGACTCATTACACATGTTTGTCTCTCTTTGATACGTGTGTAATGCGTCTATTTGAGTCGACTCAAAAATAGACTCATTACACATGTTTGTCTCTCTTTGATACGTGTGTAATGCGTCTATTTGAGTCGACTCAAAAATAGACTCATTACACATGTTTGTCTCTCTTTGATACGATCCACATCACAAATGGCAGAGCGGCCGTTCGACAGCAGTACTCTTTCTCTAGGCCCATCCGACCCCCACCAACCCCTCCCCTCCCCACTGGTTTCTCTTTTCTTCCAACCCACATAAGAGAGGGCAGAGAGCGGCCATCAGAAAGCAGTACTCTCCTTCTAAGTTCATCGGACCCCCACTAACCCCTCCCCTCCCCTCTCATTTCTCCCTTCTTCCAACCCACATAACAGAGGGCAGGGAGCGGTCCTCAGAAAGCCGCTCAGCAGTGGGTGGGTGGGACATTCATTTTCTTTCCCCGGTCCGTCCAATCCCCCCTCCCCAACCATCCAACCCCCCCCCCCCCTTCTCTTCACCACTGCCTCCCTCGTTCCTTCAGAGGGCAGGGAGCAGCCCTCAGGAAGCTGCTCAGCAGTGAGTGACATGCACTTTCTTTCCCCAGTCCGTCCAATACCCCCTCCCCAACCATCCACACATCCCTTCCCCCACCCTCCTCTTCCCCACTGCCTCCCTTGTTCCTCCACAGAGGGCAGAGAGCGGCCGTCAGAGAGCAGCTCCGCAGTGAGTGGTTGGGACATGTACTCTCCACGTGGCAGAAGCTCATTGGGCAGTTTGGGTGCCAGAAAGGTACTCCCTCACCCTCATTCTACCGCTCCCACCCTCCCCAAGACCCACCTGGCTGCACATACTGCCCACCTCTCTCGTCTCTACCCACTCCTGGTCAATCTGCCCGCTCTTTTTTCTCTGCCTGTGTGTGTGAATGTGTTTCTTCCGTGCCTTGTGTGTTGCAGTCAACTCCTCACATCTGTCAGGATCGTCGCAGGTGGATGTACGACCCTAGGATCGTCGCAGGTGGATGTACGACCCTTGGCGGAGGAAGACAGGTGGTTGGAAGAATCAGGCCCACAGCAACCCATGAGCGCTCTCTCTACCTACCTGTGTGTGTGTCTCTCCCTACTGCCCTTGAGTGCTACAGTCAGCCCCTCGCATCCGTCAGGATCGGCGCAAGTGGGTGTACAGCCCAGATGACATGGCAGAAGATGAGCGGATTGATCGAATACGGTCTGTTACACGCGGGAACGGTTTCAACTCATGGCCTGTACAACTTTGTTGATTCTCCAAGCTTGGTTCGTGGTGGGCTGAATTTCCCCAGATTTATCTGTTTGTTCTTGTTTACTGGTATTTCCATACAGTATACCGGTAGCCTCACTTCATTGTGCCATGAAACTGGATGGTAGGTAGTTATATTTTTATGACTTCAGCGCTTCGCCAATGTGCAGTACTGTATCGTAATTTATTTCCAACACACTGACACAACAAACAGACCCCCAACCTGATGCATCGCCCCCCAACCCCAACTGTCCTGGACTGGCCTCTAAGTTGGCGGGTGCCCAAGCCAACTGCTGTTAGCCAAGGACCGATCCTCCTGTCCCCCTCCCCTTCACATCCACTATGTGTCTGCTAGCACTTCACAGGGGAGGACCCTTTCATAGCCTCACACTAGACCTGGATTGGCTGGGGAAATTAGGCATTTACCCGGTGGCAGTTGCTCCTGATCTGGCCCTGGCTGCCAGTAAGGGGTGTGATCATACCCATCTTCATGACAGAGCGCCTGAAGTGCTTGAAGAAAACGCTCTTTTTCTTGGCGAATACCTTCACAGCGCGCATGGTCGTGCGGTTGTAAATGAGAGCTTGGTCCGTGGTGAGGAGGCCAGCACGAGCCAGCAGGTTCTTGTAATACTATAGATAGAGAATATGGGGGGAGATGAAGGCAAAGCATTATGAGTAAGATTGGTGAAGAGCAGAAGCACTATTAACCAGAGAGCCTGTTGCAGCAAGTGATTCTCCAAAAGCACAAGTCAAGGAAGGTCGTATGGCGAGGACGCTATAACGAGGATAAACGCACCTGGTTATCGAACCGGCTGGGGGTCTTGTAGTCGTTGTTGATCATAGCCTTGGGGCTAATGTTGCTCGTGCCGCACTTGGCCTTGACGTAAGCAGCGAACTCGGGGTTCATCGTGGGGTCATTCTGCGTCAGGCGATTCTTCAGGCTCACGCAGCGAGCCTCGCCCATCGTGTGCGCGCCTGCGACAACATGCGAACGACACAATGTTACTCGCTTATGCGAAAGCACAAGCCGATTTTCTATAACTGGGGGGAGGGAGGACAAAATGTACCGCTGAGTGTGGCGACATCGAGGATATCGAGGCCGACTGTAGCGAAGTTGTGCACAAGCCCGGAGACGTTGAGGGTGGATCCTGGGAGGAACGTCTCCGCCGCAAGCGCGAATGACGTCAGCCCGTCGCGACGCCCCAGAGGCACCTCCGTGAGCGGACCGCCGGCCTAGAGATAGAGCGGAAAACGAGCAGTTAGAGGCATGTAAAACGAGATCGATGCACCTTTTTTCTGTAGGGAAGTTGATTTGAAACCGAATCTTTTCGAATTGATGGGGTCGGATCGATTGATCGACGGCCTACCAGATGCACGCCTTCGCGCGCGGCGAGAGCGAGAATGTCGGCGCAAGACACGGTGCCGGGGCATTCGGCCTCGAGGTGCGCCTTGATGTCGTCGATCACGTCGAATGCACCGAGAGTGGCGTTGGGATCCGCGTCCTTCTCCGCCTTGTTGTTGGATGTGGAGTCGAGCAGCACGGAGGCGTCGCAACCCTGAACAGCACCGTGACGGAGAGGCAAGAGAATTGCTCGTTTATTTGTTGTGTCGTCAAGGTCCCGTTCAAGTAAGAGCTTGTTTTGTCGTCGAAAACATTAAACATGACGAGGCGTTGAGACCTTCGTTCTCACCTGCACGAAGCAATCGTGGAAGTGGAGGTGGAGCAGCAGCGCGGGCACGGCGAGGTCGAAAGCAGCGAGGAATGTTAACGACGAGGAAAGAAGAGAGCACTGAATGCGGGAACCTCGGCTCACCTGCACGAAGCAATCGTGGAAGTGCAGGCGGAGCAGCGGCGCAGGGACGCCGCGGTCCTTCTTAAACGCGGCGTACACGCGCGCCGCGACGATGTCCGCCGCCTTGGGGCACGACTCGGAGTAGAAGGAGAACGACAGTCCCGGGCCCTGCGGGTTTGCCATGCCCGTCATTCCGCCGCTGTTGCTGCCGGGGCCGCCACCTCCGCCCATTCCACCGCCGTTGACCCCCGGGCCGCCCCCGCTGCAGTCCCCGCTGCCTCCCCCGGTGCAGCCGCCCCCGCCTCCGCCGCCTCCCATTCCGCCCCCGGGCTGGGCGAAAACGGATGCGGAGGCGACGAGCATCAGCAAAACGAGCGCTGGGAATGTCGCCGACGCCATAGCTCGGAAAACAATGTGAAGAAAGGTGAAGATGCGCGAGGTTCAGCCGGGTTGCAAATTGGTTCTGAAGAGGGAATGCGAGAATATTTGGAAGCTCGAGCTTTATGTACAATTCGAGAGGCCCTGACGGAGGGATGGAATTGCAGTGATAGGAGGGGGGGCGAATTTTGGTTTTGGGAGGAGTCGAATTGGGTGGAGGAGGGGGGGAGAGGGAGAGGAATGGGTGGGTTGTGACGTGATGTGACTCGGTGCGGCGCGGGGCTTGGCTTGTAACGCAAGTGCTTCCCCTTACCTGATAACGCCTAGGGAAATCGGAAAGGTGGAACGGGTTCCAGAGCTCTCCTGTGCATTGAAGGACGGTTGGAGAGGACGCTGTAAGTCGAAGCGCGGGGGGGCGGAGATGTTGCCATTTCCCCCAAGCCTCCAGTGTAGGCATGGAGGGGCAGAGGTGGGGGGATGCTACAACTGGCTAGGAGGTGTAATTGACGGGTGAGATTTGCGCTCCTTGATTTTGCCTTGTTGTCAACCATCAATCTGGGCCCTTGAATATTGGAGGCGGCCAGGGCGCGGTGATGGCGAAGCGGCCGCGCAGCGAGAAATTCTCCGTGGCATGTGCCAAAGGTGCTCGAACGAAGTCAACCATGTGGTCTGGGTCTGGGTGTTTCGTGGTGTCGCAGAACATGGCGAACCGTATGGTTGTCGCATGTATGCCACACCTGTTCTCTGCTGTCGCATGTAACCATATTCCCGAGTCGCAGCGAGCTGACGAAATCGCGAATTACTCGGCGGATAGCTATAAGAAGCACCATTGGTTCAAAACGTTCGCCTGACAAACCGTATGTCCCATACATCCCTCGCCACCAAGGTGGGAGGGATTGTCGCAGCACACACGATCTCTCACCCAGGGCACGTGTAAACAAGATAATTACCCGGACTTCGCTTAAAATCCAAGGTTTTTCCCTTACCGACCCTGTGTTTTACAGAGCTTTTCCCAGGCCAGCCCTGAAGAACTGAGAGAGATTTCTGTTGTCACCCGCAGAGTCCAGTAGGGTTTTGGGAGGGCCCGGACAATTGGGTAGCCTCCAGGGGGTGTAGGAATATCTCAAGGTCCCTAGACCTCCCATCCCCATTAGCCCCACCCTTCCCTCCCTCAAACATGGAAAGTTGTAACGGCAGGGATTCGAATAGCTTAAAGCCCCACTCTCATAATTCTAGGAAGTGAGCAAGTGTTAAATGTTTGGTACCCAGTTACGCTGGCGAACTTGAAGAGACAGGCTTGGAAATGCCTCGGACAGTGTGCTGTGCTAAGGGGGGGGGATACCAACCGTAAAACCAGTTCAGCAATATGAGAATGCACAAGTTTACGGAAGAACGGTCCTGCTGTACCGTTAGATCGTCGAGAGCCTTTGATCTGACAGTTGAGTGACTGGGCGTTTGAATCGACGGCTATAAACGAAGTAGAAAGTTGTTGCGCAAAAAAATGGAGTTTGCACCGTCCGATATGCTAAACCTGACGCGTTCCAAACTTCCCCAAACCTGTTTCTTGGTTTGGAGTTTTTTTGTCGAAACAAAACGGCCTCGCCACGTGAGTTTCGTTTTTGCAGTTTTGTTTACACCTCGCGTACCAATCAGTGCCTGTCTGTCTCAACCAAGTGTTAAACTCTGGTAATTATAAGATGGGGGCTTTAAATTCGAATATTGCTAGGGTTTATGTACGTTTCCGTGTGTTACTGTCGTTTTTTATACAATTCAGTCGGTAAGAATTTGAACGAATGTTTCGTGGGAAATGAACCACGCCCTAAGCTACCAAGGAGCTAGAACTTCACGTGTATTTCCGCACGTACTACCAGATCAATGGTCACTTAGCAGCAGGTTTTAAAATAAGCAGCCACTCACAATCGTCCCAGCCCTTCTCCCCACCCCTTTTATCCCCGCCCCTCCTGGCCCAAATTTAGCTCCTTCACAGGTGCGTCTATGGTGTCGGATTTCCCACACCGAAGCACTCCCACTCACAACCCCACTGTCTCGTCCCACAAAAACTGCCCACACTTTATCAGGCCTTTTCGAACGCGGACCCTGAAGAATCTTGACGAAGTCAGATTTTACAGGGTGATTTTTCGAGGAGCTCGGATCGTCCGAGGTGGCAAAAGGCCTAGCGAGAGCCCTGCTCTCACCATAAGGAGATGCGCTTGCATAACGTTTTTTATGCCCATGTTCTAAAGCTTCATCGAATCGGCCGCTTTAGCGAGCGACAAGTATAACATGAGGAGGACTACCAAACTTAGGTTTAACATAGCGAGGAAATATGTGCACGGGATGAGAAACCACATCACTCGTCCAAACTTAGGCTGTAGGCCGAAATTCAAATCGCCATCTTGAACGACATCACCCCATTTCCTTCTAGACACCGCATCTTACATTTACGCCTGTCAGGTCTGTAGCGAATCCTTGTTTGGAAACAGGGGGGCTCTGGGATGCAGATGGTGAAATTTGGCGCCTCGCACATCGCGATTTGCCAAATCCATCAGAAATGGCATCTTCTGAAATTGCTGAGGTTTGAATGGCATTTGGAAATTCGTGAAATTCAACAGCCATCTTTTGTCTTCCCCCTCATGAGCAACAGAAACGGCTTCAAGTGGGGGCAGAAAGAGAAATACATGGCATCAGCAGCACCAAAGTACCGCACAATCCCTTCATGAGCGATCGTAAAACCAAAGAGTACCACGCTTTATTTCCAGCTCAAGCGATACAACCACCATTCCGACACCATTCCCACAACCACATAGTTTATGCAGTCCGACGAGCCAGCATCCCTGACAAGACAACAACCATCAACACCTCCACTTCTGCCTCTGATTTTCTCTAGCCCGCCCTCCTTCAAGATTCCTCCACACAAAGCCGCAATGCGCGTTACAAGCTCCCCTCTTACACCCCACTGCGCGTCTAGCTGTTGCGCACGTCGCAGCCCGCGCACACCCCACTGCGCATCTAGCTGTTGCGCACGTGGCAGCTGAGGCGGATCTCGCCCTGGGTGCCAGTGAGCGGCGAGATCGCGCCCATCTTCACGAGCGACTTGCTGAACGCGTCGAACCACGTGCTCTTGGCGTGCGCGAACGCCTTCACGGCGCGGTCCGTCTTGTCGTCATAAATGAGAGCCTGGTCCGTGGTGAAGAGACCCTTGTGCGCAAGAACGTTCTTGTAGTACTGCGGGGGAAAGGGACGGGAAGGTGGAAGAGTGGGGAGGGGACGAAAGGATGAGCGCCAGGTCAGTGGTGAAGAGACCCTTGTGCGGGTGAACGTTCTTGTATTACTGCGGGGGAAGAGGTAGCGCGCAGATACGAGGAGAGGGAAAGGATGAGAGCGCATGGTCAGTGGTGAATAGGCCCTTGTGCGCAAGCACGTTCTTGTAGCACTGCGGGGGAAGAGGCGGAAAGGGGGAGACGAGGGGAGGGAACGGAAAGGATGAGCGCTTGGTCCGTGGGGAAGAGACCCTTGTGCGCGAAAGCGTTCTTGTAGTAGTACCGCGGAGGAAAATGTGGCAAGGCGGAAAGGCGGGGAGGGGGGGGGGGAGGTTATGAATAACGGGTAAGGAAGAGAGCAGGGATATGCGAAGGAGGCGTCGGATTATTCTGGACGTTTTCTTTTCTAGGAGAGTAGAAGTCGCGAAAGTGTAAAAGCTGTACATTACGCGGTTACCTGGTTGTCGAATTTATGGGGCGAAACGTAGTCGTTGGGGATCAACTTCTTGGGGTCGATGTTGCTCGTGCCGCACTTCTGCTTCACGTACGCCGCGAATTCCGGGTCCATGGTGGGGTCGTTCTGCTCCAGGCGGTTCTTAAGACTCACGCAGCGGCCCTCCCCGATAGTGTGCGCTCCGCTAAGAGTCACAACGTCGGTCATATCGAGGCCGACTGTAGCAAAGTTGTGCGTGAGCCCCGAGACGTTGAGCGTGGAGCCCGGGAGGAAGGTCTCCGCCGCGAGTGCGAATGACGTCAGCCCGTCGCGACGCCCCAGAGGCACCTCCGTGAACGGACCGCCAGCCTGCGAGTAGCGAGATTCGCGAAGATAAATGGGAGAGACGGTTACACTCGTCAGAGGATAGGATGGCATGGTTACATTGGAAGAAACGATGAAGGCTCGTGCGGAAGGGGGTGGTGCGGATAAGGGGTGCGGAAGGGGGTGCGGATAAGGGGTGCGGAAGGGTGTGCGGATAAGGGGTGCGGGGGCCAGGCGAGGGAGGCGGAGAGAGCTAAGGGCTCCCTCTCTCGCGTGCACGGAAACGTACCAAGTGAATGCCCTCGCGAGCCGCGAGAGCGAGAATGTCGGCGCAGGACACGGTGCCGGGGCACTCCGCCTCGAGGTGCTCCTTGATATCATCCACCACGTCGAATGCGCCGAGGGTGGCGTTGGGGTCCGCGTCCTTCTCCGCCTTGTTGTCGTCCGTCGAGTCCAGGAGGACCGACGCGTCGCAGCCCTGGGAAAAGGGAGAGCAAAAAGAATGAGCGACAATGGGCGAGGGTGGTGTTGGGGTCCGCGTCCTTGTTTGTCGTCGGTCGGTCGGTCGGGCACGGAGGCGTCGCAGCCCTGGAAAAAGCGGGGACGGTTGAATTTTGAGTCGACTCAAAATACACCTGGAAAAGCGGGGACGGTTGAATTTTGAGTCGACTCAAAATACACCTGGAAAAGCGGGGACGGTTGAGCGTTGAGCGCACGAAAAATAAGTCGTCCGCAACAAACTCTCCTCTAGAGGTTCTGCAGAAGTGGCTTCTGCTGACGCGGCTCAACAAGTCAGAAGGTCAAAGCGCATTCGTTCACACTGTTTCTCCTAATGGACAACAACGAGCAGCTAGGTACTACCTGGACGAAGCAGTCGTGCCAAGTGGAGGCGCAGCAGCGGCGGTCGGAATTAACGATGAATTTAGTAATGCAGACAGCGAGGAACGTAAGCAACGAGGAAAGGAGAGAGCACTGAAGTGTTTTGAGTCGACTCAAAACACAATAGGAGAGAGGCATTGCTACTGAACTGAATGCGGGAACCTCAGCTCACCTGGACGAAGCAGTCGTGGAAGTGGAGGCGCAGCAGCGGCGCGGGCACGGCGGGGTCGTTCTTGTACGCCTGGTACACGCGCGCCGCGACGATCTCCGCCGCCTTGGGGCACGACGACGCGTAGTAGTTGTACGACAGGCCGCGGCCGTGCTCGTAGCTGTCGTCGCTGCTGCTGCCGCCGCTGCTGCTGGTGTAGTTGTCGTCGTGGCTGCTGTCGCTGCTGCCGCTGCTATCGTCGCTGCTGCTGCTGCTGCTGCTGTCGCTGCTATCATCGCTGCTGCTGCTGCTGCTGCTGTCGCTGCTGCTGTCATCCGACGACGACGAGTCGTCGCTGCTGCTGTCGTCGTGGCTGCTGTCGTCACTGCCACTGTTGTCGTCCGACGACGACGAGTCGTTGCTGCTGCTGTCGTCCGACGACGACGAGTCGTTGCTGCTGCTGTCGTCCGACGACGACGAGTCGTTGCTGCTGCTGTCGTCCGACGACGACGAGTCGTTGCTGCTGCTGTCATCCAAACCGCTGTTGTCGTGCGACGAGTCGTCGCTGCTGCCATTGTCGTCCGAGCCGCTGTTACTGTCGTCATGGCTGCTGTCGTCGTGCGACGAGCTGTAGTTGCTGCCGTCGTCATGCGACGAACTGTCGTGGCTGCTGTCGTCGGTGCTGTCGTCGGTGCTTTTGAAGTAGTCGCTGCTCCCAGAGTCACTCAGCACTCGAGCCTCCTCGCGCCGGCCGTTCTGAGCCAGGACGCCGAAGCTGCGATGCGCCAATGCAGGGCGCGCGACAAGCGCGGCCGAAACAATCAACATCGCCAGAAGAAGCACGCGGGGCGACATTGTGGAAAAACGTCCTCGCCGCGAAACCAGGTGCTAGGAGTGAAAAGCACGCAGGGAAACTTGGAGCGAATTCGATGAGGGGAATTCGGAGAAAGCGAATTCCTGGAGGAATGAATTTGGGAAATGGCTCGGACTGAATTTCTTCACGCCTTGCGCCCGTTCTAAATACAGCCCCCCTCCTCCCCTACCGGAGAAGTGAGGGAGGGGGCGTGTGGGGGTTTGGAAAGGGGGCCGGGGTGAGGTTTGGAAGCCGAACACCAGACCAGAGCATTCGAGGCTCGCATTCGAGACCGAACTTTCCCAGCCTGGGCTTGGGTTCGGGACAATCTTGGCTCGGCAGTGACGGGTGCTCCTTGCGGAGCTCGGCGCGGAAGAAGTGCGGCAAGCTAGGGAGGGGCGGAAGTGGCGCGTGGTCAAGAGGGGGTGTCGCGTGGCTTCAGCCTTGGGTAGCAACCAGCTTCCGGCGGAAGGCTCGCTGCCATGAGCGCAAGTCGAGCTTAAATTTGCAAGGCCCACGTTGCGCGTCGCGTTCTGTGAGCTTCGCCAGGCTGGATGGCTCGGTGCCTTCGACTTTCTAGAGGAACTGTACAGAGCAGCGCTGATATGGTTAGGTCCAGACCTTTGGGGGCCAGAGCCTTCCGAGCCTAAAGGGGCCAGCGGTTCGCACTAAACGGTCCAATCACATTTTGCCGAGGCGATGTCTAAGTGTCACACAGGCCTACTAACAAACCAGGGATTCGTGCGAGCGGCACGTGCCTGTACACATTCGAACCTTCATGGTCAGTTTCCATTCTGCTCAGCTGTGCTCGGGCTGACTGCCATGCTGCCAATCGGATTCCAAACCACAGGCCTTTACAAGTCAGCATGTTGGTCACGAAAGTAATGATTACATGATGACGACCTCGCTATAAGCGGCTGGTCATGCCCCACGGCGTATAGAAGCTCGAGATGCAGCAACGCGAAGAGAGCAGAATATCAAATTTAACACTATTTCACAACCTAATGTGCTTTGATTCCACGTGTAAAACTACCCTCCTAATGCTGCTACACTTTTCCTGAGACCCTCGACAGAGCGTGTGACCATATCGTGGTCACCGTTTGGACGACTCAACATGACTTGTGGAAAAATGCCCGCTTGCACTACTCTTCTGCTACGCAAAAATGAGAATGCCCACGCAATTTGCTGTAAGGACATGCCTTTAAGCGACTCTCTTTGCAATCTTGCCATCGTTCGTGGTGTGCTCCCTATCGTCATTCAACCATTTGTTGACAAGCAAAGAGTCAATAAATATCTGCGGCCAAAACAGAAGCACGAAGTGAGATACTGAACAAGTACCAGCTTGGTGTAAGGTTGTGAGGAAGAAACACAAACAGCACATGGCTACATATGCACAGTAGAAATCACATGACCACACACACAGACACATACACACAAAATGCTAAGGATGTACACAAAATACTGGAGCTCACCTGAAGGAAGTGTGTGAGGATGAACGGTAGCAGCAACAGTGCAGCATCGCCTGTAAGTGTTCTGGTGTTTCGAACAAAGAGGAGCTTACAAGGGAGACACTACTGGAGCTCACCTGGAGGAAGTGTGTGAGGATGCACGGTAGCAGCACCAGTGCGGGTTCGCCCATCAGTGTTCCAATCTTTTCCACCACCGTTGCCGCCACAGGTAAAGTTTTCTGCAACAGATAAATTTGCACCAGCATAGAATGTTGCAATATGATACATGAGGAGAAGCATCCAGGAGATAAGGAAAGTCAGAACTACTGTACAATAAAAGGTTTGAAATGGCTATGCTCTGCTCTCGGAAAAAAAAGAGTGATTGGAACATCATAGCAACATAGAATACTATATGGTGCTGTATTGGTGGAGTTATGAGAAATAAGGTTAGATTAAGTACTGCATAATGTTATGTGATATGCATGTAGTGTAACCTGGCTGGAGAGGATGATGACAGCTCTATCCACAGCATTGGCCTCGTGAGTGGGAAGAGGAGGAGTGATCTTCCTTAGAGCCGCCATCACACCCATGTTGAGCGCCAGGAAGGACAGATGGACGGTTCTGATTAAAGGATGTAGAAAGGGGGGAACAGGGGGGGCGGAGAAAGAGTAGATCCTTCTTAAAGCCGCCATCACGTCCATGTTGCGCGCCAGGAAGGACAGATGGACGGCTCTGATTCGAGAATGTGGGGGACGAGGGGTGAGGGGTGTAGGGACAGAACGGAATAATAGGGGAGCGCACGGGAAAAGAGGTAGGCTGTACTGAGGTTGTAGCACAATTGACAAATATGCTGAGCACCAGAGCATGCAACCATGCCTGCCAGCGCCAGGAACGGGGCTGAGCATGTAGGGTTCTTTTAGTTCGTCACCTGCTAGGGTTCTTTTAGTTCGTCACCTGCTAGGGTTCTTTTAGTTCGTCACCTGCTAGGGTTCTTTTAGTTCGTCACCTGCTAGGGTTCTTTTAGTTCGTCACCTGCTAGGGTTCTTTTAGTTCGTCACCTGCTAGGGTTCTTTTAGTTCGTCACCTGCTAGGGTTCTTTTAGTTCGTCACCTGCTAGGGTTCTTTTAGTTCGTCACCTGCTAGGGTTCTTTTAGTTCGTCACCTGCTAGGGTTCTTTTAGTTCGTCACCTGCTAGGGTTCTTTTAGTTCGTCACCTGCTAGGGTTCTTTTAGTTCGTCACCTGCTAGGGTTCTTTTAGTTCGTCACCTGCTAGGGTTCTTTTAGTTCGTCACCTGCTAGGGTTCTTTTAGTTCGTCACCTGCTAGGGTTCTTTTAGTTCGTCACCTGCTAGGGTTCTTTTAGTTCGTCACCTGCTAGGGTTCTTTTAGTTCGTCACCTGCTAGGGTTCTTTTAGTTCGTCACCTGCTAGGGTTCTTTTAGTTCGTCACCTGCTAGGGTTCTTTTAGTTCGTCACCTGCTAGGGTTCTTTTAGTTCGTCACCTGCTAGGGTTCTTTTAGTTCGTCACCTGCTAGGGTTCTTTTAGTTCGTCACCTGCTAGGGTTCTTTTAGTTCGTCACCTGCTAGGGTTCTTTTAGTTCGTCACCTGCTAGGGTTCTTTTAGTTCGTCACCTGCTAGGGTTCTTTTAGTTCGTCACCTGCTAGGGTTCTTTTAGTTCGTCACCTGCTAGGGTTCTTTTAGTTCGTCACCTGCTAGGGTTCTTTTAGTTCGTCACCTGCTAGGGTTCTTTTAGTTCGTCACCTGCTAGGGTTCTTTTAGTTCGTCACCTGCTAGGGTTCTTTTAGTTCGTCACCTGCTAGGGTTCTTTTAGTTCGTCACCTGCTAGGGTTCTTTTAGTTCGTCACCTGCTAGGGTTCTTTTAGTTCGTCACCTGCTAGGGTTCTTTTAGTTCGTCACCTGCTAGGGTTGTTTTACTCGATTCAATTATATGCAATCATATACGCCAGCAGCAGCAAGGGGATGGAGATGTAGGGTGTCCTCGGACGGACGACACACATCACAGCGAAACAGGGTGCAGACATACATGCCAGCGGCAGCAAGGGACTGAGCATGTAGGGTGTCCTCGGAAAGACGACACACATCACAGCGAAACAGGATGCAGACATACATGCCAGCGGCAGCAATGGGTAGCAGCTGAGTCATGTCGAGACGAAGAATGGCCGCCCGGGCGGAACTGACTTGCATCCACGGCACCTGCAAGGGGAGCATGCGAGGGATGACAAAGGAAAAGAGGGGAGTACAAGCTGGGAAAATAACTTTGGTCGCGTAGAAAATGAAAGGATTGGAGATGGTGAGATGGAAGTGTGCAAGAGGGAATGCGGTACGTTGAGATATGAGAGGCGTATGAGAATAAAGGCAATGGTGAAAAGAAGTAGATAAATGAAAAGGGCAGAAGCACATACGAAAGAGAGCATGGCATTGTTGGCCATTGAGAGCTGCTGCTTGCGTTGGTCAGCCCACCTGGCAACAGCTGATTGGACAACGGGCAGAGAATAAGGAAGAGGGGAGGGGGAGGGAGGGGGGGGAGGTCCGAGCCATTTCATGCAAGGGCACAGCAAAGTAGGGTAAGCATTGCATGAATCAGGCCTCTGGGAGGAGAGATGAGAAAGGTGGTCACACACACCTGGACAGGTCTCAGGCGGACAAATGAAATAAGACGGAAAAAAAAACCGGAATAACCGGAGTGGCATGGAGGATCAGCACACCTGGGATGGCTCGCCTGACGGCCTGAATTTTTATCAGAGTGGTGCCACCCGGTTAGCAGAGTGACGCAAGTGGTACGAGTAGATGACAGGGGTAGAGCACATGATGCAGCACAGGGGACACGAGAGGGGGACATGAGAGGGGGACATGAGAGGGGGACATGAGAGGGGGGCATGAGAGGGGGGCATGAGAGTGGGGCATGAGAGGGGGAATGGGCGGAAGACGGAAGGAGAACAAACCTGACAATCAATTGCAACAAATTTTTGAGTCGACTCAAAAATCAATTGCAACAAATTCACCCGGATATACATGCTGGGAGTATCAAGAAAGATGGGAGTCAGTCACGTATAAGAATGAAAACTTAACCAAGCAACAGCAGCATATTATAGTATGCTCAAACATAGCAGCGTAAGCAGCATAATTGGATAAATGACGCACCCAACCGCACGTAATTGGACGTAATTGCAGCATAGCTCTTACCATCCCTATGAACAGTGGGACGAGCAGTGTGGTAACCAGCCCGCGTAACAACGGCCCCGCTGGTACGGACACGCCCCCACTGGCTGGCACGAGCCTCGAGAGGAGCAGGGGCATCTGAGGGGGGAGCAGAAGGGTGCATGCAGGGGGGGGGGGGAGAGGGAGGGGTTGCTTGAACGGTCTGAGGGACAGGAGCCCTGCTGGCACTGAACCCTACTGGCTGGCACGAGCTTGGAGAGTAGCACAGGCATCTGAAAGGAAAAGCGGTGAGAAAGAGAGGAGAGGCGCTAAGGGGAGGGGGTTGGGGTGTTGTAGCTTGGATATCGCACTATGCCCCTGCTGGTACTGGCACGCCCCCACTGGCTGGCACGAGCCTGGAGAAGAGCAGGGCCATCTGAAAGGGAAAGTGGGGAGAAAGAGAGGAGAGGGGCGGAGGAGGAGGGGGGTGGGGTGTTGTAGCTAGAAAATGGCACAAAGGCCCTGCAGGTACTGACACGCCCCGACTGGCTGGCACGGGCCTGGAGAGGAGAAGGGGCATATGGGGGGGGGAGTAGAAGGGTAGGCTCATGTAGAAGACGGGAGATGGGGAGATTGCTAGAACAGTCTGAATGACAGGAGCCCTGCTGGTACTGGCACACCCCGCTGGCTGGCACGAGCCTGGAGAGGAGCGGGGGCATATGGAGGGGGGAGTCGAAGGGTGGGAGCTGGGGGATGGGGGAGGGAGACATCGCTAGGATAGGACGGTCTGATCTGAGGGACAGGAAGCCCTGCTGGGGGTGTTCGCCCTCCCTCACTTGTCCTACAGCCCCCCCAGGTGGCCAGGGTCAAAGCTCTCGAGTCTCTGGTGCTGCTGCTGCTGGGGGCCCTCCCCTCCCCTCTCGCAGGGCCATAAGGCCGGCCCCGGTGCTCCTCCAATAGTGCCGTCCTCTGACCCAACCTGGTGGGGGTGCTGGCCCTCTCTCCCCTGTCCTACAGGCCCCCCAAGCCGGCCAAGGAGAACGAGCTCGTGCCAAGGAAACCCTTCCTGGCGCTCGACAGAGTCTCTGGTGCTACTGCTGCTGCTGCTGGCAGCCCTCCCCTCTATTTCGACCCATCCCCCCCCCCTTTCCCCCGTCTCCCCCCTGACTTCCTGCCAACACACATCCCCACAGACGTTGAAGGAGAGGGCGCTGGATTCGCTGGTGCTGGTTGGGGGCAAGTTCGCCCGGAGTGTTCTGGGTGCTGGTGGTGGCCGTCCTCTCTGTTTCAACCACCCCCCCCAAACACACACGTCCACCGGCCCAAGGAGCGGGCGCTGGGGTCGTTGGTGCTGGTGGTAGCCATCCAAAAGCAGGAGGTTCTAGAAGAGGAGTGCTTGCAGTGAGTATTCCAACAGTCTCTTTTTTAAGGCGCCTAAAAGATAGACTCTTCACAAGTGGTTTCTGAGGCGCCTTGAGAATAAATCAGGAGAGCTTACAGTGAGTGAATATTCCAGCAGTGTTGTTGGTGACGATCGATAGGCCAGGATGACTTTCGAGTCGAATAAAAAGCAGCAGGTTTCAAAGCAGGCGAGCTTACAGTGAGTATTCCAACTGTGTTGGTGACGACAGTTAAGCCGAGAGCCAGTGCTGTGTTGGCCCCTGCTGCCTGGTTCAGTGGAATGTGGGAGGGAGGGAGGGAGGGACAGAGAGAGGGATGAGGGGAGAGAGGGTTGAGGGAAGGAAGTGAGCAGTTTGCAGTTCCACTCAGTCTAATGTTAGTGCCAAGATCTGGGTTGCTACCCAGCAAGCGTAGGCATAGCCTCTGGACTAAGTGCCTACAGCATGCCGAGAGGTTATGCAAGCATTTTACAAAACCCAATCCCAAATCACGAGGCTACACGTGGGAGGGGACTTTTGAGTTGACTCAAAATTCACCTGGACTAAGTGTGCGAAGTGCCAACAACATGTTGAGAACTTGAGAGGTTATGCAAGCATTTTGCAAAACCCAATCCCAATTCTCGTGCCTACCCGTGCTAGCGATATGCCTGCTGTGATGGTGGCGGGCATGCAGCAGAAGAGGGCGAGGCCTGTGGGGAGAAATAAGAAGGGGGGTTAGGTTGAGATGAAACGAGCGGACGGAGAGAGTGAAAGGCAGGGGGGGGGGATGGATGCTGTAATGGTGGCGGGCATGCAGCAGAAGGGAGCGAGATGACTTTTGAGTCGACTCAAAAGTGCACCAGAAGGGAGCTAGACCATTGGGGAGAGATGGAATGAGGACGTTGAGATGAAACGAGAGGTGGGTTGAGATGAATCGTGAAACGAGTTGAGATGAACGAGCGAATGAGGAGATTGAGAGACTGGGGGAGGATGGATGATGCGTTGGCGGCAGGCATGCAGCAGAGGAGAGCGAGACCTGTGGGGAGACATGGATGTAATGGTCTCGCTCTACATCCATGTCTCCCTGAGACATGGGGAGGAAATGATTCAGAAACGCAGCGAACTGAGCATCCCTGTGTTTGAGGCAACTGGTAATGGTCGATGAGGGAACGCTCAACTCAACAACGCATGTTACACATACCTGGCCAGGACAGCTGCAGTGCAGCGTATCTTTGAGAAATTTTGAAACAGAACCCTGCAACGCATGATGCACACACCTGTTTTTTTTTAGTTGACTCAAAATACGCTTGTTACACACACCTGTGGGCAGTTCTCGTGGCAGCAGGGGCAGACGCCGCACAAGAAGCGCCATGAGGGGCGTTATGGCGAGCGTGGATATCTGAAGGCACAGGGGCGATGGGGAAGTGGAAGGAGAGAGGGGGGGGGGGAGAGAGCGGACGGGGCAGAGGAAAAGAGGAGAAGTACGAGGGGAAGAAGGAAGAGGGGGGAGGGGGGACGTATGCAGGTGTGCGCAGTGCTATGGATGGAGCCAGCAGAGACAGCAGACGCGAGGGAAAAGGGGAAAGGGACCGATAGGGAAAAGGGGAGCAAAAGAACGGGTGTGATGAGGAGCGCACCGAGCCGTAGAGGAAGGCGGGCCACGAGCTGGCAGCTCTGCGGAGCTCCTCTAGGTCCAACGCGATGCCTGGCGTGTGGCATGGGAGGTGACAAGGCACATACCCAGCACGTGAGGTGACGTGGCACATACTTGGCACGTGAGGTGACGGGGCACATACTTGGCACGTGAGGTGACGTGGCACATACTTGGCACGTGAGGTGACGTGGCATGTAAGAAGGACTTACAAATCCGCCCTACCCGTACTAACCTCCACCCTTTTCTCGTTCATCTCCACGCTCCCCTCTTTAAGTTCCACTCTACCGACTTTAATCTCCGCCCTAAAGTTTTCATTCCCCATCCTACCGGAAACGAAGAAGATGCCGAACGTGCAGTAGCGAGCGAGCCCAATCTTGGACTGAGCGTAGATGCCGGGAGCAGGATACAGCACAGCCAGGGATATGCCCGTGCTGATGGCTGGGGGGGGTTGGGAAGAGGGGGGGGGAGATGAAGGGGGAGGGAGGGGATGGGCACTTTTGAAAGGTGAAGGGGGGGGAGAGTAGCGAACCAGCCCAATCTTGGACTGAGCCTACAACCCGGGAGCAGGATACAGCACAGCCAGGGATATGCCCGCGCTGATGGCTAGGGGGCTTAGGGGAGGAGGGGGGGGGAAGGGGGGGGGGTGGTAGGGTATAATGCACAGCCAGGGATATGCCCGCGCTGATGGCTAGGGGGCTTAGGGGAGGAGGGGGGGGAAGGGGGGGGGGTGGTAGGGTATAATGCACAGCCAGGGATATGCCCATGCTGATGGCTGCGAAGGGGAGGAGGAGCGGAAACGGGAGAGAGAGGTGAGGGCCGTCTGGCAAACCCGCCGTGAGTGGGAAACCGGCTTACGATAGTTCCCTTACCAACGAGAAGGAAGTTGCTGGTAACAAACGCACGAACTCCCTTGGCGAATCTCGCCAACGGTCCCTCTTCGCTTTTCGCCTCGGCCTCCTCGCTTGCTCGTTCCAAACTCGGCGCGCCAGCTGGCAAAAATCCACCATTTTCTTCGCGTCCTTCGTCGCGAATCATCGGACGAACAGTCTCCTCCCCGTTGGGCTTCCCTTCTCGTGCTTCCCCTGACCCCCTGGCTGCGTCCCCGTCTCGTGCTTCCCCTTCCCCTCTCCTCTCCGCTTCATCGACTAGACCCGCCTGTCTACCGATCGCAGCAACCGGAGCTAGTGGTCTTCGGTAAACTATCCATCGTCTCGAGCCCTCGAGATTGCATGCCGTTAATTCCCCTGCTGATGGTGCTGTTGATCGCGAGATCCGTTTTCGAGAATTCTCGAATGTGCTTGAAATGAGAGCCACGTCAGCGCTAGCCCGTGAGTGATCTAGTTTACCCGACGAGGACCAGACGGCTCGAATAGTGGTTTCTGAATCCTGACGGCTAAACCCGGAAGCGATCATTTTCTGCGACAGATGGCTCGATCCATTATTTATTGCGAAACGTCGTGATGCTCGCGGAGTGGTTACACCATTCGCCGACCGTAACCATTTGCTAGTCGTGAATGACTCAGGCCGTGCTGTTCTATTCAGGCCCAAGCAGTCTGACAATTTGGACGCATTTGCAGCCATGGCGTTTTCACTAGCCCAGGGCGTTTCTCGCGGTTTCCAGTGGTTGGAGAATCTAGTTTAGCAGCGTTGTGCTTCCAGCTAGCGTCACGCAAACTGTATCTTACGAAGCTACCAAGGAAACGGGATTTCGCAAAGTCGCGCCAATGGCAATCCGCTGCCAGTCAATAACAATATCGCGACGAGGTTTCCCTCAAGTAGCGATTAATTACCACAGGCGGTCTCACCACCAGGATGACAGTCATTCCCTCCCGCTATCGGAGTTGCTAGACTTGGCAACAGAATTTATAAATAATTTGGATAAACGGGAAAGACATGCGTCTGTGCATTAGAAACCTGACCGTCTTTCTGACAGCATCATTCTATTTCAGGTCCCGCTTTTCCCGCTGAGAGTGCGAGCAGAGCCTGTTATGAAAACCAGAGCAGCTCTACGGGGCACAGATAAGGCATCTTGGTGTTTCAGATTGATCAGGCGTTTCTACACCACACAGGCGCTCACCGCAAAGTGACGTGGCATCCTGCTGCAAGCGATCGGGAGATCTCGTTCGTCAATTTCCGTCAGTGGCGGCTTCGGCTGTGATGTCTCTGGTTGGTGGTGAATTGCTGAAAGCGGCTCGGACAGAAAGGGCAGTTCCCTTTATAAGGCTCTCCATGCTTGCGCTGTGTTTTTAGCGAAATTCGACTGTGTAATTTCAGGTACAGAAAAATCTGGCAAAATCTCGTCCTCGCAACAAGACGAGGTGTACACCTCTCTCGAGCGTGGCTGCTGCTTGCCTCAGTGGGGAAACACTACTTCGAGAACGTCGCGCTCACTCGATTCGTTACAGACCTCGGGACAATCATTCCATCCAAGCCGTCCATCTCGTCATCGCCGTTACGATGTCTGGAAGCTAACGGCCGGACGGAGTCCCTCCCAGAAGTACAGTGAGCTTCCCCCCACCACCGCACCGAAACAACCACCGCATCACAAAGTGCGTGCTACTGAGATTATCGTATTTCACCGTACGGTGACGCATCGCGCCGTTTTTAAAACCCCACTGTTGCACCAAAATGCTGCAGCCCAGTGGCCACTTCCACAAGTCCCTACCACGAGCGTTTTCTTTTCCTTAGCTTCCTCGCGGTTCCAGCAGCCACGCGGTTCAAGCCAGAAATGTATGCTTAGGGCAGCATTGTCCGTACGTGTAGCTCGCACGTCATCTCCATGCATCCTTACGTGGTCTCTCAGCCTGCTTTCTTACGTGGTCGCTCATCCTTACTGGTCGTTACTGGTCTCTTCGCTGACCATGGTCAACGTTTCGTCGCCCCGCTTTCCTCCTTCCTTGACGCTGCTCACATCGCGTTCTCCCTTCCCGTTGAGGTTCCCGTTGAGGCAAGCTACAGACTTTAGTTAACCTTACCAACTCCGCCCTTCTTTCATTCTTCTTAGCCGGTTTTAGACTGTGAAGCGGAAGAGAGCTCAAACAGCTTGCTTGCCTTCCATCCCTCCCTGCACTGCGTTTCTAGGCGTCTCAACACGCCATTAATTTCTCACGTGTATCGCTTCCTGCGTTGCGTGTAGCAATTATTAGTCCAGCGTCGTCATGTGACCTCGGTCCTTCTCTGTAAATCAATCGGCGACAAAAAGCCTACAATCATATCAACTCGCATCGTCGCTCACTTAGCTAAGCATCTTTAAGAGCTAACGTGTCTTTATCCCACCCGGCCTTAGCTAAGACTCATGCGACGCAACCAAGTCCAGCAAGGACGTAATCTAGTGTGTCAGACGTAACTTAGTCTGTCGGACTGACGCAGAATCAGCTAAGCGTTCGCTTTTAGACCGGAACAGCTACAAACGAACGAAAGAATGACGTCATCTGCCGACCGAACGCGACTCGCTCCGCCGAGGCTCTGGATGGTGGAAGCAAATTCCGTCAAGAACATGGAGCTGAACGGAGCTCTGTTAACGTTAGCGTTACACGACCGGCAGAAGCAGCTGGAGAAAGAAGCGCCCGAGAGAAGTCGAGAGCACGGGGGAGACGACGGAGGAGGCGGAGGAGTCAGGGGGAAATCGGAGTCGCGTCTTGGGATTGAAATAGGGCTGTGCTTCGTGGCTGGCGAAGGGCTTGGCATCTGTAAGTACGATCCTCGAGTTGACTACAAGGAGGGTTCAGACTGCTGTTTGGTTTGGAGATTGAAAAAGTGCTGTGCTTCGCGGCTGGCGAAGGGCTTGGCATCTGTAAGTACCACCCTAACCTAACCCCGTGTGAGTAGGCGTTTGTAACGAATGCATGGAGAACAGGCGGCAACAACTGTATGTGAATCGATTTTTGAGGCGCCTCAGAAACAACTGTATCTGAATCGGAATCGAATCTGGGAGTCGACACTGTACCGTGCTTCGTGGTTGGCTGGCGAAGCGCTAGGCATCTGTAACTTGAAGCCCCATTTCCCAGGAGCATAAACTTCTGTAAGTGAGATCCAAAATTTTAAACGCTACATATAAAGCAAGAGACGAGACTGAGTGAAACCCTTCTATTTTAACTGCCTCCACATTCTCCAGCGCTGCTGAGCACTTCTGTGGGAGCAAGTGCATTTTCCGTCGTACCTGTAGCATCCCCCTTCCCCTCTGTCTTTCTTCCCACAACCCCCTACTATTGCCCTCTCGCCTCCCCCTCTCAGCCCCCCTTCTCTCCACGCTTTCCCCCCGCCTCCTCTCCCCCATTTTAGCGGGAGCGGCTCTCCAGCAGAAAGGCAGGGGACGGCATCGAGGGTCTGTCTCCGGTGCTGCAGGCTGCAGCCTCTACTGGACCAGTGCGCTCACGCCCAGGTGCCTGTGCGCGTGCATGGGGAGTGTGGGGGCAGAAGCGTGACGAGGCTCTGTTTAAGCGCCCTCCATACCACGCTCTCCCCCCCCCCCCTCTCTTTCTCCCCTCCCTTTCAGTGGGTGCCGCCCTGCAGCACAAGGGCAGTGCGGGGGACGGCAGCAGCAGCAGCGAGGGCGTGTCTCCCGTGCTGCAGGCGCTGCTGAAGCCTCTGCTGGACCAATGCGCTCACGCCCAGGTGCCTGTGCGCGTGCACGTGGAGTGGGGGCAGAAGCGCGACGAGGCCCTGTGCCAGGGCGTGAGGACTACAGGGGCAGAGCGGCTATACGTGGGGAACAAGAGGTGGGTGGTGGGGAGATGGTGAGTCTGTGGTTCGGGTTAGTGCCAGAGAGTCAGGCCCAGGTGCCAGTGCGCATGCACCTCTCTCCTCCCCCCCCCCCCCAACCCTCTCACGCCCCACAACCCCCCCTGCACCAACCTTTCGGCTTGTCCTCTGTCTTCGCACCCAATCCATGCACCCCCTGCTCCGTGCCGCCTGCTGTACTTTGAAACGCCTTACATTTCACGCGCCTCCTCCAACCCCCCACACCCCCCCCCTCCCCCCCAACCTTTAGGTTTGTCTTCCGCCTCCTAACCCAGTCCACGCATCCCTTGCTCCGCCGCCTGCCCCCTGGCTGCATGCTCGTGGTTGGCCAACCAGGCTCCTCCTCCTCCTCCTCCCCCTCCTCCAAACCCGCAGACAAGACCAAACCAAGAGACAAGGGCAATCCCTCCAGCCCTAACCTTTCCTCCCCAGCCGCCCATGCCGCCCCTGCGTCCCCTCGTTTCCCCGACTCGCGTTCCTCGTCTTCTTCTGCCACTCCTGCTTCACGTAAGGGCGGCTCCTCCGGTTCCTCCTCCTCCTGTGTCTCCTCCTCTCATGTGCTTCCCTCCTCCTCCGCCTCCTCCTCCTCTCTCCCCGCTCTCTCCCCTTCTCTTCCCGCCCTTTCCCCCCACAACGCTGCAACAGCAGCAGCAACAGCGGCGGCCGTAGCAGCGCCTGGCGGTGCTGCCGATGGCTATGCCAATGGTAATGAGTCTGATGACGAGGAGGGTTATAACGAGGATGGCAGCAACGATAGGGATACGGATGATGACGATGATGACGGTGATGACGATGCCGTGTGCCGGCCCAAGTCCTCCTTCACCATAGCGGACTGGGAGGCGGAGCTGCAGAGGGTGGCTATCGGCCAGCAGAGGATCGTGTCTCTGTGGGATAGAGCCGAGGTAGCAGGCCGTGTGCGTGCCGGTGGTGGTGTTGGTGCAGCCGCGTTGGGTAGTCCAGGTGGGGTGGCTGCAGCTGGTAGCAGTGGCTTTGGTGGTAGCAATGGTGGTGGTGGTGCTGCTGCTGCTGCTGCTGCTGCTGCTGCTGCTGCTGCTGTTGCTGGTGGTGCTGCTGGTGGTGGTACTGCTGTGGTGCTGCTGCCAACGCCATCGACGGCTCACGAGGAGCAGCACCAGCAGCAGGTTCAGAGGCAGATGCAGCTGCTGCAGCAGCAGAAACAGCAGCAGCAGCAGCAGCAGCAGCAGCAGCAGAATCTGCCCGCCGGGCAGAAGAAATTCCGCCCGCTGCGAATCATTGTCCCAGATAGCACCTCCCCCCACCCCTCACGTGCGCCTACCCCCAGCCCTGGCCTGAGCGCCTCCAGCAGAGACGGGCGCACCCCAGGTGAAATCTCAGGTGCCCTGGGGCCCTATGCTGTGAACAGTAGCCCAGGATTCAGCAGGGTCAGTAGCCATGACAACCCGAACGCCCTCGTGCCGCTGGCCTCCCCTAGAGGCTTCTCGCTCCCTGGGATGAGCCCTGGCGGGTTAAGTGCAGGGGCAGCAGGAGGAGGGGCAGGAGCAGGAGGAGGAGGGAGAAGGGGAGGAGGAGGGGGAGGTGTTGGAGTTGGTGTAGGAGGAGAGTTAGCATTAGCGGAAGGAGGAGCGGATAGGGGGCAATCGGCAGCAGCGTCTAACAGCGGGCCGGTGTCCGAGGCGGACAGGCAGCGCATGCTGCGGCTGCAGCAGCAGATGCGGCACCAGTTCACCGGGCTGCAGAAGATCCTGGTAGAGCAGCACCAGCCGTCCCCCGTCCACCCGTTGTTGGTCGGGGGGCAGCAGCAGCAGCAGCGGCAGCACACAGGGAGTGAGCAGCAGCCGGGAGCAGTTCAGCCGCAGCAGCAGCAGCAGCAGCAGCAGCAGCAGCAGCAGCAGCAGCAGCAGCAGCAGGCGAGGAGTCAGCAGCAGCGGGGAACAGCCCATCACACCCGCCGGCACTCCGGGTCTTCCTCTTCCACCTCTATCACCCCGCAGGGCACGCCCCCTCCCCGCCCCACCAAGGGCCGAGGCCTCTTCCCATCCTCTTCATCTGTCAGTGGGACTGGCACCAGCAGCGGCAGCGGCGGCAACAGACCTCAGGTGGAAAAGTCCCATGGGGATAAATCTCCCTTATGGAAGGGATTAGAGAGTGTAGCAGCAGGCTTGTCTGCCATTCACTCTGACAAACAAGCAGCCAAGGGCTCAGGTGGAAACTCAGATGGACGTTCAGGTGGTTTCTCAGGTGGTTTTTCAGGTGGGTTTGCAGGTGGGCGTTCAGGTTGGCATTCCCACCAGGGGAGCGAGGATTTTCATCTGAAAGGAAACGAGTTTGAGGGGATCGACACGAGCCTCCTCATCGTGCCCCGGATCGCCCCAACCTCAGCCTCGGCAGCAGCCTCGGCTGGAGCCTCGACAGGCTCGCCGTCGCCGAACCTTACCCCGCCCACAGGTCTGGGGGCAGGCACAGGAGGGACTGGAGGAATGAAGGTTGCAAGGGCTGTCTCACACGAGCAGCCAGTAGGGGGGGTGAGGAGAGGAGGAAGAGAGGTTTCGAAGGGCGGATTGGTGCAACACCCTGTAAGAGGATTGAAGGGAGAGGAGTCTCCAGCAGCCCCCCAGCAGCCGGTGGTGGTGGGAAAGAAGCTGTGGGTGACTGGCAGGTCTAGCTTTGGGAGTGAGAGGGAGATAGCGGGCGGGAGTGAACCTTTAGCAGCAGGCATGGGGCCGGTAGTAGCAGCAGATGCTGTACCAGCAGCAGCAGCAGCAGCAGCAGCAAGTCCTGCCAACAGCACCAGCAGCAGCAGCAACGCTGGGATGGGTACTACTAGCGACCATCACACCATCCCCATCCCTCTCCCTTCCTCCTCTTTCTCTGTCTCCTCCTCCTTCCAGTCCTCCTCCCAAGCCGGATTCCAAGCCAGCCGGCTGGACTCGGCAGACTGCCACCGCTTCCCCCCGGACCAGATTCACCGAGCCACGGGGGGGTTCTCGCCCTCGCAGCTGATTGGCCGGGGCAGGCTTGGGCCGAGCTACCGTGGGGAGATCTTTGGATGCCAAGTGGCGATAAAACTGCTGGAGCTCGTTGGGGAGACATCAGGGAAGAGTGAGAAGAGTGAGGAGCTCGGGGGAGATGGTGGGGAGACTGGGAGGGTTAATGGGGAGAGGAGGGAAGCAGGGGATGGGGAGGTGGGGGAGCAGGAAAGCGCCGCTGTCGGCTCGTCCGGTGCGTTTGGCTCGTTTGGTCCTGCCACATCAGAGGATCATCAAGTGGCACGAGAGAGAGTGCACGAAGCAGTGGAGGTGCTCAGTCGACTCAGGCACCCGCACCTGCTGCTGATGATGGGCCACTGCCCCGAATACCCCTGTCTAGTCTATGAGTATGCCCCCGGCGGGGGCCTCGCGTCCCGGCTCTCTCGTATCCACTCGCTCATGGCTGCTGCTACTGGGGTTTCAACCGCTGCAGCCGCAGCAGGGGAGGCTACCAGCAGCAGCAGCAACAGCAGCAGCATCACAGGTGGTGCTGCTGCTTCGGGCAGCGAAAGTAGTGAAGCCATGGCGTCAGGTGCAAGGTTTGGGGAGGAGGAGGAGGAGGAGTTGGAGGCAGTGTGGCTGTCTTGGGTGGATAGGCTGCGACTGGCGTCAGAGCTGGCAGGGGCGCTACTGTTCATGCACCAGCATGCGCCGCCCGTGCTGCATGGCGGGTTGACTCTACAGAGCGTGCTTCTAGACCGAAACTCCGCGTGTAAACTCAGTGGCGCAGGCCTCTCCTTCTCGTCAGCTCACCCTCCTGGTAGTGCACTGGAGGGGAACAGCGGCGGTGCCTCAGCTTCTGCTTCTGCTTCTGCTTCTGCTTCTGCTTCTGCTTCTGCTTCTGCATCTGCGTCTGCCTCTGACCCCAGGAGCAGCACAAAAGCAGGGGACACATGCCACGACACCAGCAGCACGGGCTTACTGGGAGACGATGTGCATGCCTATGGCATTGTGGTGTTACAGCTGGTTACCGGCATAACCAGCCCCTCTCTGATTCACTCCCTCATGCACTCCCATCCGGTAGCAGAAGGTACAAGATCAGCTGGTGGTGGGGTTGGGTCGGAGGGACACAGGATAGAACTAGCCGAGCAATCAGCAGGAGGGGCAGCCAGGGGAGGAGTTTCTGGGGGAGGTGTTACCTGCGGGTTCAACCTGGCTGAAGCAGTGGATGTGTTTTTGTCCCGATTGGACGTGACGGCGGGGGAATGGCCGGTGGAGATGGCATCTGTGGTGGTGCTGCTGGCGCTGCGCTGTGCTTCGGGGCAGGTGGAGCTTCGGCCGGACCTGGCAGCTGAGGTTCAGCCTGCCCTTTCGGCTCTGGCTCGGGAAGCGGAGGAGAGTTTTGGGCGGGCGGCCCGGCAAATGCTGCGGGCTGCCCTTAGAAAGCGAGATTTTTCTGCCTTTCAGAAGAAAGTGGAGAAGGTACAGTGGGTGGGGGGGGGGGGGGGGGCTTGAGCATAATTTTTGCCGTCATACTGTATGGCTCTTGTTTTTTTGTCTCTGAATCAGGTGCCATTTTCCCTGTGCTCTTCTTTGTGCGTGCAGATTGAGGATAGAGCATCTCCCATTGTTCTTGACACTTCAAAGCATCATGGTGTTCGGAAGCTGATTGAGTCCATGGTTCCCCACAAGTCTCCTTCATTGCGTGGGAAAGGTTGGATGAGAACGAAGTCTATCAAGGGCTAGACAGCCCCGATCTGTGGCAACCTTACCTAGTCTTCTATTGCTTTTTAGTTCAAAAGCACCCAGAATACCTGTACATTGGAAGTGGTGGTGTTGATCAAAACTCCATGGTGTTAGAGAGAATCAATTGCAGCTCACGTTGGGTTCAGGAGTGGAAAGGTTATACCGGTACGATACTAATTTCGCAAAGCGAATAACGAGCCTTTTGACTCATGGGCAGAAGCGGAGTGTGGGCGCTCGCGCCCTCTGCTCTGATTGGCCCCTCCCTCGCTTCACTGTCAGCTGACACGATTCCAGCCGGAGCCGCAGTTTTCCCATTTCCAACCGCCAATGAACGGAAGCAGAGGGATGCACGGAGGAGAAAGCGATAAGGCCAGCGGGCTGTTACATAATCGGACGGAATGTCGATTCGCACCTCGCTTCGCTGATGTGGTGTTGCTGGGACGAACATTGGGATTTCGCTGGTCGTTAGCTTCTGTTCAAAACCAGACGGTTTCGGTTTCCAGCGACCTGCCCAAACGGTGGTGCTGCTGAATGAACAATAATCCCGAGAAACTGACGGAGTATTTCTCCTTCACTTTCAGACAAGTCGTCAGTCAGCCAATCAGGAATCCAGGCAGGAGCATTCTAAGGAAGAGTGGCTATGGTCGGGTGCTGAGTGCTGAGCATCCTAAGGAAGAAAGTGAGGATTCTGTCATAGCCCCCTAGTCAGTGCTCTTTGTCAGTGCTCGTTATGTTAGCCTTCTGATAACAGCTGTGGCTCCAGAGGTGGTGTTCATTCACTTCAGGCTCCGCTGGTGGTGGTTTCGTCGAGATTTCTCATGGTAAACTTGCAGTTTGAGTAGTCTGCGTCGCCATCTCAGTTGCGCTGTGCCTGTCTTTAATCTCTGTTGCACTGTGGTAGGCTCCTAAGAAAGTCGATACACTCCACCTCCTCCTGGTTGCTCGTATTTTCGGCCTCGATCCCTCCGTTTGTCAGGTAGGACACAATCTTCTGGCCTCTCGTCAAATCTCCGGACATCTTCCAGCGAGCGCAGTGATTAGAGTTGACTAGAGTCTGTTGAAACAAGTAGGACACAATCTTCCGGCCTCTCATCACGGCGTTTGCGTATTGTAATAGGGTTACCAGAACAGAGCAGTCCGTTGTAGATTCGCATCCATCCTTCGTAGATAAAATCCATCGTGAATTTATATCCTTCTTATATCAAATTCGTCGTACACTCAGACGTAGACTGAATCGGCGATGCCTCAATCATCCGTAGTTAGACGTCGAGTCGGCACCGACGGTAGCGCGGTACGATCGGACCTTCAAGAGCCGTTGCTGTCATGGGACGACAGACACGACGACGACGTCCGGATCGATCCGCCTGCGACGTCTGCGACGTGTGCGAATCCCGCGAACGGCGTCGCCAGCCACAGTTCCGACGTTAAGGTTCGTCTGTCTTCGCCGCTGCAGAGCACCATGAACGTGAAAGTGATACGTACAAAGGTTCGCCTGTCTTTGCTGCTGCAGGTTCTCTACTTTATAAGTTTGACTGGTATTCAAAGCTGACGGTGGACCATGTCGTCGTGCAGATACTTGCTGGATACTCGTCAGTCTGGAGTGATTCCATTATCTTAGAATAAGCATCTCACATTGCATCGTCATTAGACCCCACCGTCCGTCCTCTCATATACTCGGCTCACGAAACATCCCTAAAAGCGCCAGGTCTTACCCCCTTAGCCGCTGTCTGTCCGCTTGCTTTCCGCAATTCCGTGTATTGACGCGCCTCAGAGTGCAAATCACCAGCATGCCGTCTTCTTTCTGCCCGTATTATCGTTCTTTCACGTCATTCCGTTCGGTTTGACAGAAATTTGTTAATTCCGTCCATTTTGACGGACGTAAGTTTGTTCGTTTTGACGACCTTTTTGTTCCGTGCAGTCGCCGTTGGGGTCTCCGAGGCCAGGGGAAGGCGGGTCTAGAGTGTGGCAGCACCTTCTCGGATCTTTCGTCTTCCAGTGGGCAGCATGGCTAGGTGGGTCTAGTATTATCATTCTTCAACTCCAAATTCAATTCCAAAAATGTTGTGCAATGACGTCAACTACGTGTTTTCTGCTTACTATCTATTATTTTTCTCCAGGTTGTAAGAGCACACTGCCCCTCCCTCCCGCTTCCCCCCTCCCCTTTTCCCCTACCCCCACTTCTCTCTGCCCTCCCCCTGTCACCAGGCCAGCTCATGGTGGTTGCGCGCTCCAGGGTGCTTGCTCTGGGCGGCTCTTTTGCCTGCATCCCCTCAACGTCACCTTCCCCCTCCCCACCGCCCTTACCCCCCGTATCAGGCCAGCTCATGGTCGGTGCGCGCACCAGGGTGCTTGCTCTGGGCGGCTCTTTTGCCTCCACGCTGCTGCTCCCCCCGCACGCGCGCGCACCCATCCGCGGAGGCCCCCACCAGGTGCGCGGGGGGGTTCCCGCCCTCCCCCCCATCAAGCTCTCCGAACCCCAGGAACGAAGCCTGAAGCTGCTACAAACGAGGATAGACCCGCTCTTTGAGAACGAGAAAGCCGAGCATAAAGCAGCACTAGTGGAGTTGTGGGAGCTGGCGTATCCGGGGAGGGTGTTGACTGAGGAGGTGGAGGTGGCAGGGTGGAAGAAGATGGGGTGGCAGGGGAAACACCCGTCCTCGGATTTCAGGGGCGGGGGGTTCTTTGCGCTGGAGAATCTGGTCTACTATGCTCGCACATACCCAGTAGGTGTGGGGGAAAAGAGTAAGGTTGGAGAGGGATGGGGGGGGGGGTTGGGGATTGGGGAGTGGGAAGATGGGGGATTGGGGATGTAAGATTCTGATATTGCTTTCAAGGAACAACACCCATGAGGAGTTTTGGGCTCTAGAGTGCACTCAGAATGCACCTCATTCTGGGTTTTTGTCCTCCCAGAGGTCGTTTCAGCGCATCATGCGCAAGCAGGAATGTCGACTCGTGAGGCACCTTGTGCTCATTTCCCTTCTCCGCCCCTTTGAAGCTCCTGTGTGGCTCCATGCTTCTGCTCCCACTCTCTGTGTCACACTGCAGAGGTCGTTTCAGCGCATCATGCGCAAGCAGGAGGGACGCAGGGCGGAGTGGGAGTACCCCTTCGGAGCAGCAGGGGTGAACATCACCGTACTCCTTATAAGCATCCTCGACTTGCGTAAGGGTAAGCATGCAGCTTTTGGTAGAAGTCGCTGTCTTCCTTCTTGAAGCCCTTGGCCCACGCAAGCTGGGTGTTCTAAAGCAATCCATGAAGAGGCAGGTGTGAATATTATCGTGGCATCCTTGACTCACACACTGGTGATCTCTCGAATGAGTTATAGAGCAGCTGGATGTGTATCGTTATGTTCTATAGGTATTATTTTTCACACTGCTTTTTCAGCTGGATGTGTATCGTTATGCTTTTTCTCCTCCCTTGTATGTCATCTCCCCAGCTCTCCTTCAAAAATCCCCTCAACTGTTGCCCAGGGGGCTTTTCAGTGTCAGCGGTTAGATGAGTCACCGAAACATACAGCAGTCATTGAAACAGTAATCGTTATGTTCTGCTGTGTCGTTTTTCACCGCGCCTTTTCTCTACCCATTTGCGTCCTTTCCCTGGGTCTCCTTCAGAGATCCCCTCAACTGTTGCGGGACGAGCTTTTCTAAATATATTACCAGAGCATCCGACGGCATTTGAGGATCTGTACTGCGTGACGTTTGAGATGATGGACGCGAACTGGCTGGAGCTCAAAGCCTCTTACATGGAATTCAACGTGAGTCGATAAGGTCGGATGGTCAATGCGAGTCAAACACATGCACACGCGCTCACGGACGCGCTAAAAACCCGCTGAACCTTTTGAGGATCTGTGCGTTGTGATGTTTGAGATGCTGGACGCCAGCTTGCCGGGCTCAAGGCCTCGTGCATGGAATTCAATGTGAGACATCCAAATGCATGCACATACAGCCAACCGTTTTAGGACCTGCTCTGCGTTGCAGCTGGATCTGCTGGATGCTCATTCGCTAAAGCCGCTGTGCGTGGAGTTCGATGTGAGAGAAGCACTCACACTCGTGCCACAGTTACACTTACACACACACACACACACGCACACACACGCACACACACACACATGCACGCACACACACACACATACACTAGTCCACACTCTCTCAACCATAATGAATTCCTTGAATGCCGTGGTTGAACCCTCTTGGCTTTTCTCATCTTCTTTCATCCCTCCTTTCATCCCTCCTTTCATCCCTCCTTTCATCCCTCCTTTCATCCCTCCTTTCATCCCTCCTTTCATCCCTCCTTTCATCCCTCCTTTCATCCCTCCTTTCATCCCTCCTTTCATCCCTCCTTTCATCCCTCCTTTCATCCCTCCTTTCATCCCTCCTTTCATCCCTCCTTTCATCCCTCCTTTCATCCCTCCTTTCATCCCTCCTTTCATCCCTCCTTTCATCCCTCCTTTCATCCCTCCTTTCATCCCTCCTTTCATCCCTCCTTTCATCCCTCCTTTCATCCCTCCTTTCATCCCTCCTTTCATCCTATCCCCATCTCTCTCCCCCACAGGTCGTCCCTCAAGCCACTCGAGCAGAGTTGGAGCACCATCTGTGCCAGCTCGCTTTCCACTCTCTTACAGCTCTCACTCTCCCCCCCACCCCTTGTAGCCAGCCCGGTTTCACTTCCATGCTCTCTACCCCCCTCCCCTCCCCTTCATTCCCCTCCCCTCACCATGTCTTCCACCCACCGTCCTCCCCACCGTTGCTCACATCCAAGCCACCCGAGCAGAGTTGGAGCGCCATCCGTGCCAGCCCAGCTTCTCAGCCGTCTCTGATCCCGCCCTCCCCTACCCGCTCTCCTTCCTTTTCCTTACCCCACCCCTCTCCCCCGAGGTGGTGCTTCAAGCCACGCGTGCAGAGCTGGAGCGCCATCTGTGCCAGCCCAGCTTCACCTCTAATTCCGCCTCTACCCTCTCTCTTTGGTTCCCCTTGCCCCAAACCTCTTCCCCCCGCCCAGGTGGTGCTTCAAGCCACCCGGGCAGAGTTGGAGCGCCATCTGTGCCAGCCCAGCTTCAGTGCCGTTTCTGACCTGCCCGCTTTTGCCCGGCTCACAGCAGAGTAGCCTGCCCACACTCGGATTGCCCTTTCACACACGCTTCATGGAGCACCCTCACGCCAGCATAGCCCCTCCATGTGCCATCTGTGCCAGCCCAAGTTCACTGCCGTTTCTGACCTTCCTGCCTGTGCCAGGCTCACAGAAGAGTCAGGAAACTGCATCCACCCGCATCGCGTCCATACTTCCCTCCCTGCAAACTGCAACAAGCTAGGCCCTCGGCGCCATGCCATACCCCGTCTCAGAACAGCACATCCCACCCTGCCATGCTTCAGACACCGTGACACTGCCATAATTTTGTTCTCTTTGCGTACGACACTAGGGTAACAGCAGAATAAGCATCCTTGCGGCTAGCCTCTCCTTGTAGCATGCAGTGTCAGAGGAATAAATGTACTGGAGAGAGAGCGGAACAGCCGGAGCAGCAGCTGCAGGGGAAGGCTGGGCTGCCTCTCGTGCCATGCACACAAATGCACTAAATTGCAGCAGATACGCAAATTCCACGTGCAGCGTTGGCATGTGCTGCATTTCCCAGTAGACGCTTTGGTGTCTGCAGTCGGGCATTGCAAAAGGTGTTGCTGAATCCCACGATGGACGTGGCATTTGCAATATTTGCTATATGGCACCTGTCACATCTCTTCTAAGGCGTTACAATGAGATATACCACAGTAGAGAAATCCGGTCGTTTGCCTAAAACGAGCGAAGACGCCTGACGCTAGACAAACGAAAGCCTCTCAGCCAACGAATGACGCGCAAAACTTCCACTGACTGAAATTGACGAACGAGATATTTCGATAATCTTCAACCACGATGCCACGTCATTACACTTTGCAGGTGACTGGTGAGGTGGAGTGGAGTGGCTGGAAACAGCTTTCGCCTAAAACCTGGCGCGTGGGTTCCTGCGAAATTACCAATTCCCCATGGAGCAACATTGATCGCATAGTCGTAGACCAGTTTCGCGAGGATCTCTGGTTCCCGCGATGTTCGCCAACACTGGTTTGAGCTCTGGTGTTGTCAGAAATGCTAACTGATGTTCAGCGTCTCGCGGACAACATGGTGGGAACAAAATGAGGGGGACGCGCTGCGTCTGGGACAGACGGGGACTTTTGAACCTGAGGCTCGAATATAAGAATGGGCGAAAGGTGATTAAGATGTTATCGAAACGGTTTTGTGCGTTTCTTCGTGGTTCCTTTGTCCATTCATGTGTCGAACCTCCGTACAACTTTTTAGGAAACGCGTGTTGATACAACGGATCGAACACAATAAGACTACATTAGCTGCATCTAAATCTAACAGGCATATCTTCCCCCTTTTTCGGAAATTATGATGATCGCGTCGCTAGCAGCAGCTCTGGTCGTCGACAGAATGACTGTCTGTCAGCTTCGGGGTCTCCTCCGCAGCCAGAGATTGTCGCTGGCATGTCTTCGCGATATGCATTTTCTCGGTAGATTCCGCTGGCGTCACGCGGACTCAGGGTTGAGTACAACTTTCGCGGCTAGTAAGCTAGTGAAAACGCCATGGCTGCAAATGTGTCCAGATCGTCAAATTTATTGGGTCTGAGTAAGACTGCACAACCTACTTTTTCCGCCATTGAAAGCGAGATGTTACGCTCAGCGAATAATGGGATAACGACCTCTGTAATCATCAGTTCAGTGGTAACCACCACGACAGCATCGCGACGTTCCGCTGGTAACCGCATATCGAAGCATGTGTCGCAGAGAGTGGTCGTTTCAGGGTTTCGCTGTCAGGGTTCAGGAAGACTCTTCCTGAACGCAGAGGGGCCCTTTCTGAGCACAGGAAGCCCGGCCGGGTTGATCGGCGGGGCCACTGGCACTGTTCGGATCAGATCCGCGTGGCCGTCGAATGCCACTGGCAGTGCCGGATCCGAACTTTCTCGAGCGTTGTCTGCCGACGGCGGAGTGGCTTTCGTTTCAAGCACATGTGAGCGAAAACGGCTTTCGGCGCGATCAGCAGCAGCATGCAGTCTCGATGGTTTGAGACATAGGATCGCTTACCGGAGGCTAAGACGAGCTCCGGTTGCTGCCAGCAGCGCGATCGGGAGAGAGGCGGGTCTAGTCGACGAAGCAGCGAGGGAAGTTGACAGGGACGCTGTTTTTGAGGCGCCTCGAAAGGAGAGGAGAGTTGATGGGGAAGAAGAAGGCGGGGGGTTGGCGGGAGCACGAGAAGGGGAGCCAAGCGAAGGGGAGTCTCTGAATCGTGGGGATCGACGAGAGGTGACTTTTGCGTCGACTCAAAAGTCGCCTCGAGAAAAGGGGAGAGGTGACGAGGGAGAAGAAGGCGGGGAATCGGCGGAAGCACGAGAAGGGAAGCCAGCTGAAGGGGAGTCTCGGAATCTTGAGGATCGACGAGAGGGACCTGGCGGGGATTTGCCGGCAGTGGCGACATTCGCCAAGGGAGTTCGCGAGTTTGTTACCAGCAACTTTCTTCTCGTTGGTAAGGAAACGGTTCCCTTTCCCCCCATCTTGTGAGAGACCTTTTGTATTTTTCAAAAAGGCTTCATGAGTGCTCATCCCCTCCCTCCCCCTTCACCTCCCTTCTCCCCTCCCACACTCCCCCAGCCATCAGCACGGGAATCGCACTGGCTGTGCTGTTTCCCGCTCCTGGCATCTACGCCCAGTCCAAGATAGGGCTCGCTCGCTACTGCACGTTCGGCATCTTCTTGGTCTCAGGTGGGGTTGAGATCAGAAGGTGGGGTTGAGATCAGAAGGGTTGACTACTAATGAGGCTGAATCCAGAAGGGGTTGGCTGACTTCGTAAGCTACTCGCTCGCTACTGCACGTTCGGCATCTTCTTGGTCTCAGGTGCGGTTGAAACCAGAAGGGTTGACGACTTTTGAGGCGCCTCAAAAGCCACCTCGCTCTCTACTGCTCGTTCGGCATCTTCTTTGTTTCTGGTAGGGTTGAAATCAGAGGGGGTTGGGTTGAATCCAGAAGGGGTTGGGTGAGGTTCAGTAGGGTAGGGCGGAGCTGAAAGAGGTTGGGGCGAATTTGTAAGTCATTCGCTCGCTACTGCTCGTTCGGCATCTTCTTTGTCTCCGGTAGGGTAGAAAGGGTTGGGCTGAATCCACAGGGGGCTGGGTGAGGTTCAATAAGGTTCAGTAGGGTTCCCCTCAGAGGGGATAGGTCAGAAGTTCCTGCGGGTAGGGTGGAAAAACCAAGAGGGTAAGGCGGAAATGAAAGCAGGGAATAAAGCGGGTGGGGACGGGGATTAACGAGGGTAGGGATCCTCATTACACCCATTCCACACCCACACACATCCACTACACACACCACCTCACTACCCATGCCACCCATGCCACCCACGCCAGGCATCGCGTTGGACCTAGAGCAGCTTCGCCAAGTGCCCAGCTCGTGGCCTGCCTTCCTCTATGGCTCGGTACGCTCCTCCTCACGCCCGTTCCACGCACGCACCCACCACAGGCTCGGTACGTTCCTCATTACGCCCTTTCCGGGCACGCGCCCACCACAGGCTGCACACCCATTCCACGCATCGCGCTGCGCTATGGCTCGGTTCCTCTGCGTTCCTTGTCGCTCGTTTGGAAGAGCGTTTCTCTAGCATTCTTAAAGGGTAAAAACAAAAACAGAAACAAATAAATATCTTTTCGCTCTCATGTGCATCACGCAGGTTGGTGGGTCACTCCATCTACAGCGCTACGCACTCCTGCATGCACCCCCCCCCCCATCCTCATCCCCTCGTCTTCCCTCCCCTCCATCCTGTCCTACCAACCCTCTATCCCTCCTCCCTTCCCCAGCTATCCACGCTCGCCATTACTCCCCTCATGCCTCTTCTTGTCTTGCGCCTGCCCCTGTTGCGCCTGCCCCTGTTGCGCCTGCCCCTGTTGCGCCCGCCCCACCTTCACCTAGCCTTGTCCTCTCCTTTTGTCGTTTCCCTGCCATATCCCCCCCACCCCACCACAACCCCCCGTGTCCCCAGCTGTCCACGCTCCTTATTATCACTCCCCTCGTGGCTCCTTATTATCACTCCCCTCGTGGCTCTTCGAGTGCTGCCTCTAGTTTTGAGGCGCCTCAAAACTACCCCCCCGCCCCCCCAACCCCCCCATCCCCACCCCCCAACCCCCCTCCTCTCTCCCCCCCCCATACCCCCAGCTGTCCACGCTCGTCATCACTCCCCTCATGGCTCTCCTCGTGCTGCGCCTGCCCCTGCTGCCACGGGAATTGCCCACAGGTGTGTGTGTGTGTGGTGTGTGTGTGTGTGTGTGTGTGTGTGTATGCGTGTGCGTGTGTGTGTGTGTGTATGCGTGTGCGTGTGTGTGTGTGTGTGTGTGTGTGTGGGGTGTGTGTGTGTGTGTGTATGCGTGTGCGTGTGTGTGTGTGTGTGTGTGTGTGCGTGTGCGTGTGTGTAACAATTCTGTAGAGCAGCTCATGATTCGCCCTTATATCAAGGCTCATGCAAGGGGTGCTGCATCTTATTCGCCCTCCCCTCGCCCCACAAGCCTCGCTCTCTTCTGCTGCATGCCCGCCACCGTCACAGCATCCACCCCCCTCCTGCCTCTCACTCCCCACCACCTTCCCTCCTCACACTCCACCTCCCCTCTCTCCATCTCCCCTCTCTCCATCTCCCCTCTCTCCATCTCCCCTCTCTCCATCTCCCCTCTCTCCATCTCCCCTCTCTCCATCTCCCCTCTCTCCATCTCCCCTCTCTCCATCTCCCCTCTCTCCATCTCCCCTCGCCCCACAGACCTCTCTCTCTTCTGCTGCATGCCTGCTTCGATCACAGCATCCACCCTTACCCTGCCTCTCGCTCTCCCCATCCGCTCGTTTCATCTCAACCTACCCCTCTCGACTGACCCTCCATCTCCCCTCGCCCGACAGGCCTCGCTCTCTTCTGCTGCATGCCCGCATCCATCACAGCAGGCATATCTCTCGCAAGGGTAGGCTGTATGTCGGAGATACATTTGCATGGTTGTATTTCCGGGATAGTTTGCATGGTTGTATTTCCGGGATAGTTTGCTAGCATACCCTCTACATGTCCAGGACACTTGGGCCCGGGCCTATCTTTGACGGGTAGCCTTACCCGGCTCCTGGCCTGACCATGTGACTGATGGCCTGAGCATGTGACTGATGGCCTGAGCATGTGACTGATGGCCTGAGCATGTGACTGATGGCCTGAGCATGTGACTGATGGCCTGAGCATGTGACTGATGGCCTGAGCATGTGACTGATGGCCTGAGCATGTGACTGATGGGCGCTGCACACATAGGCTCTATTGTAATCAGGTGTACTGTTCTTTTTCTGCTGACCCCTCCCTCCCTCCCTCCCTCCCTCCCTCCCTCCCTCCCTCCCTCTCTCCCTCACTCCCTCACTCCCTCCCTCCCTCCCTCCCTCCCTCCCTCCCTCCCTCCCTCCCTCCCTCCCTCCCTCCCTCCCTCCCTCCCTCCCTCCCGCCCACATTTTAATCAACCAGGCAGCAGGGGCCAATGCAGCGCTGGCTCTCGGCTTAACTGTCGTCACCAACACTGTTGGGATACTCACTGTAAGCCGTCCCGCAATAAGTTGCCATGCTGTAAGCGGCCCTGGTTTGTCCATCATACAACATGCAGTGCTCACAAAACTGTGAGGCTGGGTGGTTGGGTACAAGTCTGCTTTCTGGTCTGGTTTCTGGTCTGCTTTCTTTTCTGGTCTGCTTTCTGGTCTGCTTTCTGGTCTCCTTTCTGGTCTAGTTTCTGGTCTGCGTTCGGATCTGCATTCTGGTCTGATTCCTGGTCTGGTTTCTCGTCTGCGTTCTGGTCTACTTTTTGACATTCTTGCTGCAGCCAGAAATTCCCAGTGGGGCCTGCTTTTGAGTCGGCTGAAAAGCTTTCCCTCCACCTCCTCTCCCCCCCACTTACCTCTTCCCCGCCCTTCCCCCCTCTTCCCCCCTCATACGCCTCTTCTGTTCTCCGTACTCGCTCCTGCCAGTAGTTGCCAGAGGGGTCACTCCCCCTTCCCCTCCCGTCCCCACCCCTTCTCCTCTCCTCCCTCCCCCCCCCCCCCCCTTCCCCCTCTCCTTTCCCCCCACAGGTGCATATGCTTCTCTCCAACCTCGTCCCAGCCAGTGGGGGCGTGTCAGTCCCAGCAGGGCTGCTGTCCCTCGGACCGTTCTGTCGATATCTCCTCCCCTCGTCCCCCTGAACCCACCCTTCGACCCTCGTCCCCATGAACCCACCCGTCGACCCTCGTCCCCATGAACCCACCCGTCGACTCCTCCCCCCAGATGCCTCTGCTACCATGCCCGCCAGTGCGGGCGTGTCAGTGCCAGGGGGGCTCCTGCCCCTCAGCCCGTTCTAGCAACCCCTCCCCTCTCCCCTCCCCCTGCATGCACCCTTCTGCTCCCCCCTCAGATGCCTCTGCTACTCTCCCGGCTCGTCCCAGCCAGTGGGGGCGTGTCACTACCAGCGGGGCCTTTGTTACGGGCACTGGTTACCACTCTACTCGTTCCACTGTTCATCGGCATGGTAAGACTTTATCACTCTGGTTACGTGCACAGGAGCACCATTTGTTACGGGCACTGGGTATGACTCTACTCGTTCCACTGTTCATCGGCATGGTGTATCCTATTAAAGGGAGTATTATATTACCATGTGTTCCACTCCATCCTCGGTACACGATGCATAATTTTCTTCAGGTGATTATTCTTATCCCTACATTTTTATGTGATATTCCCTGGGGCAGCATCCCTGGGGCAGCATCCCTGGGGCAGCATCCCTTGGGCAGCATCCCTGGGGCAGCATACCTTGGGCAGCATCCCTGGGGCAGCATCCCTTGGGCAGCATCCCTTGGGCAGCATCCCTGGGCCAGCATCCCTGGGCCAGCATCCCTGGGCCAGCATCCCTGGGCCAGCATCCCTGGGGAAGCATCCCTAGGGCAGCATCCCTGGGACAGCATCCCTGGGGCAGCATCCCTGGGGCAGCATCTGTTAGATTTTGATGAGTGAGTCATAGTGATCTGTGCATACGGGCGGCGTTGCTGATATTTTTTTCTCATCTTTCCAACCTCTTTCCTCCCGTTGCGCATCCTGTTCCCTACCCCTCTTGTCCGCACCTCGCGCATTCTCATGGGTTACGCTGATGCCCTCTGCCGTGTGCCTGTGCCCCGTGACACACGATCCACATCCGACGGCTCTTCTTGTGACACACGATCCACATCCGACACTCCTCCCTGCACCGCATGGGTGTATGGAATTCGGGTGGCATGGCTCTCTTTGCCATGGCTCTCGCCGGATTCAGGCGGTCAGGAAGGCAATGCCAGGTGTGCTAATCTTCCCGGGCTGCCCCAGGTGATAGGAGTCTAGATTTGAAGCGCCTCGCAACCAGGTGTGTGTAATCATTGTGGGTTTCGTTCTGTTTTCCGTTCTGTTTCTTTTTCTCGTCTCCTTCTAACCTGACGCTTTTCTCACTCTGGCCTTTCAAGAGGTGGCTCGGCTCCCTCCTCTCCCTCCTCGCTTTCCTCTACTGCATTACTTCTCATCTCACCCGCCTGTCCCTCCTCTGTCCCTACTCCAATCCAATCAGCTCTTGCCACGTGGGCTGATCATCACAAGCAGCAGCTCTCGATGGCAAACAACGCCATGCTCGCATTTGTACGTGCTTCCACTCTTCCTTTCTACCTCTGCTTGCTTCTGCCCCTTCCGTCTCTGCTGTGGTGCTGACTCAAACGCAAGCAGCAGCTCTCAATGGCAAACGACGCCGTGCTCTCATTCGTGCGTGCTTCCGCCCCTCCTATTGACTTCGCATTTCGGCTTTTACGTTCACCTCACCTACCCTCCCCTCCCCTCCCCTCCCCTCCCCTCCCCCCCCCTCCCCTCCCCTCGCCTCACCTTCCCCCCCAGGTACCGTGGATGCAGGTCAGCTCTTCCCGGGCAGCAATTCTTGGCCTCAACATGACTCAACTGCTGCCCATCGCCGCCACTGGCATGTATGATTGCTCCTCCCTGGCGCCTATAACTAAGTTGCCTAAAAACAATAAACAAAAAAACCCAAAAATATACGCCACAAAAAAGACGCCTAAAGAATAATTGCCACTGGCAAGGTGCGTATGTTTGCATCCTTCTTTCGCTGTGCTGTGTGCTGCCTGTCATAGGACATCCTACATGCTTTGAGTCAGAGCCCCCCGCCCGTCCTTACTAGTACTCACATGGGTGCGATGATGGCTTAAGAAGCAATACCCCTCCTCTCTCCCCCCCTCCTCTCTCCCCCCCCCTCTTCCCCCCCCTCCACTTCCCAACCTCTTCTCCATCCTGCAATCAGAGCCGTCCATCTGTCCTTCCTGACACTCAACGTCGGTGCGATGGCAGCTTTAAGAAGAATCACGCCCCCTCTGCTCCCTCAAGAGGCCAATGCTGTGGATAGAGCCGTCATCATCCTCTCCAGCCAGGTTACACTACATGCATATCACAATGAAGCATTTAATAACATATCTTAAATCATATCATACATCTATTTTTCTGCACCTATCTCTCAAAATCCCTTATCCTCAAACGTTTCTCACTGTGTCTTGCACTCTCGTTGCACAGCACATCCCCCTTATATGGCGTTCTGAACATTAATGTTGCTTAGAGTTTTGTTTTGAGTCACCTCAAAACTCTACACATCCCCCTTATATGATCTTCCAAACATCTCACAATTGCAGAAAACACTTCCGGTGGCAGCAGCAGTGGTTGGGAAGATTGGAACACTTTTGGGCGAACCTGGATTGGTGCTGCTACCGTGCATCCTCACACACTTTATCCAAGTGAGCTCTGCTACCCTTATTATTTTGGTAACCATATTACATTATGTTTATGTCTTTTTCTATTCCTCCCCCTCCCCCCCTCTCCCTCCCCTCCCCTTCCCCTATGTTGGAAATTATCTATCAGCCCAACACCCTATACCACGCTTGAAGTTATTGGTTCCTCATTCAAATGCACATCCCTTTGTGCATCTGCTGCTGCGGCTGCAGATATTTTCTGACTCCCTCCTGGTCAACAAATGGCTGAGTGACGATAGGGAACGTGACATCAGTGATTGCAAGACTACCTGAAGACAGATAGTTTCGTGCTATTTATAGGGCATGATCAGCACTGCTCTCGCCCCTTATGCATCCTTATACCTACAGTAGTAGTAATCATACACCTCTCGTAGTCTGTATGGCTATCCTTAAGAAGTTTGTAGGAATTGCCAGAATATGCAAGTTATCAGATCAGATAAAAGCAACTGCACTGTACATGCCTTGGCAGGAGCCCTACAGGAGATTCCCTAGGTACAGTGCTACAGCAGAACAGAGCCCCCTAAGTACTCCTTTCCAACACCCCGACCAACTACAGCTTACCACCACCGACACACCCCCCCACATAGTCATCACAGATGCCCTCATGCACCGTCACTGGGATCTCCTGTACCTTCTTGCCCTCATGGGGGGTGTCTCCATAGCACCTCTCCCACAGTGCCACCTTGGCTTGACTATCCCATAATCGCACCCCACCGACGCCAGCACTCCCATTCTCACCCTGCCACTTCCCCCCCTTCTCCTCCTCCTCTTGTAGTAATCAAATAAATCCTCATGCACCGTCACAGGGATCTGCCGAATCTTCTTGCACTTAAAGGGGTGTCTCCGCGGCAGGTCTCCCACAGCGCCACCTTGCCACCCAACCCCACTGACGCCAGTGACCTCATGCTTGTCCTTTCCAATACCCCCACCAACGCCAGCTTACCACCATCACATCCCACCCTAGTCTTCGAATAAATCGTCACGGACAGTGACAGGGATCTGCCGTATCTTCTTGCACTCAGGGGGAGTGTCCCCGTGACAGCTCTCCCACAGTGCCACCTTTCCATCCCACCCCACCGACGCCAGCGCTGGCCGGGTGGGGTGCCAGCAGCAATCGCGGACTGTGGCGTCATGGTACTGCAGTTTAGAGACTTGCTTGCCTGTGAGCTGGTTGGGGGGTGCAAGGGGAAAAGGGAAGGGAGAGAGTGGGGGGAAGTGACCTTACCATCCCACAACGCCACCTTTCCATCCCACCCCACCGACGCCAGATCTGGCCGAGTGGGGTGCCAGCAGCATTCCCGGACTGTGGCGTCGTGGTACTGCAGTTTAGAAACTTGTTTTCCTGTGAGCTGGGGATGACAGGAAAGGGGTTTGTGGAGGGAGGGAGGAACGGGAGGTTGTGCAGCAGTGTCTCGCTCTCTCCCTCTCGCGGGCAGGAAGTGGTTGGTGGGGGAAGGGAGGGAGGAACGCGTGGGTGTGTAAGGGGTTAGCAACGGGGACCTCAGTGACGCCAGCGCTGGCTGGGTAGGGTGCCAGCAGCAATCCCGGACTGTGGCGTTGTGGTACTGCAGCTTTGAGACTTGCTTTCCAGTGAGCTGTATAGAGGCAAGAGGGGAGAGGTGGGCTGGTGAGTTGCCAGCAGCAATCCCCGACTGTGGCGTCGTGGTACTGCAGCTTCAACACTTGTTTTCCTGTGAGCTGGAGACACGTGGTAGGGGATGGGAGGGGAGGGTGTGTGGAGGAAAGAGGGTGGGGGGGGACAAGTTGGGAGCCCCCCCATGGAGCGCTGAGGCGAGAAGGGGCAGCAGCAGCAGCCAGCAGCAGCGGCGGCGGCGGCGGCGGCGGCAGCAGCAGCAGCAGTAGGAGGAGCATACAGCTATGTGCTGTGTACAGCACAGAGTAAAGCATGCTTTCAATCCACACAGCACAGATCTGTCCTGTACCACTTGCCACTTTCCAGGTCAAGGGGGTACGGGGGGCACACCGCCCTCCCTCTTCCCCCTGTTCCTCCCCTCTATTCCCCCAACCGTGCCCTGTACATACCAAGTCCAAGATATAGACAGCGGCGCCATCGTGTGAATTATAGTAAACAAAGCGTTGTGCCGTGGAGTGCAGGGGCGAGAAGCAGCAGCGGATGAGCATCTGCAGCACGTGAACCCATGGGTGGCACCCACTCTCTACCACTTACCAAATCGAAGATATACACCGCCCCGTCGTGTGATCCAGAGTAGACAAACCGCTGCGCCGTGGAGTGCAGGGGCGAGAAGTAGCAGCGGATGAGCGTCTGCAGCACGTGGTGGCCGCGGTAGGTCATGAGGGACTGGTCGTTGGGGTGGGCCAGCTTCATGCCCCTGCCAGGGTAGTCCATCCACCGATAGTCCCACTGGAAGATTGGGATGCGCGGAGCAGGGAGGCTGAAAGACGAGAGGGGGTGGGGAGGGTGTGCGGGATATGGAAGGCGTTGAGGAAGGGAGAAAGGGAGCAATCAGGCCCCCCTTCCGCACTGCCAGGGTAGTCCATCCACCGATCATCTCACTGGAAGAAGGGGATGCGCGGAGCGGGTAGGCTGGAGAAAAGGGCAAGGAAGGGGGGAGAGAGAGGCACAGAGAGAGTGGGAGTAGCCAGGAGGAGTGCATGTGGGCTAGCCTCTTGCCCCTGCCAGGGTACTCCATCCACCGATCGTCCCTCTGGAGTCTGGAAGATGGGGGATGCGGGGAGGTGGTAGGCTGAAAGGGCGGGAGAGGTTGGGGGGAGAAGGGAAGAGAGTGGAGGAAGTTCACAGGTGACAAAAGAAAGACTTCGAGCAGACGGGGGTAATTATAGTGAAGGGGGGTAACCGTGGATGATTATAGTGAAGTGAAACAAGAGGAATGCCATTGGCAACAGATGGAATGTACTCTTTACAATCACTAACTCCCCCCTCATATGCAGCACCATCCATCATGACTCTTATATCCCCCAGCTTCATCGTCTGATCTGATCCTTGCCGTTCGTAAGGACCAAAGTATATACTCGTTATAAACTCACTCTTCATAAGCAGCAGCGTCCATCATGACTCCAATACCCCACAGCTTCATCGTCTGATCCTTGCCATTGGTGATTTTTGAGTCGACTCAAAAATCACCTTGCGTCAGGAAGCAGCGGATGCACAGGCGCAAACAACAGACAGCACGAACCTTACACGACCATGACTCACACATGCATGTAGATGTACTCCCTATAAGCACGAACTCACTCTTCATAAGCAGCAGCGTCCATCATGACACGTATATCCCACAGCTTCATCGTCTGGTCCTTGCCGTTGGTGAGGAAGCAGCGGCCATCCCCTTTAGAAACGAGATGCGTTATGCCCTCCATATGTCCCACCAGCACCCCCACCGGCTTGTTCCGACTCCCCACTCCCTGCCTCTCCCCACCCCCACCACCACCACCACCACCACCACCACCACCACCACCACCACCAGCACCACCAGCACCAGCACCAGCAGCAGCAACAGCAACCCCTCCTCTCCCTCTCACCCCCTCACTGGCAGCAGCAGGAGGAGAGAAAGAGGAAGAACAAGAAGCAGCCGCAGCAGCAGCGTCCCTGAGAGAAGGCGGTCCAATGGGCTCCGTGTTGTCCATGAGGCGGCGGTCCCACACCTTGCAGATGCGGTCGTCGCTGCCAGAGAAGATGAGCTGCGAGGTTTCATCAGCAAACGCCACTGCGTTCACGTCATCCTGTGGGAGGGGCGGGTGGAGAGGAGGAGGCGGGAGTGGGCACGTGCAAGGGGCGAGGGCACAGGTGACGCGAGAGACGTTTCGGCCGCAATCCCACAGCATTCACATCATCCTGTGGGAGGGGCGGGTGGTGAGGAGGTGGGAGTGGTCCATGAGATGCGGTCGTCGCTGCCAGAGAAAATGAGCTGCGAGGTTTCATCAGCAAACGCCACTGCGTTCACGTCATCCTGTGGGAGGGGCGGGGGTGACGAGGAGGTGGGAGTTGGCACGTGCTTCTGCCTTGGAGGGTTCGGTGTTGTCCAAGAGGAATAGTCACTGAAAAGGTACCGACCACCATAACAATCACCCGAACATTCGCCTGAACATTCACCTGGCTGGGGCCCTGAACTCACCTAGTGGCTTTAACTAGCAGAATCCGCTGGTTCCTCTCGGGATCAAAGGCGTAGAGTGAGCGATTGCTGCTGCGCGCGTTGCAGGCACCTGGGCCCATGAACTCACCTGGTGCGCCTTCACCTGGTGCGCCCTCACCTGAAGGATGGGCTGGTTGAGCTCCAAGTCAAGATGCAGAGCGTGCGAGTGACCGCTGATGCCAGCGATGAGCTCAATTAAAGCCTGAACCCCTCACACTCAGCTGCAACAACCCACCTGATGGCCACGAGAATACCTGATGGGCTTTAACTCACAGAATCGGCTGGTTGCGCTCCAAATAGAAATGTAGAGCGAGCGCTGAGCGGTTGCTGCTACCTGCAATGAGCTCGAGTCAGAACCCCTCAGTCAGACTCGGCTGCAACAACCACCCTGCCGGGCACGAGCATACCTGATGGGCTTTAACTCGCAGAATCGGCTGGTTGCGCTCCAAATCGAAGATGTAGAGCGAGCGGTCGCTGCTGCCTGCTATGAGCTCCCGGCCGTCGGATGAGAATTGGAGTGACCAGATGCCGAAGCTGCGCTCCCTGCGCCGCGACTCCACCGCTGTGAAATTAAGTTCCTCGTGAATGTCCTGAATGAGAGGAGCACACAGGGGGGGGGTGGGAAGTGAATGTTTGGCCGGGGGAGTGAGTGGACTGGTCAGCCAAGGACGAGGATTGGAGCGACTAGATGCCGACGCTGCGCTCCCTGCGCCGCGACTCCACCGCCGTGAAATTGAGCTCCTTGTGAATGTCCTGGTTAGAAGAAAAGAGAGGGGGGGGGGGGGGGAGATGGGAAGAAGGGGTTGAGGAACAGCTAAGCACAGCCCAGTTTGTTGGGCTGGTGGGAGATGCTTGACCTCCCTGAGACGTGACTCCACCGCCGCAACTCCACTGGTGTGAAATTCAGCTCCTCGTAAATGTCCTGAGATGGAGTGGAGAGCACGGAGGGGTGAAGGGGAGGCAAAACTCATGAAAGGTCGACTGAACTGCATGCCTGGGGAATGCTTTTGAGTCGACTCAAAAGCAAAATTCATGTGAGGTATACCTTGTCCACTGAACTCCCGGCTTGGGCAATGACTGAGAGCAGTCGGGCAGGAGGTCCGTGTGGTAAAAGTTTAGATTTGAGTCGATTCAAAACGAAACTTAAATGACACAGAGGACAGAGGGGTGAAGGGGAGGCGAAATTCATTTGAGGTGTACATTATCCAATGAACTCCCCCTGCCTTGGGAATGTCTGAGAGCAATTCGGAGGTCCAAAGGTGCAGAAGACATTAAAACACGTGCACAGTGCACGAGAACGAAGGAGCATTTGTGGAGATTGTAAGTTGTAACTGATACGCAGATTGTGAACGAAGAAAATCGCTCGTATGAAGTAATAAGGAGTGGCAACCTTACCGTGACGTTAGCAAGAGATTCGACCTCTCCAGACCCATAACCGACGTTCACCAAATGCACGATGGGCGTGATGGACGCATAGACCTGCGATGCGGACCAGGGAGGAAAAGAGAATTGCATAATTGAAGGAGATTTTTTTTTTTTTTTTTTTTTTTTTTTTTTTTACAACTTTCTCTCCATCCATAACCAGCGTTCATTGGATGGTATTTTTGAGAATTCTGAAAAATACCCTGCAAACCAGCGTTCACTGGATGCACAATGCGCGTAATGGATGCATAGACCTGCATTTTAATGGACCAAGGGCACCACAAAAAGATGTGAGGGATGTTTCGAGATGACCGCTCCGCTGGCATAACCAGATGTCCCCATCAGAAGATGCGCAACTGAAGACAAGTTTTGAGGCATCTATTTTTGAGGCGCCTCAAAAATAGACTTCTCAAAACCAGCATCATAAGATGCGCAACGGGTGTGACAAACACAGAGGACGGGTTACAAGAAGTTACCAGAAGGACTGGTTACCAGAAGGACTGGTTACCAAAAAGAAGGTTTACCTCCCAACCAGGACGTGGTGGCCAGGCCAGGCACGAGAGAAGTGTCAGTGACGCCCTTCCCTCGATGCAAGCAACCTCTAGAGGGGTTGCGAGCAATCACGCCCTTCCTTAGATGCAAGCACTACTACCACTTGCACTCTGGCGAATGGTTACCACAGGGAGGGTTACCAGGAAGCGCTGGTCAGGGAAAGAGCAGTAGCAGTGATTCTGGCAAAGGTGTTACCACGTTACCACAAAACACTTACCAGGAAGCGCTGATCGGGCGAGAGAGCAGTGTCAGTGATAGTCCACCTTAGGTTGCGGGCAATCACGTCCTTCCTTAAAGCCCACCCCCGATCCACATCGTACACTCGAATCCGACGGTCCTGGTCGTGTTTGAGAGGTGGGGTTGGGAGAAGAGAGAAGGGATACAAGCGGGTGGTTGGTTGGTCGTAGAGGGGTTTTCCGAGGGCACACAAGCACGCAGCAAGCACATGTAGCTCCTCATGGGCATACACGCCCCTGCTCACCTGGAAGCCAGCCACAAAGAGGTCCCCATCGCCGCTGAACTGCCCGATGTACGCCCGTGAGGCCACCCTGTCCATCACCATGGGGCCGTCGCACGGCAGAAACGACTGCGCCAGGTGGCACCTGTCGGACTCGCTAAAGCGACCGAACCTCTGTTGGTACGTGTGGGCAGGGAGAGGCGACGGGAGAGCGGGAGAGCAAGAGAGCGGGAGAACGGGAGGGAGATGACAAGGGGAGGTGGTGGTTAATTGCATGGCAAAAAAGGGCTCCTCCAGATGGCAGCGGTCCGACTCGTTGAGAGGGAGGAATGAAGGAAGCAACTTTCGAGGCGCCTCGAAAGAACGAAGGAAGCACAACCCCAACCCACCTGATATAAGGTTGGTTTTGAGACGTCTCAAAACCAACCTTATGACTCGTCGAGAGGGAGGAATGAAGGAAGCAACTTTCGGGGTGCCTCAAAAGAGCGAAGGAAGCACAACCCCAACCCACCGACGCATTGACAGGGAGGAACCAAGGAAGCGAACCCCAACCCACCGACACATTGACTTCTCTTGACAGCAGCATCTGATGCACGTTCACAGCGTCGCACCTCTCCCCCTTCCTCTTCTTCCCCCTCCCCTCACCCTCACCCCTCCCCGCCCCTCCCCCGCTCTCCCCCTCCTCCATCTCCCCCGCTCCCCCCACTCCCCCCCCTCCCCCCACGCCACTCCGCCTAGCCCTGCTGCACAGAGCGGTGGTCCGCCCATGCGCGGACGACCAAACGCGCGTCAGATGCGCCACGGGATGCGCTCTAAACGCGCGCGCCGCCTCCTTCCGGCTCATCCGCGCCTTCCGCTTCCCCCGCCCCCCGCTCCCCCTTCCCCCGCCTCTTCCTCCCCCTCCCCCTCCGCCTCCGCCTCCCCCTCGTCGCTCATCCCCGTCCGCCCGCCAAACGTGAACCAGAACTCGCTTCTCCTGGGCACCTGGTTTCCGTCCTCGTTAGTATCATCCTCGCTATTGACGCCCTCGCCATCCTCGTCACTGCTGTCTTCGCTACTGCTCTCCTCCTCCTTATCCTCCCCCCCCACCTCCTCCTCCTCTTCCCCCCCCTCCGAATCGTCGCTATCGTCACTGCTGCAATCCTCGCTACTATCATCACTCTCCTCCTTATCCTCGTCCTCGCTAGTACCACTCTCGCTATCCGCGTCACCATCCCCCCCGCCGGATTCATCGTCCCCTCCCGCCCCTATAGCCGCTAGAATGGCTTGGAAGCCCCCCCCGCTGTCCCCCCCGCTCCCCCCAACTCCGCCTTCCCCGCTTCCCCCTGCTGTCCCCCCCGCTCGGGTGTAATCCGCGCCTTCCCTTCCGCCAGCGCCTGCTCCGCCACTGCTGCTTCCGCCTCCGCTTCCGCGTCCGCCCGCCTGCGCGTTCCCCCCCGCCCGTTCCCCCCCCGCCTGCTGTCTCCGTTGCGCCAGTCTGAGCGCAAAGCGCGAGGCCCTTCCCACAAGGTCGTCTAGCGCCGCTGGCTCTTCCGCGTCTCCCCCCTCTGGATCTTCCCCTTCCGCTCCGCCACCCGCTCCGCCCTCCGCTGTGCCCCCCGACCCTGCAGTGACGTCTTCCGCGTACAGATCCCCCGCAGCCGCGGTTGAATCCCTCCCCTCGAACAAATCCCCCCTTCCTGCGGAAAAATCCCCCCTCCCCCCGCGCGCGCAGCCGTCCGCCCTCTGCTCCGCGCCATGCTCCCCAACACAGGGCTGCGCGGAACATCCGTCGGCTAAATTCCCGCCAGAAGCACTCCCGCTATAGCCCCTCGCGTCTATCCGAGAGGCAGCAGCGACGCCGCGTTGGCTTCTCGAATCCCGACGAGGCCCCTCCATTGGGTGTCGAGAGATTTCAAAAACCAGTTGCGTCGAACCGCTATTTGCCGAATCATCTCGACCGGACGGCCCGAATTCCGGCATAATTAATAGCCGTCGGGAAAAAAACAAGTCTTATTCGAGAAATCAGGAATGTCTTCAAACAAAGACGTCTCAAAGCAGACTTGTTATCCCGTAACCGTCGCGAAGCGCTGTCCTCGATATCGCCGACAAGCGATGCGAATTCGCCCGCTGGTCACAACACTGTAACAAGGCGGGGATACGAGCGGGGCAACGCGGGTTCGCGAACTTCGCGTGACGCTCGCGACTGCACGGGTAAGAATCGGCCACTCGTCTCAACAGCCGTTCCTAGGCACTAACAGCTGCCGAAGAGAAGTTATCGAAGTCCAGCCTGCTACTGAGGAAACAGAGCCTGACTGACCAATCTCACTAGCCCTTACGAGCAGCTGCCATAGTAGGAAGGAACCAAGCTTACGCTCGACAGCTCGCGGAAAGCAAGCAGACGGACGGCGGGACTATGGCGGATAGTAGTGGAAGGGATTAGGCGGCGGAAGCGAAGTAGGTCGGCGGAGAGGTATTTCTTTCTTGATGGTTCCCGCTTTTTGGGCAAAGTTCATGTTCTGTACATTTGGTGCGGTTGAGTAGGATTCGTCGCGTTTGGAAACGGTATTTCAGACAAAAAAATACCTCTCTTTACGGGCGACAGTTCTGCCGTTTTTCCTGCCACCCTTTTGTCGCCAGCCATCAGGTGCTCGCTCAGGCGACTGCCTCACGACAAACGAGTGGCTGGAAGCGATGAATGAAAAAGATTCTTCACAGAAAATCTAGTGAAATGTATAAGACGTTTCGCTACAGTTGCTGGTTCACGAAACCTTGGCTTCCTAAACTTGATTGGAAACGTCGATTACAATGATCATTCACAAGTGGTGCGTGATATTAATGTACGTGTGAAGCTGGGATGCTGTTGCAAATTCCATCAGTTGGACCACCTGTACTTTAACAAATAAAAACCTACATCAATCTTGAAATCAAACACTTCAAGAACCACACCACACTGCGCTCTACCTCTTCTTGCTCTTCTGCTGCTGCTTCCCGCCGCGCCCACGCCCCCGGCCCTTCCCCTTCGACTTCTCCTTCACAGGCACCGGGCCTTCCCTAAACGGCACCCCAAGAAGCTCCAGCAGCCTCTGAGCCTCTGCGTCCGTCTTAGCCGTGGTGACAATGGAAATGTCCATGCCACGTGTCTTGTCGATCTCGTCGAATCGGATCTCCGGGTAGAGCGTCTGCTCGGCAAGCCCCATGGAGTAGTTGCCACGCCCATCGAACCCGCCGCGGGACACGCCGCGGAAGTCGCGCATGCGGGGCAGAGCCAGGTTGATGAGGCGGTCTAGGTAGGCATACATGATCTGCGAGGGGGGGGGGGGGGGGGGGGGGGGGGGGGGGGGGGGGGGGGGGGGGGGGGGGGCGACAAGAGCAGGGGGGAGTGATGCGGAAGTCGCGCATGCGGGGCAGAGCCAGGTTGATGAGGCGGTTAGGTAGGCATACATGATCTGCCAGGGGAGGGTGGGGGGGTGTGGGGGGGGGGTATCGTTGGACGGTCTGGCGGTTATGTATCACTACATGGCCAGCAGCACCTGGGGGACGGTTGTGGGGGGAGATGGCCTTCGTGCAGGAGAAGGTGGGAAGGGGGTAGGGGGGGTGGGGGCAGCAGGGGGTGGGGCGGGAGGGGGTGGGGGCAGCAGGGGGTGGGGCGGGAGGGGCGGGGGGAGCAGGAGGAGGGGCAGGGGGTGGGGCGGAGGGGGAGATGGCCTTTCATCTCTAACGCCCTTTCCTTTCCTCACTCCCTCCTTCCTCCCCCCGTCGTCTCTCCCCCCTCTGACCGCCAAGGGTAGTCTCCATCCCAAGGGCAGTCCCCTGCCGTGATCTCAACCTCGGCAAAAAAGATGACTTATGAGTCCACTAAAAGATGACTTTTGAGTCGACTAAAATATTACTTTTGAGTCGACTAAAAGATTACATTTGAGTCGACTAAAAGATGACCTTTGAGTCCACTAAAAGATGACTTCTGAGTCACTAAAAGATGACTTTTGAGGCACTAAAAAATCACCAAGTGGCATCCCAGCCGTGATCTCAACCCCGCCAAAAAGCTTCCGCTGCCCCCATTCCCCCGCCTATCACCTGTCCGCTTCCCCAATCCCCCATTCATTCGTAAGCTGACAGCGACGGAAGTTGCCATCTCCACAGGAGTCCCAGCCCTGCGCTTAAACTCGGCGATGGCCTTCCCCGCTTACAACTCGGCAATGGCCTTCCTCGCCGTACTCACCACGGGCCGCTGCTCCCATTCCTTCGCCTCTCACCATTCCTCCCCTCACCTGACCGCGAAGGGCAGTCGCCATCCCAACAGGAGCCCCAGCCCTAAGCTCGAGCCCAGCGATGGCCTTCCTCGCACGGGCTGCTCCCCCCGACCCCCCTGCCTCTCACCTCTTCCCCGTCCGCAATCCGCCAGTCGTTTCTCGCCTGACCACGGAGCGTAGTGGCCACGCCACGGGGTGCCAAGAAGCGAAATCCATTTCTCACCTGACCGCGGAGAGTGGTCGCCATGCCGACCGGCACACCCGCGCGCAGCTTGAACCCGGCAATGGCCTTCCGCGCGCGCGTCACCACGGGCCGCTGCCCCGTCACCGACGCCAGGTCCTTGGCTGCGCTGTCGAGGGTCTGCGGGAGGAGGGCGGGAGGGGAGGGGGAAGGGGAGGCAGGGAGGGGGGGGAGGAGGGAAGGGGGGGCCGGCGCGGGAGGAGCGGGCGGGGCGGGAGGGTGTTAGAAAGCAGTACTTGCTGCCCTGGTCCTTGGCTGCGCTGGCAAGGGCTGATGCGTCGGGGAGGGCGCCAGGTCCCCGACGCCAGGTCCCCGACGCCAGGTCCTTGGCTGCGCTGTCGAGGGTCTGCGGGAGGAGGGCAGCAGGGGAGCGGGGAAGGGGAGGGTGGCGCGGGGAGCGGGGCACGGGGCAAGAGAGGGAAGGTGTTGAGAAGAGGCAATCGCTGCCCCGTCACTGCCGCCAGGCCCCTGGCTGTGCAGTCGAGAGTCTGCGGGGGGAAGGGGGGGGGAGGAGGGGAAAGGGGGAAAGGGGGCCCCCGCGAGGGGAGCCGGGCAAGAGAGGAAAGGTGTTGAGAAGAAGCCATCGCTGCCCCGTCACTGCCGCCAGGTCCTTGACTGCTCTGTCAAGGGCCTAGGAAGGTTGCAGGAAAGGGGGAGGGCGGACGGCAGAGAGACGAGGGGGGACGAGGGGAGCGGAGGGGCGCTAATAAGCGCGAGTCACCACGGGCCGCTGCTCCGTCACCGCCGCCACGTCCTTGGCTGCGCTGTCAAGAGTCCGCCCCCTCCCTGTCAAGAGTTCGCCCCTCCCTGTCAAGACTTCGCCCCCTCCCTGTCGAGAGTCGAACTCCGACGAAGGAGGCGAACGCGACGGACTGCAATCCCGATCGGCTTCGCCCGGTCGAGATCCGACAGTCGCATTTGCGGGCATGCGACAGCCACGGCGATCACGCCAAGTCTGTCGACAATCGCAGTCTGATAGATGTGTCGTTTTGAGACGTCTCAACACTGTCGAAAATAGCAGCTGCTGCGAGAGGCTCCGCTGCGAGAGGCTCTGCTGCAGCAGCCTCTGGCGACGACGACCAACCAGCGACACTCATGCGCGACGGTCTATTCGTGCCGCTAGCAAAAGGTGACTCCTGGTCGAGTTCAAGTGTGTCCACTGCCTCTCTCCTTTGAGTTTGTGTGACACTATTTCTGGACCGGCGGCATAAGCTTATGGAAACATCGGGGATCCCCTGCCCGACGCCCCCGAACCTCCACCTCGTCAATCGCCTTCGAGTTTACCCTTCAACCGGCTAGATTCTAACACTTAGCTAAAACACGAACGTGGATCGAAGCCGAAGCAACAGCTTCGATCCAACGCCGGAATTCGCCACCGCTTTTTCCTCATTCCCAACGCAATGCCTACCATTCTCGGGACTCTAATCGTCGGGTCACTAATTAGCAGCGCCTTCGGACCACGCACGCTTTCGCCCTGCGACGCACCTTAGCGCTCTGCGATGCGTCGCCGATGCCGCAGTTCACCACCACCTTCTCGACACGTGGCACCTCCTGGGGGTTCCCGTATCCAAACTCCGCCTGCATCGCGGGAACCACGGCGGTCTCATAGTACGTCTTAAGACGCGCCTTATCCGCCGTCCCTAGCTTCCACGCGGGATCCGATCCCGCCAGAAGCCCGGTCGGCCGCTGCGACTCCGCAACAGGCGCCGCGACATCCGCTACGGCCTGCGCCACCACCGCGAACGACGGACCGCATTTCGCGGAGCGAGCGACTGGCCGGCAGGGGATGAGAGCGGGGGAGGAGACGAAGGAGGAGCGAGACATGGAGAGGGAGGAGGCGGAGGAGAGGGAGAGCTTCTCCACAGAGAGAGCTGCTCCCGACACGGAAGCCATGGCGTGGGCCATGATGGTGAGTCCTAGCGACGCTTAGCGAAGCTGGTAACACGAGAGACTGCACGGTTCCTCCTGCTCTCCCTACACCCTAAGGAGAGTCGAGGCAATGGCAGAGTCTAGACGTAAAAAGAAGGGCTTTGTGAAACCCTAGAAGGGATGTGAGGCAGGGTAGGGTGGGAGGGGAGTGAGTGAGAAAGATAAGGCTAGGGAAGGGAGGTTGGGCGTGAGAGGCTGGTTGAGGTAAGGAAAGAGAAAGACCTGAGCCTTGAGAATTTCAGCTGACGAAAAATGGCGAAATCAGCTAGCCCTGAGAATTGAGGCAGTTACAGCGTCGCTACCGAGCGAAAGGGGAATTCCTACGGGGCTTGCGTTTGATGGTTGATGGCGAGCTCTTCGCGAAAGCAGTTGTTACGCTGGTGGCTGACGACGAATGCGGTAGTGCTGGCAGGATGCTGAAGTGACAGGATGTGGATTGAGGACGAAGATGGAGGGAGCGCCACGTCAGCGCGCTTGAGAATCGTGGACACAGACACTTGTCACGCAGCATCACCAAGAAGCCATTTCAATAGCAAGGAATCGCTATAACATGAACACTCAGGAAACCTCTCCAAATCAGCATTAATTTGGTGAGTTAATTTGGTGCTCTATGGGCTCTAGTCTAGTCCCGCAAAATATTTATATGAGGCCGCATCTAAATATGGAACCACGCACTGCTCTTCTGCTTGTCCTACAGTGGCCAAGTAGCTTTACATGCTTTCAATGAGCCTACACGTAGCCTACTTCACATTTGAGTGGCAAGCGTTGAAAAAGGAGACATTGAAACCATTGCATGCAGCATCATCTGACTTGACATGAACAACAACAGCCCTAAAAAGCTTCCTTTGAAGTGGAAGCAACAGAGCTTACAGGTGCCAGACCTCCCTGACTGCTGGCAACTCAAAAAGGGCGTCTGAGAAGTTGGCTAACAGCGCATTGACAGTCAGAAGAACGACAGCGGAGGTCACGATAACAACCACCACAACACCAGTCGTCCCCAGGACGGAAGTGAAAGCCGGCCATTGAATCATCTGCGTCTCTTCCATAACTCCACGCCAGAATCCGCCAATCCCTTCATCAGCTTTCGCCGCTGTTTCCGCTGCGGCGCGTTCCTGCCTAAGGCGAGCTAGCTCCGCGCCGATGTCGTCAAGCTGACCCGCGGATTTCTCCCTGCTAGCTGCCTCAGCATCGCTATCGTCCGACCCTGAAAACTCAATCACTTTCGCTGGATCATTCTTCTCGTCCCGGTTGCGATTGGGACCCCCGCTCAACGCTCTCCTGACCACGGAAGCTCCTCGCCTCGCGTTAGGGTTTCGGCTTTGGAACGAGCAACGAGTGGAAAGAGCAGAGCTGATCGGAAAGGATGCAGCGCGGCTGACCGCGGCAGAATTCTGCGGCTGGCATGTGAAAGACGCGACGAGCACCTCGCTCCCTACGGCTGTTAGGGAAGCCATGGCTGATCAGTTGAGGAAGGAATGCTCCAACTTGCTGTGATTCGAGAGGCCGCTGAAGACGGTCAGACTTTCCCTGACAAGCGCTGGTTGAATTGGCTTGCCACGATTTCCTGTGATTTTCACCAGCTGAGGGTAAGTTTTGTAGCGCGAACAAGTGTGCGAGAAATGGATAATGTAGTTGAACACCTGTTGTACAAGATGGGTGTCTAATGCTATCACCTTGTATTTTGATCACAAAACATATTACCTCCCTTGCACAATGATATCAATATAACCATTAATCAGCCTCGTTCAAACCAGAAATAACGTTCTATGGAAAACTTCTAGCAATTTCCAAGCCAGGACAAGCATAGCACATTTGTGGAACATATCAAGCATATTCTGCCATGAAAGCATCGTTGAACTCCTTGAATTTGGCCATCATTTCAGGGATCTTCTCTTCGCTCGGCAGGATGGTTGTACGCAAATGGAACGTCCTGCAATATGGGAAAAACGAAATCAGGAAACAAACAATGGTAGCGAGTCGCACAAAAAGAAGCCATGGGATTTGACGGGTCTACACCATCTCTTACCACTGACACACAACTGACACATTCTACCCATACAACTTACAAAACAAACTTGTCCACAACTCACCCTTCCTTCTGCCCGAACCCTGAGCCTGGCACAGCAGTGATGCCCGTGACTTCCAGCAACCGAAGGCAGTAGAACACATCAGGCGCCTTGCCCGCTTCCTTGGCTGCTGCCAGGGCCTTCTCAGGCAGGTCGATTCTGGGGAAGGAATACATGGCGCCTGTGGAGTTTGGGGTACGAGCAGTGGGAGGGACGGATGGATGAGAGGGGATGGAATGAGGAGAGGCAGTGAAACACTTTGGGAGCCTTGGCTGCAGCCGGGGGCTTCCTTAGAAGTTCATGATCGAGGAAGGAATACTGATAAGCATGACTAACAGCAGAATCAGCAACCCCGGTTTCTCGCACCTTCGGTGAAGTTGCAGGTCACGTTCTTGCAGCTGTTGAACCCCTCTGTCACTGTGTGCGCACGGCGACGCAGAGAGGCCAGGCGGGAGCTCCTGCAGACCACGTGAAAGGAAAGCAGGGTGATGAAACAGAGTGAAGCACATATGTTGCTGCGAACACACTGTCTGCAGTATATCGAGTTTGCACAGCCTGCTCTGTATCGAGTTTGCGTCTGACAGTTATGAGGCTGAACTTCGTCCTTCTGCTCCTTCAGTAGCGAAGCTTTCTGAAGCAGAAAAGCATTCTGTGGATCATGCCATTTTCGTCATTTGCTCACCTCTCCTCGGTGAACTGCTCGTACGAAGCGTCGCCCGGAGCAGGGGGGTTCACCATGAGACCAACCTGAAAAAGGCAAAAACAATTTCAAGACGCGAGGTTAGGAGAGCCGAGCCACCTGCTGATGCAGCTGAAACAGTGCACCAAAGAAAATGTTTACAGGCAAGTTCGGATATCGTTGCAAGTGCAATGTGTGTGTGGGGGGGGGAAGGGGACTGTGTAGGGGAAAAAACAACGCCTAGCCTCTAGACTGACCATGAGTTGGCCACACAGGTTGGGGCAGAGACTGATGGACGATAGCTTGTAGAGCTCCTGGGCCACCTGCGGAGGGGTAGAGGGCGTTGGGGCATGGCACATGGAGACGTGGGGTCACGACGACAGCATCCGAGTTGGCCGCACAAGTTGGGGCAGAGACTGATGGACGATAGCTTGTAGAGCTCCTGGGTCACCTGCGGAGGGGTAGAGGTGATGGCATATGGTTTCATGGGGTCACGGTGGCATGGGGTCATGGCGGCATTGGACGTGGTACATGGGGGCATATGATCCAGCAGAGCTATCGGGTAATTACAGCTTTCTTATACTGAAGAAGGTCAAGGAGGAGAGATCCTCAGGGGGGATGTTACAGTCCTCTGTATAGCCCCACCGCTGTCCTTGTTATAATCACGTCGGCATCATGTTACATGTCTCCGGTGTGCCTTTTATTGTTGAAGAGACCTCCATCTATACCCCTAACATCACCAATGCCGAGTACATCCATGCACTTTCTGATGTTAGAAACTTCTATGCACACTCACACCTTTGTCAATGTTAATATCTCCATGCACCTATTGATATTGGAAGCCTCTATTTACACTCACCCCGTCGTCAATGTTGAAGATCTCCATGTACCCGCCCCTCTGCCCGCACTCTCCAAACGTGCCCTTGGACACGGTGTGGAATGACACGAGCTCCAGGGAGGACGAGTAGGGCTCGCCCATGCTCATGGCCACCTGGAGGGGGCCAGGGGGAGGGGGGTGGATGCAAGGGGGAACGGGAAAGAAGCAGGGGTTTGATTTGATCTGGAGGAGTAATGGCGGGCATTAGAGTCAGCTGTGCCGTCGGTCACTGTGTGGAGGAGTGTTAAAAGTCGGACGGAAACACAGCAACAACACAGTAACCTTTACCTTCTTGGCGTTGAGGAACGGCCTCTCGTCCTGCTACACGTTCTCCTGGTTCACCTCGTCCGCCAGCATCACTCAGATGGTAACCAGGATAAGTGTTACAGTCAGGTAACAGCAAGTACACACCTTCTTGGCGCTGAGGAAGGGCCTCTCGTCCTGGTACACGTTCTCCTGGTACACCTCGTCCGCCAGCAGCACGAGCCTCTCGTCCACGCAGAACTTGACGAGCTCCTTGAGGTTGTCCTCCGAGAGACAGTTGCCCGTGGGGTTGCCGGGGTTGATGAACACCAGGCACCGCACCTGGTGGTGGGAGATGGGCAGGTGGGGGGGAGACGGGGGGGGGGGAACGGATGGGTGGAAAAAGGGTGATTGGGTGCGGGTATAATGGGGAGCTTCTCTTCCACGCAGAACTTGACGAGCTCCTTGAGATTCTCCTCGGAGATAAAGTTGCCCGTGGGGTTGCCGAGGTTGATGAACACCAGGCACCGCACCAGGTGAAGGGAGGGTGGGGGAAGAGCGAACATCCATCGCACTGCAGAACTATCTCTCATCCAACCCGCCACCCGCCAACCACCATCAACCCACCCCCCACCACCAGCCCAACCCCCACCATCAGCCCACACCCCACGCACCTCGATGCCCTTCTGCCGCGCGTCCTCGCACGACTTCTTGAGCTCCTACATGTCCAGCCCCCACCCACCCCTCTCTCTCCCCGCCCTCTTACCCCACCCTGTTTCTCCCTCCATTCACGCACCTCAATCCCCTTCTGCCGCGCGTCCTCGCACGACTTCTTGAGCTCCTTCATGTCCAGCCCCCACCCCTGGCTCTCGTCCAGGTAGTACGGCACCAGCGTGCCGCCCAGGAGCGCGATGGAGGCGGAGTAGAGGGGGTACTGCGGGATGGGGCACAGGATCTGAGGGGGGGGAAGGCAGTGGGGCAGAGAGGCACAGGGAGCGGTGCAGGGAGCGGTGCAGGGAGCGGTGCAGGGAGTTGAGTGTGGGGAGATTCAGGGGAGAGGGGAGCAGAGTGCCGCCCAGGAGCGCGATGGACGCGGAGTACAGGGGATCCTGCGGGATGGGGCACAGAATCTGAGGGCGGGAAGGGACAGCGAAGGGTGGGGGAGGGCCCGAGGGAGGGAGGGTGCACGGACGGTCGGGAGGGTGAGTGCGTGCGGACAGAGAGGGACGGGAGGAGCAATGCACGCGGAATTCAGTGGGGATGGGGCGCAGGTTCAGAATGCTGGAAGGACAGAGGTAGAGAGGCGGAGGAAGGTGGGAGGTTGGACTGCGAGGGGCGAGAAGCACCGCTCGTCAGTGCCGTACAAGGGGAACTACACGAGCGGAGCGTGGGATGGGTCAAAGGATCTGAAAGCAAGGAGCGAGAGCACTCACCCCGTCCTTGTCGCTGCGAATGAGCACGGACAGCATGCGCTCCACTCCCTTGCTGGCGCCGTCCGTCAGATAGATCGAATCAGGGTCGCTGCACTCGTGTAACGCATAGCCAGCGGGGAGAGAGAGGAAAGGAGACGAAGGAGAGGGTGGATGAGCGATAGGAGATGAGAGGGGAGGAAATAGACTGGAGGTAAGAGGATATGATAAGCATAGCTCTGTCGGTAAATTAGCCTTGTTCTGGCAACCGTTAGAGTGAAACTTCTAGCCCTATCGTCCCAGCCCCAATCCCAGCCTCAAGTCCCAGTCTCCGTTTCAGTGTCAGTCCCAGTACCAATCTCGGTTTCTATTTTTTAGGCGCCTCAAAATAGACGTCTCAGTTTCAGTGTCAGTCCCAGTACCAATCTCGGTTTCAGTCCCAGTCCCAGCGGGAGGCACTCACGCGGGGAAGCCGTCCCGCTTGGCAATGAACTCCGCCACCTCCTTGCGGATGCCCGCCAGCCCGCGGGAGTCGCTGTACGCGCCTGGGGGCGGAGCCAGTAGGGGGAGGAAACGCACAAATAGAGAAGAGGACAAGGGGGTGGAACGTGGGAATTTAGGCGTCTGTCAGATGGTGGAGAAAACGTGAGAATACATGTCGATTCGGTCATTCCATTAGAACGGAAACGAGACGCAGTTTCGAATGTGAACAGAATCGTAACATTCCATCGAGCAAACGGCAATGCCAGCGGAGCAGTACCAGTAAAACTCGCCGAGTTTGCCAGATGAGCAAAGTGTTGAGGCGCTTTAAACTTTGACCGCGCTCTCACAAGACGCATTCCGCCCGTCGTGAAAGTGATCCTTCGAAACACTCGGAGCTGTTAAGATGCGTCGCAACGCAAATCGACTCACCGATTCCGCCGGTCGTGAAGGAGAGGTACTTCTTAGCGCGAGCGATGGCGTCCTCGGGGAAGAGCTTGGCGGTCTCGGGGTTTTCCATCAGGAAGGGCGCCTCCGCGAGAGCGAGGACCTTGGGAATGCCGACGGGGAGAAATGCCGCACGTTTGAGACGAGAATTACTTTTTGAGAATGGCGACGGGGAAGAATGTAGGCCAGTCTTTTGACATTGCATAGGGCCTTGTGAATCACGAGACGGAATGCCAGCAGTCGAAAAAGAGATGAACGCCGAATATGGAGACTTTGTAACAGGGAGGCGTGAAATCGAGAGGGTGACTCACGAGGCGAGGGAAGGTCATCGGCTTCTGGCCGAGAGAATGGGGGTTGCCGACATTCGTGAAGATGATCTGCAGTTGCACACATCGAAAGGGAAACGGAAACGAGAGGAAATAAAATAAATGATGTAAGGCTCTAGAGAAGTTTGTTTGTAATGCATTGTTGTCGCACACCGCGTGAAAATGGCTCGAAGGCTGGAGGACAAATTTCACTAATTCTACCGTGACGTCACACGCATACCTCCTTGCCCTCGGCTTGGAGCTGCGACGCTCGCAGGTAGAGCTCGCCACGCACGGCGTACACCGTCTTCAGCACGTTCTGGTTCATCGAGTCCGTACGCAGAACCTTCTCATTGGGAGCCATGGTCACGAGCTGGCCGGAACTTCAGCAGCCTGGTCGGGAGCTACCGCCTTATTTCTCACTTCCCTCTGCGTCACACTTTTACGGAAGCGCGTCGGGAGAGAGGTTAAGGCCTGGAAGCACTAAGCAGGAGTGAATGCCGATGGGTGAATGGAATCTCCCTGAAACTGGACTAGCAGCAAGGAGGAGCTTTTGCAAGGAGCAAGAATGGAAGAAAGTTGGAATTCCCTGGGACCTTGGAAATGCCAGCACATGCAGGGAGACCTTGCCATGCAGGAACAGCGGGGAGGGGGGGAACGGGGAAGAGGCGCGGGGAAGGAAGGCGGGGAGAGTGTGTTTGAGCGAAGTTCGACCTGGTCTGGGGAAGCCTGGGGGGAAGGGAAGCTGCGGAGGTGAGTCACAGAATGGAATTCGATTGGACAATGATTTGCGCGTGGCGAGCCGCAGTCGTGCTGTCCTGCTTCGTTGGCAGACAATTCAGAACAAAAGCGCAGCAACCTTGCGTGGAAGCATGTGTGGAGTGTGGATAAGACCACTCTTATTGGCTAGTGGAAAGATCCCACCCAGTCAATTGCGGCAGGTACGTGGTTTTAATTTTGCGGATGTGGGTAGCGGTACCCTTCCGCATCTGTTTTTTTGCCTCATCACAAGGGGGAAATATCCAATGACCACGGACGAAATGGTCCAATCCCAGAATGTCGTCCAACATGGATGGGGTTGCGGGTCGATGAATGACGATCTGCACTGCCATGCGTTGATTGGGCAACGGGCCCACTGAGTATCACCGTACTGTACTCAGTCTTACCTGAGAGTGGTTCCTTAGTTCTATTGCATAAATTAGAATCAAATGCGTTGCATAGCATCTCTATGACTTAGCTATTGGAAAGTAACCAAAAGGCGCCAAGTTCGTAGCCAAGAAATGTAAAATAAGGCCAGTGGAAATACAACCTACAGGAGCCCTGATGGTCGACAACAGCTATCACTAACCTCTGGGTCCGGGTTTGAACATTCACACAATAGCCTACAGCAATCCTATGAAAGGAAGTACCTACTGGACCTCACGACAGCACGAGCTGGTGCTTGCAAATAGGGCAATTTGCTTGGCGCTGTAGCCACTGATCAATACAGGGCGAGTGGAACTGGCAGCCAAGGCAAGGGGGAAGGGGGAAGGTGGGGGAGGGGGGGGGGAGGGGAGGGGGGATTATTTAGAAGAATCTCCATATGATGGGAGATGCACTGGGCTCACTGCAACCACTCACATCACAGTGCTACTACAGAAACAGTGCAGACATGGAAGTGCGCAGCGCAACCCATCTCCCCTTCCTGTAAGGACACCATGCATGCACCAATCACTGCTGTTCTCACTCCACCACCACTGCGCTGTGCACAGCTATACTACAAAGCATAACAGGGACAGACGAGGGAGTAACGCACCTGGTGCAGGCATGGTAGCAGGCGAACCATCTCCCCTTCTTAGGAGGCCTCCAGAGTCCAGGCACATTGTGCACTGCTCCCTGCTGGTCTCAATACACCCGCTCACTGCTCACTGCACTGTGCCGAGCCAAACTACAAAACATCGCAGGGACTGAGGAGGGAGTCACGCACCTGGTGCAAGCATGGTAGCAGGCGAACCATCTCCCCTTCCTGGAAGGGCTCCAGACACACGGTGCACCGCTCACTGCTATTGCTACTGTCGTCACCCTCCTTCGCCTGCTGGGTTGAGGCCAGATCACTAGTTGCTGCACTGGCTGCTGCTGATGCGGCTGATGCTGTCAGTGCTGCTGATGCTGCTGCTCCTTGTACCGATGGTGGAGATAACGAGGGCAAAGCGGGGCCAGGCCGTGGCTTGTATCCACCAGATTGACTCCTGCCGTACGCAGGAAATCAGGGCACACGTGGGGGCTTCAATTTGGCTGGTTTACTATGGCAGCAGGGCTTTTGAGTAAACTCTTAGCGGATCCATCACCACTGCAACTTGATGAGGGATGATGATGGAAGTGACGAAAGGCTGAGAGAGGTGATCCATCACCACTGCAACTTGATGAGGGATGATGATGGAAGTGACGAAAGGCTGAGAGAGGCGATCCATCACCACTGCAACTTGATGAGGGATGATGATGGAAGTGACGAAAGGCTGAGAGAGGTGATCCATCACCACTGCAACTTGATGAGGGATGATGATGGAAGTGACGAAAGGTTGAGAGAGGCGATCCATCACCACTGCAACTTGATGACTATAGCCAGGAAAATGGTGAGGAAATGGCGTTGGAATGGAGCCATCAGAGTGACCAACCACCATATGACTACATGCTGCTTATGGCTTATGCTAATTCAACCTGTGAATCGCATACCTCTTTGGCTTGTATGGGAAAGCAGGCAGGCGAGCAATCTCAAGGTCGCTGAGAGCAGGGACTGACGGTGTGTTGTCCGCATCCAGAGCACGCAGCAGCTCGTAGTCTGAAGGGGCAACCACACATGGGCGCAGCACAGCATGTATGATGAGGTGCGGGAAAGCAGGCAGGCAAGCAATCTCACGGTCGCTCAGAGCGGGGACTGACGGTGTGTTGTCCGCATCCAGAGCACGCAGCAGCTCGTAATCTGAAGGGGATCAAACAAAGAGGAACACAGAAGGTCCTGTGAGAAACGATCTCAAGGTCGTCGAGAGCAGGGACTGACGGTGTGTTGTCTGCATCCAGAGCACGCAGCAGCTCGTACTCTGAAGGGCCAACCACGGACGAACCAAATGAGGGCACAGAAGTTCCTGGAAGAAACAATCTCAAGGTTGCTCAGAGTGGGGACTGTTGGTGTGTTGTCTGCATCCAGAGCACGCAGCAGCTCGTAATCTGAAGGGGACCAACCACATGGGGACGCAGCAGCACAGCATGCACCATAGGTGCGAGCCCAGGACAAGACCGTGGCGATCAAACCAAGCAAGTGTGCCATTTTCGCACATCAGGGCTCAAGGGAAAGTGAGAACTCTCAAGTCCAGGCCGTTCTCCCCCACCTGATGCCTGCAGGTCTCAGTGCAAGAGCGCCAGCTGTAGCCCCACGTGCCGCTGTAACCGAAGCTGCTGCCCCTTCTGAACTGGCTTAAAGCCCACTATGATGCAGCTGAAAGCACGTGCCACCCACCTGATGCCTGCAGGTCTCGGTGCATGAGCGCCAGCTGTAACCCCAGGTGACGCTGTAACCGCCGCAGCTGCGCCTGGTGCTCCAGCCACATGCGCTCTCCCTCCCCCTGCCCCTGCTGCCCCTGCTGCTGGCCATACTGTGCTCGCACCAGCGATCCTATTCTCGCAGCAAGCAAGGGACCGTCCTCCACTCTTCCACCTCTCTCCCCACCACCAAACCACTCCCCACCGAGCTCTGATCTGAATTGTGCCTGTGGCTGCTGCCCGTGCATAATTTGGGCACCAGAAGCAGATGCTGTTGCTCCGTTTCCTGCCGACTCAGCTCCAGCAGAAGCTGACGTGGATGCTGACCTGGCCACTGCTGACGTGGATTGAGCGAGGCTTCCGAAGGAGGGGGAGGGCGAGATGGAGGGCGAGAGGGATGAAGGGAAGGTGGGGAAAGGGGAGAGAGAGGGGAAGGCGGGGAAGAGGGGGAGGTCGGACAGAGGAAGGGCGGTGCCCCGTGAGGTAGAAAAGATGGCTGGAAGGGACCGTTGGAGAATGGTGGCCCGAATGGGGGAACGGGGAGGAGAGCGAGGGGGAGGAGAGGAGGAAGGAGGTGGAGGAAGGGGGGAGGCCGAGGAGGCGGGCGAAGGCCCTCTGAGCTCTGGCTTGGTCAGCTAGATGGCGGTAGAGGGTGAAGCCCCGCAGCATGGCCGCCACAAACGCACCGATGAACACCCATAGCTTAAGGAAGGGGGTGTAGCGAGAAAGGGAATGGGGCGTTAGAGGGGATGGGAGGAGAGAGGGAAGGCGAAGGGCCGGGGGAACAAAGGGGAGGAGAGGAATGGCATGTAGGCAGGGCAGGGCACCATGATAGGTTGTGGATAGATCGGTACCAATGGAACAACCAGCGGCGATGCGAAAATGCCAAGGACAGACCATCAATCCATGACACGAGGAGGAAATGACACAAGGTGGAGAGTGCGTACCAGGAACTCTGAACCTTCAGGGAAGCTGAGAAGCATGAGGAGAAACATGACTGCACATGGGACAGTTTGAAGAAGAATGGGAGCAGAGAGCAGACAGCAAGGAGCAGGGAGCAGGGAGCAGGGAGCAGGGAGCAGGGAGCAGGGAGCAGGAGCGTAGAGTAAATGCACCAGGCAGGGCCAGACATTGGAAAATAGCGGCCATGCACACCAGCCACAAAGCTCTTGGAAACCAGCTCCATGAAACTCTAAAGAAATTATTCTAAACACTCTAACCACTCTAAGGAAAAGCAGGAATGTGAAAGCTTTCAGGGGAGCACGACTAATGTGGAACAAAAGCGTTCGGAGGGTTCAACCTTCTTTGGAACGAACTAGGAGGTAGAAGGAACACAAAGCCTTACGGGAGAGGACGAAGAAGAACGGCTGGACATTGACACAGACTTCCCGCACTGCAGCTGACCCCTGGTTTCCAGCTCCTGATACCCCAACAGATAGCGAGTGCGATGGTGGCACGCCGGACTGAGCAGACGGTGGTATACCACTGGACTGTATTGTCAGCCCGCTAGTGGATCCCACGTTAGTGGAACCTGAGGATTGACCGCCTGATGCTCTCTGCAGCACGGATAGCATAGGAAGAAGAGAACAGACGACATATGCGAGTGAGCCCCCCTTGAGGCGAAGAGTACTATCCGGCGTTGATTTTTTAGGCACTTCAAACATAGACTCCTCACGCGTGAGACCTTTGAGGTGAAGAGTACTATCCGGCGTTGACATGTACGCAAACACAGGCAACGCATGCTCTCTTCGCCTGGAAAACACAGCTAAACACCGGCTGGACGGAGCGGGGACAAGACAGCACGGGACAGCGCATAGTATGGCAAAACACGAGATAGGGGAGCATAGCACGGGATTAGCAGGAGCTGGCAGCTGGCGAGAATGGTACCTTTCGGCGTTTCAAGTCTTGAGACCCTTCGCCTGATAGATTCAAGACGCTGAACGAATCAAGTCTAGTTCAAAGCCTGAACGAATAGTTAAGCGCGGTAACCATAATTAGTCTACCAGCCAACTAGTCTAGCAGCCAACTAGTCTAGCAGCCAAAAAGACTACCAGCCTACCCATCGCATATCGACGGCGGATGGCACGGACCATCCAGCAGTTGACGAAAATCCCGAGGCGAGACCTGAGTCCGTGCCTGGCTCGGCTCCCGCTTCCAGGTCCCCTCTACCGCCTCGACCAGACGCGCTCATAGCAGCAAATTCCGGCAGAAACGAGGAGCACCTAGCAGGTACTCAATAGAAAGGGCCTAGCAAGCAATCATACTGAACTGATGAATCTGAAGAACACTGGCCGGTTCTGCGAGCGGGGGTCAGCGGGTCGAGCTAATCTCTCTGACAGACACGAAGGTGACTAGCTTGTGGTTGGACGTAAGCTAGACATCAGGAGGGTTCTCCCGCCAACATGTTACAGACGATCCCCATGTAAGGAATTTTCTATTCCTTACCGAACGGTACTGCTATCGCGTACGTCCGAATACAACCAAAGCCTCGGACAGTTCCGGACCTTTCTGACAGAACCGCCTCGGCTTCTCCAGACCTTCTAGTTCGACCTTCAGGAGTTCTCCGGGCCTCGCTTCGTCACTTTGAGACCCTTCGATCTCTTTTCCGAACCTTCCCATCTCATGGTAAACTAGCTCTGGTGTTCCTATATCTTGGCTTGCCATTCCTTGTATCGTCATTCAGTGAGTGAACACTTCGTTATTCATTTCAGCGCTACTCTGCTTGTTCATTCATAACACCCCAACTGTTATGAATTTTGACTCAGAGTATAGCGCAGAATACTATAAAGGAACGTGATTACATCGTTGTACAGAATAATGAGGCCTAGGCAATATATAGGTGTGTTGATCAGGTTGAATGTCGAGGGTTGGACCAGTCAAGGGCTCGATAGTCCCGATAGTGACGGGGTCAAAATGGGTTCGGGCGACTAGGGATCAGGTTGGGGCCGAAAAGGTCGACGAGGGCTGGTTTGGCGCGTGACTTGAGGGCTGAGAGGTTCGCGTGTACTCGCTATGGCGAGCCCCAGTAAGGAATTGTAATTCCTTATACTCTCCCACCTTCTAAAGGAAGGCCCTCCCTTTATCGAGGCCGAACAGTCATTACAAGTAATCCCCGATGTGACTGTAAGACTTCAACCCTATGACGAGCGTAATTATTACGCTGCCCTGACGAGGTCTTGAGTTTGAACTGAAATCGATGGTAAGAAAGCGTCGAAACGTTCGCTTTTAATCTCGACCATCGAAGATGATCGAATTCTTCTGCTGACCAAACGGGCAAGGGTAAATACTCTAGTGGAAGACAATGAACAGTGAAACCGTCGAGTGGTCGATTGATGATGGCGCGTGGCACACGAACATCTTGGAACAATGACCGGCGAATAAAGTGATGATCGGTGAAATGAAGAACCCGTTCATCAAACGCGAGGTCGTTCGAGTCACATGCAACAGCACGCGTCAGTGTCCCACGAAAGTCAACGAACTCCATCAGCGAAGTGACGAAATCAGGCACGGAAGCGTAGCGGTAACGAATGTTGCTCGAAGATGGATGATGGAACACCCCGAAGGGTCAGACGAAAATTGCAGCACAGCTGCACTTCTCCCCCCTCCAAGAAGAAACAGCTCCCAATTTCCTAGTTAAAACTCCAGGAAAACCCAATGCTCCAGGGGCGTCGAAATAATCCCACGCTGCTGTTGAAAATTCTCATACTCAGCTTCCAAGATGCCGCTGTAAACTCCAACAACGAGAAATCCCACACGGCTTCTTAAAGTCCTAGAAATCTGCCTTGAAGACGCGACTAAAAAAACACCAACATGTACATCTCCCAAACTGCTTCAGAGTGAAAAACTCCTCCAGGGTAAACCGTGACAAAGGTCTTGAAACTCAAAAGTAACTGTTCCGGAAGACTCCCAGATGAACTTCAAATTCTACACGAGTAGGAACACTGCTTGTGAGTTGGTCCCAAGATAGCTCCAACAGTACTGCGGCAAAATCTTTTCGTTTCGATACTGCGCCTGATGGGTGGCGATGATGTGACGGGGTCGTATTAACACAGTCGGGTGAAGCACGCGAATTGAGGATGGAGGCGGTAGCGGGTAGTGACGACCCAGCTGTATCAGCTACTTTGTCCGTACACGCCGAAAGTTTTGGGAAGAGCCGAAACTGCTGCTGCTCCTTGCACCCAAAATATTCAGAGAATATCGGTCGATGCCGCTCGTACCCCTGAAGATAGCGAGCACAACTCCAGCTGTAAGTCCATGATCCGCTCCGGCGAAAATGTCGGAACCTCACGATACTGCGCAAATACCGCAACTCCGCTTCACAGCTACCTGTAAAACGCTAGGCTTCGTGACGTCCTTAAGCAGCGCCCCCACGGTTTCTCCACCAGCTGTACGCATGAACGACACCCTTTATATTAGGGAACACCGGAGTCCACTGCCTCGGCATGATGTCTTGGCCGTCGATTGGGGTCAACGCGCATCATACGCCGTCGATTTCTGCCCAGCTGTTACCCAACTCTATAAATTCTCCGGTACCCCTGTCAGCTGGCCGTGCAGACGTTCACCCATCTCGCGTCTGCTGTAGGTTACCCAAAACTGTTTCGCTGCTGCTTAACTAACTAGGAGAATCCGCAGAGATAGGAATGCGCACGCTTCTAGTCAGAGGAGCTTTAACGAGCTCACCTAATGACCGCTGGACAGCTCCCTCCTCCGTCGGAAACTCGTCAAACTACACCCGCGAAAGTTGGAACCTCCTTCTGCTACACCAGGTGAAAGCCCTCAGCTCTACTGCAACAGTAACTCCTAAAATTTTGGGGACACTCTATCAGCACAGTGTAGTTCGCAGGTTCACCCCCCTTATTCAACCAGAAGCTGTCGATTAATAAGTCGACACTGCTACCTGATGGGAATGGTGATTTCCAAACGACGTAGTTGAGCGAGCAGCCGCCCGAACGCCGCTAACCCATCTGCTCTAGTACTCCAGTCGTTCTTCTCCCACTGCTTTAGTTCCTGACCGTTAACGCTTCCGGTGATCGGTGGAAGAACACTAAATACACACCTAAGGGTGGTGGCCTCCGTTTCCGTTGATCGTGGGGGTATGAATCGCTGGTCCACGAAAAATGTCTCCCCATGCGGGAAGTCGCCCTCGCAGAGTACATTCATCTCCAGATGGCCTTCGTGGTGAATGGCGCCGAGGCCATTAATCCCAGCTGCTCCACATAACAGCATACCCACACGTCGTCGTGCGATCGTTTTGTTCCGAAATTGCCGGATCCGCCCATTGCCGAAACAGTTTTGAAGTCCTGTCCATCGCCTGCAACTAGCCTGCCAGAAACGCCGGGACCCGCGACATAGCTACAGTTTACCCTGCCGATGCATGCCGTTCCAGACGTACATCGCTGTACATCCCGCCATTTTTGCCACCCCGCGCGCTCCTGACGAACAACTCCTGGCCGCCTGAGGACTCCCGTGCACTTGTCTTCTCCTGACGAAGCCTTCGCTTTATTCGGAACCCAATCCGAAGACTCCGTCCGAACATCCGAAAAGCATGAAAGCTCTAACGAACATACATGAAAAACACGGTGAAACGTCGCCCACTCTTCGACGGAAAGAATTCCGTCTACGCCCAGGGAAGGAGAGGATCGGCCAATCCCCGTCGTCCATCGGACAGGATATGATGGCATCGGCAACGCCCGCGCAATTAATTTCCGCGACATCCGCTCGCCATCAGCATCCTTCCGCCCCCTTCCCCGATAGGGTCTGCTCCCCTACCGGAAGCCTAACGGCAGTAACGTAGCTTTGATACCAGTTGTTATGAATTATAACTCAGAGTATAGCACAAAATACTATAAAGGAACGTGATTACAGTATTGTACAGAATAATGAGGCCTAGGCAATATATAGGTGTATTGACCAGGTTGAATATCGAGGGTTGGACCAGTCACGGGCTCGATAGTCCCATGGTGACGGGGTCAAAATGGGTTCGGGGCGACTCGGGATCAAGTTGGGGCCGAAAAGGTTTACGGGGGCTGGTTTGGCGCGTGACTTGAGGGCCGAGCCTGCGGACTCGAGAGGTTCGCGTGTACTCGCTGTGGCGAGCCCCAGTAAGGAATCGTAATTCCTTACACCAACCTTATCGCAGCTCAACCCATTGCCCAATCAGAATTGTTTCCCAAAACTCCCGATATACGAGCAACGGGAGATCCGTTTGAGTCACTCATGATTAAGTTTGCGACCAACATAAAGCATGGGACAAGTTATTGCCGACGTAGTTTCGTCGCCACGGAACTGTGCACCGCAAACGCCTGATCATCTCAAAAGATTCGGACACTGGCAACAAACATCGCCACCCAAGCCCCCCCCAAAAATACCCACCCTTCTCGCAGTGCGCTCGTGCGTAAGCCTTATTTGCCCATGGCGAGGGCATGCGAAACGCTTGTGCGATTGGATCCCCGCACCCTCAAATCTTGTGCAACTCTCACGAGCCTCGTCTGTACATGCTATACTGTAATGAAGCGCAAAGAGCTTATGTTGAAGGATTGATTAAAGCCCGACCGGCAGGTTGCAAGTCCTCTTTTCTCATGATGCTACACCTTGAGGCCCTCGTAACCGAGCAGCTGGCATCAAACTGCCAAATGCTCGCAAAGGATTTCCAACCAGGCAGGGCTGTGGGCCTCTCAGAATTTGGCAGTGCAAACCTGCCAAGTTCTTCGAGGGAAAAAAAGGGACGGGTTGGGTGGGGGGGTACAAACATGAATATGTACTTCGCACTGTGGGCGGGAATCGTAGGTCGCACTGTACCGAAATGTATATGCGTAAAACAATATCCGGTTTGTTTTTCCGAAACAGGTCAGGTCAAAGGGTTGGTTGTGATCGAAACAGTCACGAGTTCTCGCCCTGCAAACTTGGCAAAGCTGGCAAGGTGGCTCTCCGCCAGATAGTGAGCTGCAAAACTGGCAGCCCTGCCAAGTTTCCAGCCCTGCTAGCTTGCACGAAACAAACGCTGGCCCTGCGAAGCCCAGTATTCGCCAACTATTTCGTTTCCAGAATCCTTCGTTGTCCAATCAGGTTCTGCCGTCCCACCCACCTAAACAGTACAAATATGCAACATGCCCGGCGGGCTTTAACGAGGAAACAATTCAACTGAGACACATAAAAACAGTAGGGAGGATGGACATAGCTAGCCTAGGAGGATACGGCCATGGCTCAGCAGAGCTGTAACGTGTGGTTCGTAAAGTGGCACGGATCGCCCAAATCTAGGCATGCAACAACAAGGCGGGCAGCAATGTATGTGGCTCGTCAGGAGACCACATTTGGGACCGCGATTTGAATTT